ATTCGACTTACATTGTTCTTAAAGGCGCGTCTCGTGTATGCCATTTCCAGTGTGTTACAAATTCTATGTTTTATTAATATCGAATTTTTACTCTAATCGGCATTTATTGTCACAAACGTTGTCTCAACTTTATAGTAATTTTATACGTAAACTATGAACAATAATTATTTTAAGTTAATTTTTATATTTTTAATGTTTGCGAGATATTTAGTGCTCTTCGATCTCAGTAAGCAAATTTAATAGATAAATTAGAACAATTAACGTTTTAGACAACGATTAAAGGCATTTTTGTTTAGATTTAAAAGGTTCCAAAATGCTTACATTCCACTTCGTAAAACTTTGTGAGAACGAACTTCAGTTGTTTATTAATCAATTTTCCTAATACTTGAATGAAAAAATGTGTCAGACACAGAAATCTATTCTTGCCTAATAAGACAGAACAAAACACAGCCTAAACTAAAAACGTTATGGATTTTACGGAAGTTCGCGGTAAGTTCTCTTACCCATCTCATATGAATTGAAATTTTGCTTTAATAGTTCATGGCTAATTTTAAAAAGAATATCTATCTTTGTCTTCCATTTAATTCTTCTATGTGATAAGCTATTCGTAACTTGTAATGTTACGTAAATTTCAGCCATGACAATTCTTTTTATAATTTTTATTAAGCTGTATCTGAGGGCATAATTACGTAATTATAAAATATTAAATCCCACCACAAATATATTAATGAATGCCAAAAGAATTGATTCAAAAGATTTATGATTTTTAAAGTTTAATCAGACACTGCCTTCGTGACCGTCCCAAAATTGTTGCCAGTTCGATTTTATGCCAATAACATAACAGTGCCATTTTTGGTAGGATGCATGTAAATAGTCATAGTGAATAAGGGTGAGATTTTAATGATGGCTACCCGCACGTATTTTGAGGGAAATGCGGGAATTGTTGCCATTTAAAAATGTGTTACTCAAGATACATGTGGGAAGTTGTATTGTAATAATTGATGGTGCTATCAGTGATTGAAGTTTATCCCAATTTTATAATGAAACGAGATTGTTGTAGTGTAATGTCGTGATAACTATTTAATGCTCAATTATTGCATTTTTTGTTCCTAGTTTTAATTCATCTTTTTAAGTTGTGACTAGAAAAATCCGTTTCTGACTTATGATTTTTATAATGATTTGAATTATGTAATTTTAGTGATTAAAATACGAAAAAAATTATCATTTTTTGGTAGAGATATTGCAATGTTTACAGTAATATTTTAGATTATAGAAACATTATTTTGTGAATTATTCTTTACATTTATGAATAAAATTATACTAATGACATCCTTTTATTTCATATTGTTAAATATAGACCAGATAATACAAGATACAGTTACATATTGCACTTGCAAACCTCCCTGATGATGCGTAAATCATGGGCGGCAGTAGTTTGCCTCCTGTTCAATAATAAAAAACAACTATTTAAAGAATATGGTGACGCTTCAATGTATACAATAACCATATTAGTCTAATCCTACCTGTACGGTTTCTGAGTCATCGAGGTGCTTTAAATAATAAAGGATTTTATTTTTACTCTATTAACCACTCGCGTACAACAATAGCGCTATGTAACTATTGAATGCAATGTTAAAGAGAGTGCCTACGTCTGGCTTTACGCTTGGGGCGTAACTCCGACGATTTAGGAAATCACCACGCTTATAAAACTAAGATAGCCTGAGTGAGCAAATGTACAGCCTTGTACACTATCTATTATGATTTTTATTATGGTTATAATAAAATTTGATGTACTAAGTAAATATTTAATTCCTGCCGTTTTTAACTTACCTCCTTCATACAAAAAAAATATAGATATATAAAAATTAAGTGTGCTTCTTACATAGTGGAATCTATATTTATGCCCTTTGAGAACTACGTATAACAATAAAGAGGGTGCGTGTACTTATGTACGCGCGTAAGAAGTTACCTATACTTCTTTGGCTTTCTTTATTTTTTTTAAATATTAAAGAATAAATAATAAATATTTAACGTTAACAATTTACTTAATAATATTTAATATATTATTCAAGTATTAATTAATAATTATTATTATTGTATTATATTATTCATTCAATTTCGTAACTAGGTATGTTTCATAACGCGCCTAAAGAAGTATAACTTCAAAAAGTTGATATTTCTCGAACTCTAGTAAAAGCTATAAGGAATATTCTCACGTATTTAACTAACCTCAATTTACCTTAACCTTCAATATACTGTAATATAAAACTTAGAATTCTATCAACGACATGCTAAAATCAAATATTTTCGGCTATGCCCGATGCCGATGATAGACTTATTGTTGAAAAATATCTGTCAATTGTCAAACGCTATAGCGTCGAGACACGTTATTATCTGAAAGGGAGGCTATGGTTGTACGTCTAAATTGAACCTTAAAATATGAGGTTTCAGCATTAGGCCGATGCGAACCCGGTCCAATTTAACACAAATAAAACCCAGGCCTGTCTTATGAGTTGTATAAAGGAGCTTTTGCAAACCTTCCGTTTGTTTCTTTGGAAGTAACTGACTATCTCAAGTTACTTGGCTCTTACCCTGTCGGCCGATCTCAACTTTGGGCGTTTCATTTATTCTAAGGCTCAGGTGGCAGTCAGTCTTGGTATTTTGGCAAAAGTACGACAGTTTTTAATGCAGTCATCTCGGTTCCGATGCTACCAAATGTCATCTTGGATGCTATTGAGAAGCGGGCTACGCTTATTATAGACGACGATTCACTTATAAGTCTTGACGATAGCCGTTCAGTTGCCCGCCTTTCAGTCATTTATAGATTGCACTCTAGAGAATGCTGCATGGAACTACACAATCTGATTCCATAATTCCCTTTCAAACAACGCTCGTCTAGAAGCATGGTGGAGTTTCACCCATTCGTTGTTGAGATCCCCAAGTACCACACTGCACGATTTGGATCGTCGTTTCTTGTAAAAACAGCAAAGCTATGAAACTCCTTGTCCCCTTCTATCTTCCCTAAACTGTATATTATTTAGAATGAAACCTTCATTCAAGCGGTGGCTAAATATCCTGTGCGGTGGTATCCTGGACAGGCGTGCCCTCCAATCCTCACGCTTGTCCAGTGTACCCACAAACACAGTAACTAATATTTTGATTAGACAGGCGCAGGGCCGCGCCGACCCCCGGCAGCGCCTGTGTGCGAAACCCATGAAGCGCCTCCTATTTTTTATAGGGGGCAAACGAGCCTGCGGGACGACCAAAAAGGGCAGTCATCGCAGCCCATAGACATTTTTAGTGGGTGTATCGCCGGCCTTTGAGCCTTATTTGAGGTTTTCGACCTATTTTTTTCTTCAAGTTTCAATGTATTTCTATTATTTGTCAATTTTGACCGAAACAAAAATGTTCTTTAGTTTAATATAATTACTTAAATAATATTTTCTTAAGTAGGTCCGTCCGCTTGCTAATTGCCGTGAAAAATACCAAAAACGTGAATTATATTGTTACATACTTTATTTATTATGTTATTACCTATATCTAACTGTTTTTAAGGTCAGATTTATGACATATTTTTAAAATAAGTCCCATCTTTTAGTAGAGGGCGAAAAATATTTATATAATTCTTGCACAATATTAAAAAAAACCCAGTCATGTGATAATCGAGGTTGGCAGCGTCGTTTAACTTAAAACTATTGCTAGCGCACAGTACATAAAAAAGCGCTGGGATTTAAATCCAGCAATATTCTTACCGCGCATATTTGAGTCATTATCATAGCCTTATCCCCTTAAATTGTTTATGTCCAAATAATTTCGTTTAATTTTTCTATTATAAATGACGTTACTCCAGCGCCAGTTGTATCTATAATTGGACAGAAAGCAAGGAAATGCTCTCTTATTTCCAACTTTATAGTTTCCATGTTAAAATTGACAAACCTTATTATCATACTAATTTGCTCTTCGTATGAAACGTCAGGAGTACAATCCAGTATTATTGAAAAATATTTATTAATTCGACATAGATTTTAAATAAAATGTTGAATTTGGTTACCGAGTATAAAAATTACTTCATTTTGGATTTTATTAAGGTATGTCGGCATATAATAGAAATCATAAGACAAACACACTCAAAAAACTCACGGCGCAGCGGCCTTTCTTTTGATTCGCTAAGCTGACAAAATGACACTTCAAACATACGTAAGAATATTGTAGTGTAACATAAATAATTTCGGTGGCGGCGCCCTCATGGCTCATTGTCTTAGCGCCTGTGGGCACCGCACGCTTCGCACACATGGGCGGCGCGGCCCTGGACAGGCGAAGACATATATTTAACCTGTGACCGTTTTGTATCATTTGTTACAATATTTTTAATTAGGTATAGACTTTTTGATAAATTTGGGATTATTTACGAGTTATTTAACTCTATAAAGCCATGTTTTAAACTGATTACTCTGAATAACTCTTTATTTTTCATACTGTCCGAGGTTACCTCGGCACAATGCAACGTAGTCATTACAATTAATAAAAAAATGAAAAACAGGGATTTCTTAATTTGTTAAGTTAAATTTGTTTGTAGTTTTCGACTTTCTACATGTACTAGGTACTGTTAAGGCATCTTGTCTAAGCCCCATAGTAATGTGCAATATCACAATGGTTGATATCAGGGTTAATCTTGACAGATTGACAGAATTCATTGACAATTCACAATTCTTCATTTTCAAATTCAAAAATTAACGGCCATCGTTATAAATGTTTCGATGTTGCCTAGACAATTTTTACACTAGTTGCTTAGTTATTAAATCCTGATGCGGATTTGTCAAGTTTCTTACGGTGTTTTCCCTCTATAGTGTCTTCTTAAAACGATTATAACTTATTAACTTAACGGATTCAATCGTTATTTTGTTTTAATCTAGTGACTATCTTGCAGGTCAATTTTATTTAATGTTTCTTTGACATAAATTCTAGTGTAAAGTTGTGCTTGTACCTGAATTGTATTACAAATGGCACAATTCAACTATTTGAATGAACTAAATAGCTTGGCAACAATAGATGGACCTATTACACGCGGCCCACTTCAACGTTGGGTGAAAAAAAGTGGCGCCGAAAACATGAATCCGACTCTAAGCACCTCAAAAAATATATCGAATGCTAATTTGAGCGGAATCAATCAATCTATGCACAAACTATCTGTATCAGCTAATCAGAGCTGCAATAACAGTATTCTATCTGCAAACAAAACTCCGACGCGGGCTGACATAAGAAAGAATAAAAAGACTCCATCGAAGAACAAATCTCCAGGTAATATTTAATTTTTCATAAACACTTTATATTTACTTAACTTTTCATTGGATGTAACAGAGTGTATACTATAGGTCGTTCAACAACTCCAACACCAAACAAGGCTTCAAAGACTCCAAACAAGGCAGATAGATTTATTCCATCAAGAAGCAACACAAACTATGATCTCTGCCATTACATGGTATGTACCAATATTTTATCTTTAGTATTTTATTGTAATTTATGGATTTATGTAATAGTTTTAATGATTAGTTAACCCGTGAAGAGGAAAAATCTGATGAACCAACCCTTGCTACTGAAGCTCTCAGCAAGGCACTAGGAGAAGCAGACCAAGGCCGTCTTCTACAGTATACTTGCAAGGCTCCTGCAGCTCCTGAAGGCTATCAGAATAGACTAAGAGTGGTTTACTCACAGGTAATCTTCTAAATGTTCATTTTATTTATACTATGTCTTTTGACTTCAGAATAACATTAATTAGACAAAAGATTGTGCTTAAGAAAAGTTAAGTAAAAAAATTGTTTTTATCACCAGTAATTATGTTGTATTTTTCCAATAATTTAGCTAGTCATGGTCAACAACAGTCTACACGTGCAAGCAAATCCAATTTGTAAACAAAAGAACAAGTTACTTTGAAAATTTGTATGCATGTTGCTGACAGTCGAGTTTATTGTGGGCTAGGATAATAAAGCGACAAAAGAATGCGTAGTTTTACTCTTTTACCAACTTAAAAAAAGTACTTTATCGCTCGATTGTTGTCATTATTGAGAGTGGGTGTAATGACATGTAGAGTGTATTGTATGGAAGACAAGCTAAACCAACCAAAGCCAATTGATTTCTATGCTTTAGGGAGTTTGTCGTTAAATCTAGGGACGTTACATTGAGTTTACACTGTAGTTATTTTATTTCTTAATATGTTGCATGATTTTAATACTGTTAATGCTTTGCAGGCTAAAGTTCCATCAACTGTTAAAAATACATCTCGTTACATACCACACAGTCCAGATAGAATCCTTGATGCTCCTGATATTGTAGATGACTTTTGTGAGTACACTATATAATTTAAATAAGATAGTCTTTAATAGTCTACAATTAATACATAGTATATATTTATATTAAAAAATAGCATATTTTGTATTTTACTTTTTATTTATAAACTTATTAATGGGTGCTAATATAACAAACTATATTAAAACTATCTTTTTTTTAATTAAAATATAGATATATATATTTTAGGAGTCTTTTAAATGTAGTATTGATAGTGCATATGCCTAACTTTTACATTTTTAAAGTGTTTTTTTAATTCTATGAAGGAGGGCAGAGGGAGGGTTTTTTACTCTATAGGCTACCAAAATATTCTTATGCTTCTATTGAAAAATTGGTTTTCAGACCTCAACATCCTTGACTGGAGTGCGTCAAACATCTTAGCGGTTGCTCTGGGCAATGCGGTATATTTGTGGAATGCTGGAACTGGACAAATTGAGGAACTAATGTGCTTAGGGGGCAATGACCCTGTTTGTTCAGTTCAGTGGGTTCAAGGCAGTGGCTCACACTTAGCCGTTGGGCTGTCTTCTGGTATTGTAGAGTTATGGGATTGCGAGAAGATTAAGAAGTTGAGGGTATGTATGGTGGAATGTAATTTAATATTAAATAGGATCATGCCACATAGCATAATATCATGTTTAGAACAATTTTGATTTCTGCAACAGTTAATGTAAGTCAACTGTAAAACATAAACATTGGACTTTTATTTGCATAACTTAAACTCTTTTCATGCATAGGATTAGGACTTATGTTCCCCCATGATAGCTCTCTCCAATCTCCATCTGGAGTGGACTATTTGTTACCATCGGTTTCTGCCCAGCGCCTCTCTTAATTGGATCGTTTAGACTATATAAGGTTTATTAGATTAAATTAATGATTCAGCAATAAAACTAACCTTGATTTAGTTACTATTTTCATATTTTTCTAAATTTCTTCTCAGTTTTTAATTATAAATTTCATATGTATATAAATAACTTGTTTAATCCATTTTAAGGCTATGGATGGCCACAGTGCTCGCGTTGGTTCCTTGGCCTGGAACCTCTATGTGATCTCGAGTGGGTCAAGGGACGGAAACATCGTACACCACGATGTGAGACAACGGGACCATAACGTCGCTACTATTAATGCGCATACGCAGGAGGTATGTAATTAATATTAATGAGAAAAACATTTTTGGGCTATTAAAATAACTTTTTAACTGTTAAATTCTTACAGAAACAAAATTTATATCAGAGAGATATTAAAAATCCTTCATTTTGTCAGTATTTCTCCACATGTTTTTAATCTTAATATAAGGGAAGATGTTACCCTTCGTACGCGGGGCACATTCATACAGTCGAAATAAAACTTGAACGAAACAAAGTACAGTCTTGTTTTTGTATGTGTGCATGAGTCGAGGTACGAACTATACATAATCGAAGTTTCGCGAAATTCGCACCGATGAGAATGAAGTTAAGGATGGACGTGTTTTCGCGCTCGGTAAGTAATTTTTTGATCAATGTTTTTGTCTCTTGTTACCGTAGATAAAATAAGTTTTCGTGTAGAGTATTCTATCAGTAACTAGCAAAATATACTTAGATACTCTCCAATACTTAATTTATGACGTTTTCCTATTAATATTAAAATAAGTTATATTTTGTTGTTATTCAGTTAGGGGGGGTACTTTCGGACAGCACTAGATGGGGCACATTTGAACGAATTGTACAACTAAATTTGTATGAAAATATTTTGTCGACACGAACTGTAATTTTCATACAAATTAAGTTTTCGACTTGCTACATACAAATAATAATAAGGCATCTTGACTAAACCCTCTGGTAGGTAGGAAAGATTGTGTTAGTGTGCAATTGTCTAATATTCCATTAACTTTGTCCTGTGTTGCTATCATTGTATCGTGTGTATTTTTATTACCTATTTTTATTATCTTTATTAAGGTTGATTTTGATGAGTGAACCAGATGTTTGAATAATTTACCAATCCATCAAATAGTAGTTCCTTGAAGTAGTTTTGACACCTTAAGGGTTTCGACTCTATACGCATGTTGTAAGAAGTAATAAAACAAACAAAATGACGACGGCCAGGAAAACCACGAATTTATACTGCCACACCCGAAAATAAAAGTGCTAATCCGCACCAAAGATTAAAGAATGTGATTCTAAATTTAAGATACCTAACTAATTAAATTTTGGTTTTCTTAAGAAAAGCTATGTAATTTTTGTTCACTATAATTAAAGTATTTTATTTTTGTTTATTAGGAAGTTAGAATCTTTATTTTTGTGTTTAATTTCATTGCTAATAAATGAATTTTGATTTATATGTGTCGTTTTAATCGCACGTACGGAACTACCCCACAGCGTACGAAGGTACCCTCAACACTGTACGAAGGTGCCCCGTTGATGGGGTAGATTCGTACGTTTTCTAGATTTAGTTTAAATCATAATTATGGTTGAACCATCAGATGAAATCATTTGTCATTTTCTTATATGAATCTCAGATAGTTAGACTATAAATTTAAGCTTGCAGATGATTGATTCATGGAAAAATAAAATAATAAAAAAATAAAATGTGAAAACCGTACGAAGGGTGACTTCCCCTATATATTTCTTCTGTGCGTGTGTATGTGACTGAACTCCTCTCAAACGACTGGACCGATTTTGATGAAATTTTTTGTGTGTGTTCAAGGGGATCTGGGAATGGTTTAGATTCACAAATCAGCCCGGCAGATGGCACTGCAGTCGGTACCTTCATACTTTGCTTAATATCCTAATCGCTTTAAATATCATGCAGGACAACGTCTGTGGGGTCCACTAGTACTATATAACTTATTGTATCCCTATTATCTAATTATTCGGTTAATTAATTTTTCTTAACTTTTTTTACAGATTTGTAACCTCAAGTGGTCTCCAGATGGAAAATACTTGGCCTCGGGTGGAAATGACAATGAACTCAACATATGGCCTCTCGCGCAGGGTCACCATTACACGCAGTCACAGTATTTGTATTCATTTCGGTTAGTTCATATTTTCTTTAAATTTAATTTACTTTTGTAATGGCCACCTTTTTTGAATTAAATTCACTTAACACAATTCTGTGTTGAATAGTTCATCAAAATTTTGAACTTAGTTTACTGTTTAAAAAAATAAATAATAAATCAGTGGCGCTACAACCTCTTTAGGTCTGGGCCTCAGATTTCTGAATCTGTTTCATGCTCATTTTTCAATCTTATAGGCAAGTAGGTGATCAGCCTCCTGTGCCTGACACATGCCGTCGACTTTTTGGGTCTAAGACATGTCGCTTTCCTCACGATGTTTTCCTTCACCGTTTGAGCAAATGTTAAATGCGCACATAGAAAGAAAGTCCATTGGTGCACAGCCTGGGACCAAACCTACGACCTCAGTGATGAGAGTCGCACGCTGAAGCCACTAGACCAACACTGCCCTGGTTTATTGTTTAATCTTATCTTAAACCCATAGAATTACACTTGTAAAATTTTCATCGCCACGAGAGCTCTCATACAAGATATAAGACGAAATTGATGACGACTATTTTTTGTTGGTTGTAATTTTAAGAAATAAATACATACATACTTAGAAAAGTGCAGTAGGGGGGCGTTAGAACGACCTCAGGAATAAGCACGCAGAATTTTTTTGATAGTCCATTTATTAAAAAGGGAATCTGAGGAATTTAAAACCTACTGGGTTATATCATGCTACCAGGAGAGGAGCATGAAATAATCTTTGCAAAAACGAGGTTTTTTTTAAGATATTCCGTAAATGTCACGCAGGCATGTATTGAATAGTTTATTTTTTATTTTTATGGCTCTGGCACGATTTGTGCATTAGCCAGCGTCAAGTATAGGATTTTTTATAATTCGTGCTTTGTCTTTAGAAATTCGACAGTGTACGTTTTTAGCACTCGCCCGGTACCGCACAACCCTCCCAAAGGCCGAGAACAAATTTAAATTAAATTAAAACTTGCCTTCGAACCCGGTACCCCTCACCTAGCTGCCACTTAATAAGACCGCTAGGCTATGAGGCCCCTATTAAATAGTTAAATGGTGTAAATTTCCGTAAATGACGTATTTTAATATTTTTTTTGAAAAAAGTTTACTGTTAAAAATTGGTTGTCTGTAAAGATTGTTCAAGTATTACGTCACGCAATTTTTGGAGATTTTTTATTTTTATTTTATTTATTTATTTTTTTATTTTATTTATGGCTCTGGTACGATTTGTGCATTAGCCAGCGTCAAGTATAGGATTTTTTATAATTCGTACTTGTCTTTTTTAGAAATTCGACAGTGTACCTACTCTATGTACGGTTTAAGCACTCGCCCGGTACCGCACAACCCTCCCAAAGGCCGAGAACAAATTTAAAATAAATTAAAACTTGCCCTCGAACCGGGAATCGAACCCGGTACCCCTCACCTAGCTGCCACTTAATAAGACCGCTAGGCTATGAGGCCCCCTATGTAACGCGCCGTAACGTTTTTCTGTACCCGAAAGTAAAACGTTTCGTGACCACCAAGTGACGCATTATACCTAAAAGTTATAATTATGTGGTATAAAGTACTGGAAAGTACTACTAAAGTACTAAAAATAATATTAACAATAACACGTAACTCAATCCCCGAACCGCATCATAACGTTTTACAAGAGTAAACACCAAATTCGATACATAATACTTGAACGCTTCCAAAATCGGTTTACGTATGTATGTTTTATGTATGTACGGACGATACTTTGACGTTGTCACGTTAAAGTATCGTCCGTACATACATAAGTCTTCGAGTGGGAGAGAGATAGATGCGGCGCAAGCGTACAATGAGCGTAACGGGACAATGAGTCATGCTTATTCGTGTGTGCAGCCGGCGATCATCGATTTATTAGACGTCACGTCAATAAAGCTTATATAAAAATGATGCATATAATACAAATGAATTGAATATAATTTCTATATATATTTGATTTTGATAATTCCTCTCGACATTTGATTTACTAAAAAGTGATGTTTTCTAATAAATATTAAAATGCTTGCAGAAGTCACCTGGCAGCAGTGAAAGGCCTGGCCTGGTGCCCTTGGAGCAACGGCATCCTGGCTTCGGGCGGAGGAACAGCCGATAGGACTATTCGCATATGGAATGTTAACACTGGGGCCAACATATCTACTGTTGACACTAAATCACAGGTATTTATTACAAAATATTTTGTCTATAAACATAAAAAAATATTTTTGATCGATATTTTATCCTAAGACCTTCGGGATTTACTCCACATGCCATGGCGTCTTTCAACGTGACAAAACCTTTTCTATATGTATTTTCTAATATATTTGTTCAAACAGGTAAAAAATATAAAACGAATATTTATTCACATAATTTTCGTCTAATAATAAAAAGTCCAAAAAACTAAATTCCTTACTCCATAGGATTGTCAATGCAAGTAATGCTATAATGGGTCATGCCGCAAAATACTTGTAGTTTTCTACAAACATATAATTATTGAAATTTTCAGTTTAATTACGACGTGACGTAGATTTAGTGTGTGTTCAAGATAATACATAATAATATTTATACCGAATAGCTTGCTAAAATCCCTATCGACTAGGAACAAATATCCCTTCTAAAAGCCTATCTCAAGTTTGTGCTCATCGTTTATTGGTTAACAGATTGTGTCGAATTTAGTTTTTTAGCTACTCCATTGAGATTTCGCCGAGTCGTTTTAGCAAGCAGTGCTATTTACTATTGTTTCGTATTTTCTTTTGCTTGGCGGACCCAATGCGACTTCTTGAATAGAAAGAGTCCCCTCGTGAGTTGTGTGCTGCGATATTTGGCGCTGCTCGATTGTGAGGAAGTTAGGGCTGCGCCTTTTTAAATCCTTTCTATATCATATTTTCATAAGTGTTTAAATAATAAAATCTTTAATTATGACAAAAGGGTTGCGGACAGAATTCATATATCGCTAGTCCCCACACTAGGGAGGCCCTGTGTTCTGGGTAACTAGAAAACAATTATTACGTGGATGGTATATGTTTAAAACAGTTAAAAAAATAGTGTTACAAATTAAGAATGAGGGAATGAGTGAGTGTGTGAATGGGCGTGTATGCACATTTATTTGAGAGTGTAGCTGAAAGTTGTTATGATCGCTCGATCATTTTATTCCCCATTTTAACACAACCACATTTGTGCACATTCCTATAACTCGTCCCCATCAACTGTAACTGCAAGCCTTAGAAAGTTCATAACCACAAATACCTGGGGCTTACAATAGATGACCGAATGTCTTGGAAAATGCACATTAATTCTGTCTGTGAAAGGCTAAGGGCGGGTTGTTTCAAACCATTTGCTATTGTAACTTACGTTCGTTAAAATTTGACAGACACGTATGAACTTTAACTCTGTTAACTTGTTAGCGTTGCTTCATTGTTAAAAAATGAGTTCGTCATTGTTAATGGGGTTGCCTGTTTGCGTAACGCTATCTTGACCTAATGTTTTATGGGAATATTTTTAGTAATAACAACATTGATAAAAACAATGTCATTTGATACATTCTGTCAAGTTTGACATCAATGTTTATTGTTGTGTACGAAAGGATAATTTTAAAAAGTGTTTAATTTTAATATAAATAATGGGAACCTTTTCGCCAAAGTAAGTATAAAGCTATTATTTTATTATTATATTGCATGAATTGTATATGGAAAGTATATATATTATATTGAAGGATATAGTTAGAGGTGTATTTATTTACGTTACTCATTGACTTTCAGAGAACGTTCGGTAAATTTTGGAAAAGAAGAGAAGGACAGATTTAGAAATTTAATAGAAAAACATAAACACATCTTATTTAATAAAAAAGACAGACATTTCTAACAATTTGCAAAAAAGGAGGGGCATGGAGTGCGATTCATGCAGAATTTAATGCCCTTTCAGATAATAAATATGAAAAAGAAAATTTTTGAGTTGCGGTGTTCAACATCTAAATGAGAAGAGGAAGAACGATGAAATCATTTTTAAACTACAAGAAAAAAAATTACTTACTATTAATTATACTAAAAAGGATGTAAGATTGTATGAAAGCGCCATTTCTAATGTAAAATGTATGAAAAGTGGCACTTATTTACCTTTACAATAAAAAATAAACTTACTATAACTTGATTAGAATTACTTGAAATTAGTGTAAATGCTCTTCAAAATAATTAAGAGTTGTGTGTATCAATGTTATAAAATTAGTGTAAAAAATAATAAAAACTGTAAAAAATAGATTTTTAAGATGAATTAATTCTTATGTGCATAGCAGGCATAACTATGTAATGTTTTAATTCGGTAATAAAAAGGCATATTATTTTTGTCAAACATTTTATTTCTCCACCAAAAGCATGCAATAGCAATATATTATGTTAATCCTTCACCATATTTCACATCCATACCATAAAATAGTTATAATCTGAAAATAAGACAGCTTTAAAATTATAATTTGAGAATTGTTTTCTTTGAAGTTAAAAATAATCTAAATATTAACATACCTTGGAAAAATAATAATAATTAAACTATGTATATCACATATTAGTATTAAATTAAATTAAGAGAAAACTAGTTTTCTGTTTGTTGTCAATGAAGTTAACTTTTGGTCTAAATTAATAAAATCTGTAGGCTGTAATTCAGTTAGTAAAGGCATATTATTTTTGACAAATATTTTATTTCTTTACCAAAAGGCATGCAATAAGCAATATAAACAGTATATAATATCTTAGTCCTTCACCATACCACCCATACCCATCCACCCATACCTCCAAAAGATATAATCTGAAATATATCTTTAATATTAAATTTGCAAAATTTTTTTTTGAAGTCATTTTTTTTCAAAATAATCGTAGTATTAACATACCTTGCAAAATAATTATTAATCAAACCATCTCTAATATTAATATCAGAGGAAACAGAGTTTAGGAAGTACGAACTACAGAAGTTACAAACCAAAATTTGACGATTACCAATGGTTCAAAGCACTGGTTAACGTAAGCGTAACTTTTTAACGAACGTAAGCTGTCATGGATGGTGAATCAACACTTTTTTGTCTAACGTTCGTTAGCGCCATATTTAAGGTTACGTGTCCGTCAAAATTGTGTTGATGCAACCCACCCTAAGAGCGATACTTGCCAAATTTCACTATAATAAAAAATAAAATACCTCTCAATACTCTGCTACTGCTATACAAAGCACTAGCAGAATCTATTATAACATATGGACTTTCAAGCTATGGGAGAACATGCAAAACCTATCTTAATCAAATATTTTCATTACAAATACGTATTTTAAAAGCAATTGCTCCTTACAAAATAAAATCACAATATAAAGAAGACTATAGAAAGCTATTTGCATTTTTCAAAATTATACCTATACAAGAGAAAGTGAGCTAGCATTATTAAATGAAAACTACTTTACAGACAATTACCTTAAAACAACTAAAACTCATTATCACTATACAACACGTAGAAAATTAAAAAACGAATTTCTTTTACCAAAAATACAATAATTTATATGGGAAAAAAACATTAGACTATATTATTCCAAATCTATTAAACTCTTTACCGGCTGCGCTATTTGCTAATGTAACAGGAAACAATATCAAATTTAAATTAAAAAATTACTTTATAAGTCAAACAATTACAAATTATGCATAACTAAAAGTAGGACTCGTATTTAGTTCATGTTCGAATATGTAAATTGATTACAATCCTGTATTCGAATGAGAATTTCTCTTCAAGAACAGGTTTCTTGATCGGCTGTGGAGCGTCATTGTTTCAATTGGTACATGTTGTTCGTGCAATTTTTATGGTTTATTGGGGGGTGTTAATTGATAGGGATGGCCTGAGTGTGTAATAGGTTAATATTTAAATATTTTCGACGACGGTGGAGGAAAAATGGATGGTCCACAGCAACTCTATTAGAATTATAGAATAAATAAATAAATAAATAAATAAAATAACATGTTTGACAGCATAAATGAATTAAAAATAATTTCTTATTATTCCTAATGTCCGTATGAACCCAGGTGTGCTCGATCTTATGGAGCAGCCACTACAAAGAGCTGATCTCGGGGCACGGCTACGCCAACAACCAGCTGGTGATCTGGAAGTACCCCAGTATGGCCCGAGTGGCCGATCTCACCGGACACGTCGCCCGAGTTCTGCATCTCTGTCTCTCGCCAGACGGCACTTCTGTTCTCTCGGCGGGGGCTGATGAGACCTTACGGTGAGGGGTTATTTTAATATATGAATTTAAGGATTATGTTGCTATTTTAAAACCCTTATTTTTTACCATTATTTTACTCTTTAACCATCTTTAACAAAAATCGAATGAGGTCATTAATACGACGTATATTTTTTGTATTATTCAAAAATAGCCGTCCTGACCAATGGTAGCTAGATTTTTTCCGCTTGTAAACGCAAATAGTTGTTTATATTAAATAAATAATTAAATAAGTCATTTGACATCCTTTGGTAATGGTAATACTATAATAAAATTTTTGATGGGTTATTCCCAAGTTTCAAAATATCTTAAGTATGTTTCATAATAATGTTTTAGTTCTTTCCTTGCTTATCAAGCCGAAACGTTCGAAATTAAACCTTTTACCGCGACTTGGTTACGGTAAAAAATAACTAGTAATCTATAGAAATTAAAAATTGATGATTTTGTAGTATAAGCGCAAAACTGGTAGACGGCTGGACCGATTCTAGTATTCTTTCTAAATTGATTCCTTGAACTCTGAGAAGGTTTAGTTTTTATTCCTGAAAAGCAATCAGTCTCCATGGGGTAGCATAGCAAAATATTCCATGTGTTGGTATGTAGCTACTAAAAAGGTAGTCCGACTAAAAACAGATACAATTATTTATAAATAAAAGATTTTAAAATTAAATAAACATTGTTAGTATTCAGATATTTAGACGCTCTATTGTCTTTCGGCACGTAGGTAAACTAAATTAGTTAATAACTAATGTAATATTGCAGCCTCTGGAAGGTGTTTATGTTGGACCCGGCTAAGAAGAAAGACCCAGTCGACACAAAGGCAGCTAAATCCCTTCTTAACATGAACTCGTTAATGCGATAACTTAGTTGTATTTCACTTTATGCTTAGGGTAATTGTTTAGGACAGTTCAAGAAAATTTTAGATATTCCTACTTAAAATAATTGAAGAAAGTAATTTTTTGTCTATAATGAAGATACTTTAGTTTCTAAAAAAAAAATTCGCAATTTTTTTACTGCCACAAAAATTCAAAAAAAAAAATTGTATTATTTCAATAGTATTTACTTGTTATTTGACTAACTTATCATGTTTTAACCGGAAATCAGTTTAGAATAGGTTCTACAACCTAATTAAATATTTGTTGACGTATTCGTATTGTAATGAAGAGGTTCTGTACTTGACTCGATCCCAGTTCGATTTTAATGCTTAATTATTTTTTATATAAAAGGTATTTATGTTATTTGAGGGTAGTCGAGAATGAATCAAATATCGATTATACAAATGAGACTGATAACGCGTAGGATATACTTCGATTCACTTTTAGATGTAATTTATGTGCCATCGATTTCGTGAATATATTTTCGAATGTTTATTTTAAATCGCAAGAAGTTGAGGTCGTAAAATGTATCACGATATGTTGTTTCTCGCTTACTTTAGTCTTGTAATTTTCACTCTAACGTTTCATTACCTCGGCTTCGCTGTTTTAATTTGTATGGATTTAAGGATTATGTTAAGGTTTTTAATTGTAATTTTAAAAATAAAGGTTTTTAACATTATTTGTCTTTTTATTACTCATAACAGAGGGTTTAAGCACAAAGTAGTGTTGTAGCGGTAGTCTGACCATTTTCGAAGCATAAGAGAAATATTTAAATATAATTTAACGGTGATATTTAGAAATGATACTTCATAACTTCAAAATTCATAACTTCGTTCGAATATATATGTATTGGAACATTCTTAGTCAAACAACTTTATTCGTAATTGAGTGAACCTAAACATGGTTCTAGCTGCCATCGCTAAACATAATAACATGTTTATATGGTCATATAATTAATAAAGATAATGAATAATGATTTTTGAAAGAAAATAATTAATTTCTATTTCTAAGTTTAATTTCGCACTAATATTGTATTAGTTACAAAAAACTTAGGAACTTGAAATTATTCTCTCCATACAGTTCAAACCTCTCAAATTGATGTTTCTTTATATATATAGAACGGGGCAAACCTGATGTTAAGTAATACCACTGCTCATGGACACTCAATGCCAGAGGGCTCGTAAATGCGTTGCTGGCCTTTTAGGTTTGGTACGCTCATTTCTTGAAGAACCCTAAATCGAATTGGTTTGGAAATACATCAGTGGGTACCTAGTTCCACATAGTGGTGGTGCGCGGCAAAAACTGCCTTAAATCAGCTGTCGTCGGACAGGTTCTTGTAGTTTCAGATTATATTAATATGTATTTCAATGAAGACTAACTTTTTGTCTGACAGCGAAATTAGACAACTACAATTTTTCAGACTACGATTATGCAAATGTGGCTTGACCGCAACTCGGCGGTCTAAGACAGGGCTATCTCATATATGTCAGGTTGCTTTATAACGAAATCTGAATCGTACCCCCATTAGGCTATTGCAGATGTTTTTAGATTTTTCATGGAGCTATAATCTATGCATGATCGACAAATAAGTATTCGTCAATAATAGCTCAAATGAATCGACTTTCCACAAAATTGCATAGTTTATTTCACGCGTTTTATGCTAATGATGCAAGCATCATCAGCACAAGTGCTACCATTGACGATCAAGTATCGTTGAGCCATTTGTTAGGATTTCTTATTTTTAAAGGACATTGTGCAAACGGGCATGAAGGCTTACCTTATTACAATGCCAAAAGTTGATTGACGGCATTTAGAAATGCTTTTCCTATTGTGAAGGATTTGGTTCTAAATGTAGGTAGGAAAGCTAAAAAAGGCTTTACGTTGTAGCAGATATAATAATAACTAAGCCTTATTTATTCAATATAAATATATATAATTCTACTATACGTGTGTATGTCACTGAACTCCTTTTAAATGGCTGGAGCGATTTGAATAATTTTTTTTTGTTTGGGTAGCGCCCTGCATGGTTTAGACTTACAAATTTGCCCGGCGCTGCAGTCGCTATCCAGGTTATTTATCTATACAGCAAATAAACAGCTGGTATATATATATAAATCTTCTGTGCATGTGTTCGTAATTAAACTCCTAAACGGCTGAACAAATTTTGATGAATTTTTTGTGTGTTCAAGTGGAGTCGAGAACGATTTATATTATCAGATATTTTTTGTATGTAAGACATGTGTACAGGACAACGTCGACGTGTATTTTGTCTCACTATATTAAACATTTTTCTGCCAATAATTGCCACCGATTTCTATTAGACGTTTTTTTAATAGAATTACATATTATGTAGAGGAAATAAAAGAACACGTAAGTAAAAAAGTTTATTACTTAAGTACATTGTATAAGTATGGAATGTAATAAAAAATACGAGCAAATAAATCGTACGCAAATATCGAAATAATGATTGTGGAAGTAATGTGACTAGAGATAACTTTCACTTGTAAATGCATAAAGGAAAAGAAATCCCCCCTATAACGCGTCTTCCGTCCACCATATAACGCGGAGATTTCTCAAGTAATATTTCTGTTGAAATTTATATTGATTTGAAGTCCATAATTAGTTTTTCGTATTTGTCACCTGTTTCAATTGCGTTGTTATAAAAAACTAAATAACTTTATTGAATTCGTGTTCCTAGTTTTTGAATAAAAAAAAGGGTTTACGAGACGTTCCTACAACGCGATTTCCGCGTTATTAGGGGGTTAACTGTATTAGAAATTGTAATTAAATTACCGAACACAAATTTTTGTGGTGAATCTTGCAGTACTTCCAAATATCTAGAGGTATTAGCTGCCGAGGATTTGAAAGTTATTCATAGAAAATAAATCTAATAATTATTTAATTTACGCCGTGATGTCTTGATTGATATATTTAAAATGTATTTAAAAAAACTTATAAGCAAAATAACAAATGAATGGCAGTGAAATGTACTAACAATATTGTACTTAATAAATCCGATAATTACGAAAATAATCATTTATTATGCTCAATCTTAACTATTAAAAACATGCTTCAATTGAAGAATATCTAACGATAACATTTATCCTAATTAAGCTCTGAATTATTATCAATTTCCAATATTTATGGCGAAAGTGGAGCAAAGGAGATTCACTCAAAATAATACTTTTCATTGACTTAAAACTACGAACATACAACGGTTAAGAAATATTCTAAAATTATTATACAGTTAAAATAATATGTAAAACTTCTTACTGTGATGTAAGTTATGACGAAATTTCATTATTCTATATATCATTTAATATAACATTGTACCATAAAATTATTGAATTTATTAAAAAATATAAATGCAATAAGGATTCTTATGTGATGAATTATTGCTTGTCAACTTTGACCTTTGTAGTGTTGTCTCTCTCTCACACTTTCGAAACGACATTAGTGCGAAGGAGATAGCGCTATACAAATGTATTTATCTTATCAAAGATTCCCAACTCTTGTTTGTAAAGCGTTATCTCTCTCTAACACTCTCGAAACGACATTAGTGCGAAGGAGATAGCGCTATACAATGTAGTTTAAAAATCCCAAGCTGGTTTATAAGGCGGGTTATATCACAGAAGCGATACTTCTATTATGCGATGTCTCCGATTCCCCCAACATGGCGGACATGGCCACTGTATTCGAAATGGGTTCCACATCCCTCACCAACTGCTCATTACTCGTTGTCAAGGCGTTATTAATGCCGTATTTAAAGCTCCGTCTTAGACTCGAGCGTATATTTTGGTCGGTTTTAATAAAAGAACGTCGGAGTAGATCGCGGGTGAGGGTTAACGAGTGCGAAGAGGACGGCCTGTGTGAGTCTGTCTCGTCAATGAGCGCGTGTGTGTTTTGTGTTTGTGTGGGTTGTCGTTCGACAGTTTCACTCAGTGAAGTGGGGAGTTGTGTCGTTTCTTCCGATAATTCCGTGCGTTGTGATGTTATCCTAAAATAATTTTAAAAAATTCATAAATAGGTCGCAATACAACTTTATGCTTTTATTAAATTCAGTTTTTGTTTCCAGTTTCCAAATCATTAAAATTATATCTGGAATATAGAACTAAAAAGTACTAATATGTATTACAATTCTGTTAGGGAGCGTTCAAGTATTACGTCACGCAATTTTTGGAGATTATTGACCCCCCCCATGTAAAGCGCCGTAACGTTTTTCTGTACCCAAGTATAGTAAAACGTTTCGTGACCACCTAGTGACTCTTTATACCTAAAAGTTACCATTATGTGATGTAAAGTACTGGAAAGTCGAAAATAATATTAATAATAAAATAATAATTAAAGAATTAAGATTATTTAAAAGCACAAGCCGATAAAAAGATCAAACACATCATACTCTTTATACTCGCCGCTGACATCGAACTCACCTTCTCAACGTCCTGAAACTCCTGCGCAACGTGTTAAGCAGTCGGGCTCCCGTGGCCGTTGAGTACGACGGGGGAGGGGTGTACTTAGGAGGGGGGTCAGGGGGCGCTGGACGGGAGGTAGGAGGAGGAAGGGGCGCAGGGGGACGAGACTCGTGGGGAGAACCCATGCGGGGACGGTACAGGTTTTGGACGCGCTGTAAAATAATTTAATTATTGTCGAGTTTTCTTTCAAGAAGAAACACATGTCAAAAATATATCTCGTTCTAAGAATTAAGATAAAACAAGGTAAGGAATGCGACAAATTTATATCAACCAATTAATTTAATACCACTAATCAAACTTTTTCAATAAAACAGGAGCAAATGTATTCATTTATTTAAATTAAATCAAATTTGCGTAATTTTCTTTTGACTTGTCCTTTGACCTTGGACATAATCTGATTAGTTCTCAAACTATTCTTACCTCATCATCCAAACAATCACGACGGGCGTATTCCTTGTAGCGTAAATAAAATTAAAATAAGAACCGTTACCATGGTTACCAATTTTACTTATTATCCTATTTTTGGATTGGATGTGATAGGTTATAGAGTTCTAGGTCTTAAAGTCAGTTTTTTTGAAATATAAAAAAAATTGTTTATTCATCATAAGTACAAACTACATTTGCATTACAATGTGTAAGATTTAGGAACCCTTATTAGTAAAAAAATATCTGTGTCAAGGTTCCCAGAAATGAAGTATGTGTAAAGATGTGTAGTTATGTGTGACGGTGTTCGACTATGCATTACGGTGTAAAAATACAATTAGATTTATCAGCTAAAGTCTAAATTATAGTAGAAATAAAGTAAAAAAACTTACCTCTAATATATCCGGTGGTCCTTTATTGATGTAACGACACGTTTGCAGAACGGCTGCAGCCGGCACCAATAACAGAACTGTTTGTTGTATGAACACCGCCATCTGTCGGCACCAAAGCGGCCAATATCTATAAAAATATATAATATGTTAACAAGGAATGATTAGAGCCGTATGCAAGTCACAACCTTATCTTGAGTGCTATCATATGTCGAACTTTATATAGATAGTGGTTGGTAGAATACGGGGCTTAACCCAAAATTGACGCGTGTCAGACAGAAGACAGAAGTGACCATGAAATAAAAATGATCAAAGAAATAAAAATGAGTAAAGAATTAAAATGATCAAAGAAATAAAAATTAGTAAAGAATTAAAAATGATCAAGAAATAAAAATAAACAAAGAATTAAAAATGATCATAGAACTAAAAATGATCAAAGAATTTAAAATGATCAAAGAAATAAAAATAAGCAAAGAATTAAAAATGATCAAGAAATAAAAATGAGTAACGAATTAAAAATGATCAAGAAATAAAAATAAACAAAGAATTAAAAATTATCAAAGAATTAAAGATGATCAAAGAATTAAAAAATATCATAGAACTAAAAATTATCAAAGAATTTAAAATGATCAACGAAATAAAAATAACCAAAGAATTAAAAATGATCAAAGAAATAAAAATAAGCAACAAATTAAAAATTATCAAAGAAAAATAACTCACCCAGCTGGTTTGCGCCAACTGTATAACAGTTTGTGTTGACCAACTCGAAAGTCCATAACACATAATGCCTGGAAATAGGAAAATTAATTATTATAATAGTCATTATTTACCAAAATGCACCCAAAATAACTTTTATTTGTGTTATGAAAATAAAATATTAAAATCAATTACTAATTTTTTTTTTCAAATCACCTAGATTTGGTGTAGAAAAAAAGGACCTTAATGACGTCATTTTTTTAACGAACTATCGAGTCATTAATTACCGAGTAGCAGGGCTGTGCAAACTTCTAACAATACTTACAGTGAGTGACACGGGTAATATAACAGTCCAAGTAAAAGAAAGCAATGCAGAAATCTTCGAGGCTGGCTTAAAGAGGGCTGCTACCACGATGTCCGGGGAGTAGGGCCGCCCCCGTACCACGAACACGCCTATCGCTAGCGACACTTGCAATACACACTGCCACCACGCCCCCACCCATACGTAGTCTATGAAGTGGACTATACGGACGCCAGCCTGAAATTCGTATAGTAAATTTAAAAATATATATATCTTACAAACAAGCTACTTAAAATAATAATTGTTTCGCTGAAAAAAACATGCAAAGCAGGAAGTGAGGACTCGAATGGTCGAAAAATATCACAAACAATATTTTTCATCGTCAAAAATTATTAAGCTACTGTATAGATTTTATCTCGGGCTTTGAGCGCGGTGACCGAATCAAGAAATTCCGTAACGAAAATAACCTGACACACGTAACACGATGACGCAATATACTAACGAACGACTGAACGCACTGCGTATTCACATCTCTCTGACGAGATCGGTGTTCTGTACGCGTTAGAGTGAGACAGACTATATAGGCGTGTTAGTCTAAGTCTGGTAGAGCGGTAGATTGAATTAATATCAAAGAAAAAAAATACTGCATAAATATAAAATAAATAAATAATTAATTATAATTGCATAAGTTGATAAAAATTGCTGTGCAATAGGTTTACCGGCAGTCCCCGAGTGCCACGCGCTTTTTAAAAAAAAATATTTTGGAAGTATTTATTGTTACCCAGGTATATTGTAGCACAATGCTATATACTTTTGAAATCGGTTCAGTAAACGATTTTTTCATTTCAAACAAACAAAAATATAAATATTTTTTCTTGTCAATACATTCATACATATTTATGACTTTTAAGCAAAAATGACGAATATTATTCTAAAATAAATAATAATAACTTACATCAGTAGACAGCAACAGTCCCATAGCAAGTCCAAAAACACAACTGAAAAACGTAATACTAGTCTCCCACACCCGGAGTGCCTCCCGATTTATGGCAACTATACCAGAGATCACGCAATGCCATATTGCGAGTTGTTGCGCTATACCGAACATAATCAGTATAAAGTAGAATATCACCGCCCAGGCTGGTGACAACTGGAATTAATTGACAATGCATTTTATTTCAAATTAGAACTATTGACAAAGTATTTTACATAGAATTAATACGTTTTTTTCGTAATCCTACATCTAACATAAATTATATGAAAAAACAATTATACAAAATATACAGCCAAAGATAGAATACATAATATATACAGGTTCAAACATTTACGATAGGAACAATAAATAAGAATGATGAAATACAACTAACCTAATTCGGGCTGTGTTGTGTGATGGTGTGAAAGAGAGAGATATAGGGGTATATATGTAAGGGTGTGTAAGTGGAGTGTGCTCATGATTCACGTGATTTAGCGCTATGGATATTCTTAATACTCCTTTTAAGCACATTCCGCGATAGCTTAAATATAGGTCTACCAGAATCTGATGGCAAAAAAAATTTGTTAAAATTAGCGATTTGCATATGGCAATAAAAGAAAAAATTCATCTGTCAAGTGAAATTTCGAGGAATTGTTTTTGGTTTGGCTTCAAATTTCTTTTAAAAAGTGATGAAAATGTCGAAGAAACGTCTTCGACCGCAAGCAAGACATATTGTTTTCAATGTTTATCAAAGAATACTTGGTCAACAAGATGCAGATCATACACAATCATCGATATTGAGCCATGTGCAAGCGTTGACTGGTTAGTAGGAATGACACGTCTTGATACTTTGGTTTATGGGATTTTTCGTGTGTATTATATTGTGTACTTATACTAAACTTAGGTTTATTTCAGGGGTTTCTTATACTACAAATAAACTTGGATAGTTTTGATTTAGAATTGATCAGAAACAAGATAAATGAGTTGTACACTGTTTCTTTCTCTCAAATAGGGATCGATGAATGGCGAAAATATTGTGAACATGTAATAAAAATTGAAAATCAATTCATAGAACAAGATCGGTTAATTGAGATGCAGGAGGAAAGGTTTATTATAAATACGGCGTTGAAGACTTTTTTATGGATGTGCAGTATTTGGAACCATTTTCAAGTTCTTAATTAATTAATAAACTCATGAACAGAGTAATTGGAGTTTTCATCTAAATTTCAAACCCACATTCGCCACATTTTCAAAAATTATCCTTGTTCATTGGATACATTTTTATATTTGCATGTATCACACACATAATCAGCCGCTATAAGGAAAAAAAAGTATCAAAACGTTTTACTCCAATTTCCCCAGTATTGCTAGCGTCAATTTCTTTTTTCCCTTTTTGCCATCAGATCCTGGTAGACCTATAGTAGCCGTCGTATGTCCGGGCTGCACGATACAAAACGAGTTTTTTGCATGGTTGGTATTGACGTGGATAACAAAGCATGATTACGAGTCTAGTACGTACATGACATTTATACTATTGACAATATATTTTACATCAAATGAAATTAATTGACGATATATTTTTTGGACAGTTGTAATTTAAAACGGCTGTAGAATGTGTTAAAAATGACAAACAAGTTTTACGTTTTTTAATTGAATTAAATTTTGTTAATGTTTGCCAATATTTAGCAGCATAACGACAGGACCGATTTTGATAATTTTTTTATGTGTTCAATTGGATTTGAGAATGGTTTAGATTTACAATAAGTTGTTTATTTTTTATTTTTGTGTTTAAGACGTGTGTACAGAACACGGTACGTGAGACGCGTGTGAAGGTGTTTTGCTAGTTAATATGTATAATGCATTTCCATCAAATGTATTGCATGTTCAAAAGAATAATAAAACGTAGGTTTGGCGCCAAAAGAAATTTGTCACTATAAGAATTGACCACTACCTAGCAATCATAATAAACCTATAAGACATTCTTAATACGTTCTTAATTCAAATAATAACGTACAGGAATTGCTAATTAATCATATTAATATAATCTGTTCTATAATATGTAAATGACGTCACAAGTTTAGGTACAGACTAGGCTAAGTTGGAAATTATGAAACAAAGTTTTTCTTACAAATTACTACTTAAATTTTGTAGGAGAGAGAAGAATATTATTACCCTAACATAATTCTTTTAGGGTATGGAACATCTTAGTAATGGTTCAGGTTAATTAAAAACATACCACATTAGATGGCAACACAGCCAATGTAGCTGGTACTATTTGCATGGGAAGCTGCAAGGGTTGCCAGCCGCTAAAAGTCTTCTGAAAGTTGCCAGCTCGCCAAACGGTTACACCGACGAGGCTGCCATACTGACTCATATACCGAACGGGTGTATACGCAGTGTTGCCAGGTAGTGGTTCAGAAGTGGGCCAAATAAATTGTGATGATGTTTCTGTCTCTGTGAACAAATGTTTTATTTAAAAAAAAGTATTATTATTCAAGTAATGAATTTTGAAGTTACTTAGTACTCGCTTACCCAAAGACAATATTATTTTTTTCAGTACTCGCTAACTCAAAGACAATATTACTTTTTTAAGTACTCGCTAACCCAAATACAATATTTTTTTAGTACAAGCTAGCTTAAAGACATTATTACTTTTTTTGTACTCGCTTATCCAAAGACAATATTTTTTTCTTCGCTAATCCAAAGACAATATTTTTTAGTACTTGCTAATCCAAAGACTATCGAAATAATTATAGAAGCATCTTTTTACTCACCAAAACTGCTAGGAATATAGTTGTATCCGTGGCTTTTCAACACTTGTATGCACGTGTTTGCTAGAAATGAGGCCAGTAATAACACAGCGATTGTAAAGGCGACTACACACGCGCTTTCCCTTTGCAACATCGACGCGCTTTTATGTTTGGGGTCCTTATGGGCCGTTAGTTGCATCACACAGGCACCTAGCAGACCCCAAGTCAGGAATGTCTCTTGGGCCGCGGCTGCCCAGCTCTTGAATGAAAACCATAAACCTCTTTAAAAAAACAAAAACATCCTAATTTCACCCTAACTACTCTTTTGTCTCTTTCCGTGAAACCGCGTTTACGCTGCGGTAATAAGTATATGTACATTAATTTAAATAAAATTGGAGCATTTTTTTAAGTGAAACTTCTTTAGGTGCATGAGGGTACAATTTTTACGGATGAAACGCAATAATAATAATATTAGCGTCACGAAGATGTGCAGCGTTTTTGGCGAAGCAAATAGCCATGGACCGAAAGTAGGGAGCAAGCAAGTGAGAAAGATCGAGAGAGAGTGTGAGATAGAGCGAAAGTCGCATCACGCACCCACCATGTATCACGCACCCACCCATCACGTACATCGAGAAAAAATACACGCTATACATATATATACAGGGATATGATATTTCGCTAGTTCGCAATGAAAAAAATTGCGTTTCGATACCTTGTTACAAAGGTAACAAATTTTAATAAAGTTCGTATTTTTTTTTAGCTTTTTGATCTTCAAGTTGTATACTTACATGATTGGCGAGAAAGAATTCACTCCATTCAGTTTGCGCGAAGATGTTCGTCACAGAGTCATAAGGTATCAGGGTCAGCAGCTTTGTACAGAGGACTAGTGTTCCACAAATCGGCAGAAATATTAACGCGTACACCGCCTGAAATGTAATTTTTTTTTTATTCATAGATTACTAGTGGTCACGAAAATGAGACATATTCATGCAATCACGCACGCCATAAACACACAAATGTATTTAAAGAAACTATTTTTTTTTCTTTTTTGTACCTTGAAAGATTCTGGACACAGGAATGCCTTAGTACTGGGACCAGCAGTAAAGTTGTTTTAAATTATTTTCCGAAACAGTAAATTAGTAGCCAAACTCGCGTTTTCTTGTTTAAAGTAAAATATTCTATATATATTTTTTTATTTAATATATAGTTATTTAATTGATGATAAGTAGTGTTAGACGGTCGTGATTCTGATGAATGGTGAAGCGACTGTAGTCGGTGGATATGGGAGGGGGCACAATGCGCGAATACTACTCCTTTTAATCAGAAGGAAATAGACTATAGAGGCGAGACTAGGGATGCTCTATGATCATCGACGTTGAGAGCAAAAACATCGATGTTGCTATACTAAAAATATCGTAACATCGATGTTAACTCACGGCCATCCGCACGACCAATGCAACTTATGAAACAAATTATGTCTTCAATGAACGCATCCACAAATCAGGTTAATTAAAATTTTGAACGCGTATTCATTATTTGCGCCCGGTAATCGTAATATAATAATATAGTAATCTCGCTCGCTCTTTCTCTCTCACACTTTCTCACTACTCTTTACCAACAATGAAATATATTAAAAGGTTCTTCTTTATCAAAATTTCTTTTCATTCAGTTAGTTGATAAAAAATATCGGAATATATCTAGGAATTGGCTCTGTTTCTTAATAAATTTCGAATCATTTCACTTTATTTTATTTTTGTCAATAATTAATGCAAAAATCATCGATGTTATCCAACATCGTTCGGTTTTCGATAAATATCGATCATCCCTAATGGCGTAGCGTAACTCAGTCGGAATGGGCGTCTCCTGCGAGACTCGGACCTCGGCTTAAGCCGTCGCTATGTTCAAACAACTATTAAAGAAATCAACAGTTACACAGAATAATGTAAATATTTTGCGAGCGCGTTTTAGTTAACGTATCGCGTCATCTATTGGTAAGTAAGCTAACTATAGTAATTTGAACAACGGTTTTTTGTTGTGGCTGTGCATACATTAAATGTGCATTTATTATAAGCATTAAGAGTACAAATAAAAACATTGACACGTGGCCTGATAGAGTTTGACAAGACAAGTCATTTGACACAAATATTTTGCCGCTGTCAAAATCGATATGTCAAACTCATATTTACCTTTCCGTATGAATGAAGTCCTTTACTTAGCGATACGAATACAACCATCCACACGACAGCAAGGTTAAAAGCAACTTGGAATTTGATAGTTCCGAAGCTATTATTGTGATTGCGTTGTAACACCTCACTTTGGAAATACTGAGGGATCGTTAGATGTATACTTCGGGTCATGTTTCTGTGTACCGGATCTGAAAAATTAAAATTATACCAGTTTATAAATTTTCTAATCACAAGTGAAGTGATTGTGTCAACCCGTTATACCTAATTGAGTATAATGTTTTTTATTAATATTTTTAGAGAATGACATAAGCTCACGCTTTGTCACGTTACCATTTCATATATGGCATGTGACGTCACACCGCAGTACTTTTTTCTAAGGCCTCACATTTTACAAAGTGCAAGCTCCCGAGTCGAATCCTATCGCTATGTATGTCATGAATTTTGACATAATGGTATTTTTTTATTATAAAAGGCTCATCTGATGCTAAGTGATTTCGCCGTCCATGGACTGTCACATTGCCAGAACGCAAGTGCGTTGCCGCTCTTTTCTTGAAGGTGCCTAGGTCATACCTAAGAGTGTGCGCTCTTTCGGACTCTCTATATAAAAAGACTTACCATCAAAGTTAAAATCGTGTGGTAGCGACCATTTGTATTTATCCTCAGCGTTTATAAACGAATCCCTGAAGTAAACGAAAATCCAAGACAGTCCAATAATACTATATATTCCAATAACTGCTTGCGTCAATAACAACGAGATTCCAACTCCTTGAAATATTGGCGATATCTTCCACATATCTATTGGACCCGATTCCAAGACTTGGCCCAAACATAGGTGTAACGTGAACAACGGTATCCCGATGAGAAATGATAGTATTAGGAATTGTATTATGAAGCTTGCTGAAAAATAAAATAATGTAAACAAATCTTTTTTATAATTATTAATATATGGATTATTTGAAAGAAATACTTTCAAAACATTCGTTCATATAATAATAAAATTGAATGCCCGCCAACCCTCGGTAACAATACGGTAGTAAAAGTTATCTTTTAGAATGTCAGTCGGTTGGGTTGGGAATTTAGTTGCATTGTTCACGTTTTATTTTCTCATTATCTTTGTTTCTGTTTGTAATTCACGCGCAAGTATTAATTTGTACAATTAAAACATTGTTAAATATTTATTATTTGCTTGCAATTATAAAGAAGTACATAAGTTTTTTTAAGAAATAAATAAAGGAGGAATTTATTTTTCAAATTCCCGGCAAGGTAGCCTGTATGGTTCGTTGGGAATAAGTCGTTTTAAGGTAGGTTAGAAAGGAGGTTTTTTGATAAGCGAACCTCAATCATAATACCGTTCAAAAATATTATGTCAGATCTTATTTTGATAGTCTGTGCGGAAACCGACAAGACAGTTTTAGAAACTAATTTAATGCTTATTACGCGTCATTTTATTCACAAATAAACGTTTATTTTTCATATTTAAAACTAAAAAAATATATAAAAATGTTATTACATAACAAAGAGAATTACTTTAAAAAGTTATTAAACCTACAAACATGGGTTCACCAGCACAATTAAACTAAAACTGATATACGATGTCCTACCGAAAATAATAAGATAGTTCAATGTCAACATAAGAAAATCTATTTAGAAAAGTTTCGAAAGTGAAATCGATAAATTAAGTATGATTAATAAATTTGTCACGCAACTTTTACAAATTACGCAATTTAAAAACAATGCCTATCATAAAAGAAATGACATTTATTTACGTTTAATTTCACGCAATGTTATTTTAAGGTTTAAATTTAGTACATATTTGACATAAGAAATTCCATAACTTTCTTTCGTCAATCTCGCGCTTAAACTTGGGCGGAACGGGGAACCATAGCTAACGTAATGCACAAATTCCGCAAGTATTGCGACTTGACCCGTGATTAAGCCAAACTAAATAGAATTAGCATATTTAGGAGTGAAAAAGACGACACTTGTCCTTGTACAGAACACGACCAAACAAACTTATCTATTGCTAGTGCTATGAACGATTGTGTAATTTTAATTACAATGTAAATAATAGGCTATTTAATCAATATTAAAGTAGTTAATATTAAAGAAATAGTTATGAACTAAAATATCTAGTCATTAATTTATCTAATTAAAAATATATATACGTCAGTCACCTGACCCAAAACGGCCAGGATTAGTCGAATTGACGATGAAGTAGCATGCTTGTTAATAAAGTCTGCTCCTGTCTAATCCTATTACTTTCTTTGGTTTTTGATGGAATGTTATTGCCCTATCCATTCAAGTTATCTTTCTTGTCAAATAACTAATTTAAAAAAATAACTAAATAAAAGAGTAAATTTGAAAACTGGGTCTTATGAAAAATGTAAGAAAATAAAATTCATACCTCCATAATGTACACTGAACATAGCAAATCTCGATATATTAAATATCCCAATGGTACAGCTGAGACAAGCCAGCATTGCACTCATACGGTGTGGCCACACTCCTAGAGGTGTCTCCTCATTATCTTCAATTCTATATGTAATTAGAGTAAAAAGCTTATTATAAATCAAATAAACAATAATATGTAAATAATTCACCAAATATTCTTATGTATTTATTAATAAGTGTAAGTCGTAATAGTCCTAAGTTTAGACACTGAATCTTAGACTACGAGCAATAAATTTAGAAATTAATTTGATCCTCAAAACTCAATACTGTGTTGCTAGAGCAATTGAATTTTTATACCACTAAACAATAAATGGTTATTATTATGTTGTTTCAATTGTACTGAAGAATTTTTAAGAACCAAAGGTTTATATATTTATACTAAAAGAAAAAACTCATATAAAAGACAAAAAAACACACAGATAACAATTACAGTATTCACAGGAAAACCTACAACAGTTTGCAATACAATAAACTTTACATGGCTAATCTGCTTAAGCTAAGCGAACATGTCATGGAATAACACATTCTTTGTATGATAATTATGTAAGAAATCAATTTTGTAACATTTTTTGTAATACAGGTGTCTAGACAAAACATGTGTTACTATTATGTAAACTTGCAAGAGATGTGATAAATTTATTTTAATAAATTGTATAGTTTATAAATACAATTTTAAGTTTTAAGTCATTAATATTTAAAATTACAAATATCTAATTGTAGGCAATCATAACAATCACAGAAATAATACACAAATGATAAATAGAAAAAATAGATCAAAATGAACAAATACATGTATATTGTGTGTACATTTGAAATAGTTATTATAATATAAGAATTTCAAGTATACTATTTGAGTAAAGAAGCAATTTTTACTAACCTTTCATCTGTGCCAATAAATGGGCTTTGATTAATTGTAGGCACGCCATTTGAAGAATCACTTGACGAACTTGATACACTTGCAGCACTACGAGTTGTATTATGCCCTGTCCATTCAGCAGTTATCTCACTTTCTCCTGGTGATGGTAGAGATAATGTTCTATTCATTAATAAAGTTCTACGGCCCACTATGAGAGGCCCTGATGCACTATCTTGACTCAAATTTGCAGCTGTAACTTGCAGCTGAATTGGGGCACTGGTCGGGCGCAAATTAACATGGTGTTCTAAGAATAATATAACAGGCAAAGTGATAGCCTCTCCCGAAGGCTCCTGAGTTGATATTGCTGGCAGCAATATAGGGTCCAATCTTCTCATGGAGTTACGTAATGTATCATTTGTTGTACTAGCTCTCTCTAAGATAGGTAATTGTACATTCTCTTCTATATCTGAAAAGCTTTTAGAGCGACCTACATTTACTTGAGCCTTAACGGGTATATCTAGTACAGTTTCAGCATTTGTTAAACTTTCTCCATAGCATATCACTTGTGTATTATCTAAGGAACTATGTGAATCTGAGGGCTCTGACTGTTCTCTATCACCTATAAATTCTTTAATCTTACATATGAGATCTTCTTCATCACTATCAAGAGACTTTGTACCATCATCAAGGCAAGCCAGTAGAGACTTGTCCAAAACTTCATCCAGATCATTTAATATATCCATAAATTGACATAAAGCTGTTGCTTGAAATTCTTCATCATTTGTGATATCTTGTGATGTATGTGATGTAAAATTTGAATCAGACTTATAACATTCAGGTATGTGTTTTTGTAAATCTTCCTTAAGGTCATCATCATCATCAGATTGCTTGTCTGTATCAGTCATTTGGTCACTTGTATCATAGCTTTCAAACAGACTGCTGGAAGCATCACTTTCAACACTACTCCCAGGGACACTCTCCCTTGGCTCATAATGACCCTCCTCCATGTTAACAACATCCATTTTAATTCCCTTCTCTAGGTTATAGCCGGCATTTTGTGATAAAAACCCTGTAACAAAAAATATTATAAACCAGATAACAGTGTTTTTTTTGGATACAAACCATTTCATAATAAAAAACATACATAATTTGAATGGCCACTTAAACATGATAAAAGCTTTTGTTAAATGAGTGATTTCAGGCAAGTAAACAAGGGCAACACTAATTACACTCATTAGTATATAGTATGCCAATTGCCTTGTGCTGTGTTAGCATATAGGTATAAAATTTAACACTAAAGTATACATACATACATATAGATACTCAATATCAACAATTTTAATTCTAGTTTGAAAATACAAGTATTCAGATATGAAAAATTGCAAGGCTCTATTTCATTTATCAAATCAAAACTTGTACATATTTAGATGCAAATTAAATACTAATAATTCTGAATCAAATAAAACATGGTATACAAAATATTTAAAAAAATAGTTAAATGCAAAAATTCATGTTGTGTGATGTCATAAATATTACTTTAATAGACCATTCAGTTTTTAAGCACTATAAAGTAATAATGTATATTAATAAAAATTATAGTAATACTCACAGCAAGTTAAGTACTAAGGCGCTTCTGTCATACATGTTAAAATTCTGTAAATACACATATCTTATTATCTCATTGCCCAACACTTTAAAGATAACATCTTATCTAAAATTTAATGAATAGGAATTATTTAATAATAGCTTAGGTGAGTACTTATTCCAGCAACATGTTAAGTTATAACAAGAACTCATAAATATTCAACTCAGTTTCTGTAATTGTTTTTAAGAGTATTTCCACTTAAGCTTATTTTAAAATCACTTTCAATATGTGATTTTCAAATAGTGTTCAATCATCTATGATTCAAAATCATTTTTTGCCACGATGCGTAAACAACTCACACAATTAGAAAAATACCTTAAATTTCAATATTTACCGATACTCGGACACTGAAAATTAAAATAAGATTGATTAAAAATGAATTAAATTACATACATGAAATATAGATCAGTTTGGCCAAAATAAAAATACAGACCTCAATGGAGCTACACGAAGGTGATTAATTATTTTACTAGTTTTAATTACATTTCAACAAGGGTTTTTCAAACTTCAAAGTTGTGACTTCTGACTAATTGACTAGTGAGTTGCACAGATATATTATAAAAAACAGATCAGTGTTATCTACAGGTAGAATGGAATCCCCTAGGTAATTAGTTGTGGTAACTAACTGGTAAGTAGTAACTGTATAGGTACTAGTAATCATAATAATGTAATAAAGGCGTTTTTTTACTTTATTAATATTAGTATTTATAAGCAACTATTGTTGTCACTTTCATTAAAAATGCGCGCGTAACCGTCTCTCTTAAGTTGGGGGGGAAATTAATTTTTTGCACTTTTTTTGGCTCTATCAACTGTTCGTTAACTGTTCTTATTGTTCTATCAAAAAATTTGTTTTTTGTTTTTTCAATTTGCAGAACTATAGAATTTTATTTTTTTCTAAAGTTAGAACTATTCAATAACTGTTCGTTCAAAATAAACAACAGTTCGGCTTTCATTATCCTGTAATTTAATAATAATAATTTTTTTTTTATAAATATTAATTAAATGTTATTGCGCATTGATTATCGCTCTCGTGTAAATTCATATTAATTAATAGTTTCTCGATTTTAACCATGACGTGGATATATGTATGGAGTATGGAGAGATAATAAACAAAATACTCCACTTTATACATAAGTATTATTTAAAAAAATTATTGTTTTATTTCACTAAAAGTGATTGATTACAGTTGATAAACAAACATTCATCGTTTCTTCTGAGAAAGTTAGTAGAAAGTTGATAATATTGAAATAACAATATTGTAGCATAATACTCTTTTTATTTACTTTCGCAAATTTAATGAAAAAATATTATTATTTTTTGTAGACAAAGGAATGTATTTCATTAAATTTTTTAATGAAACTCTTAGTGATTTATTCCAAAATAAATTTCGTGAAGCAACTATGACATATTTCTTTGGTAATTTTGGGACCACGTGTCACAATTTTTACTTAAAATTCTTGTCATTTTAATTAATTGCAAACTTTCTATTTGCAAAGTTTATTTATTAGATTTTGATATAATTTTAAATTAAAATTCTTTTATATTAATTTTGAAGTAAAAATCTAAGTCAACTTATAACGTAAGTAGTACAGAAAAAAATGTTAAATTCGAAAATGAAATTATATTATCACTATTTTAAATGAATAATTAAAAATATTGACTGAGAATGAAAAAGAAATTGTTTAGAATATATTGTATCAATATATAAATATATAGTTTAGGACTACTTTATTTTTCTCAATCAATATATTTAATAGGAAGTTAAAAAATGGAAAAACAAAAATACGACTTTAGATTAAGAAAGATTATTTTGTTTGTATAAAATAACAAAATATAAAAAAGTAAAAGGGTGAGAAGATTTGTTTGTTTTTGAAATAAGCCAAATTTATAAACTAATTAATGAGGAATAACATTTAATTAAGATTTATAAAAAAAGTTAATTATTATTAAATTACAGGATAATGAAAGCCAAAGTTGTTTATTTTGAACGAAATTATTGAATAGTTCTAAACTATTAAAAAAAAAAAAAAATATCTATAGTTGTGCCAAATTGAGGATCAATTTTTTTATAATTAAAAAAACAAAAAACAAAAACGAACAAAAAAATGTTTGAAGAAAATAAAAAGTTAAGAAATTAAGAAAAAAAAAAAATTAATATTACCTAACCCACCTATTATTACAAATTGTATTACGTCATGTTTGGGGAGTGGTGACTGATGTCATTTATTTTCAAAAATTTTACCTCTACTAAACCTGTGGCAATATCACAGCTGTGAGCAGGCTGCATCAGTGATGCCAACTTGGACTGGTTTTTAGGGGACCGGTATAATTATTTAGAGGGAAATTTTGTTAAGGTTTTCTTTAAAACGTACGTTTCTATACAATTTATACTAAGCTTTAAACCCAACCAAACAAATGTTAACTTAAACGTGGCTATAACTAATACTCAAAGATTTAAAGAAAATCCCCACGATTAGAAAAGTACAAAATAGAACAAAAAATATATAGCAAGACAATTTAAGAAAAACTAAATTTAAAGAAAGAAAAGTAATATTCCTAATATTATTTTGTAATTAATTAATGTATGTAAATGTAAAAAATTCACCCGAATTTCAGCTTAGTCGATATTTAGGAGTATTTGAAGTTGGTCCTAGAGGGCACATTCTGAAGGAATTGGCATCACTGGGCTGCAGGCATTCTCATTTCTCACTTCCTATACTATAATAGGCCCATAATATTATATTTGTGTCTCAAAACTCAAATCATAATCTCGTCATGAGGGCTGACAATTTATTCAAACATTAAACAAAAAAGGTTTGACATCTCATGAAACTAGATTTAAGTTTGATTGGCGTTCTGGAATACAGGCCTCAGTCTCTTAGGTCACATTCTAACTTGTATCTTAACTCTCAAGTCTCAAGACACAATCTCGTCTTGAGCACCTTCAAATATGTCAAAACTCATACAGAAAAAATGGTTTAATAGCTTTTGAAAGTAGATTTAAGTCTGATTGACGTTTTACGAGTAGAATACTTTATTTAACTGAGATTATTAGAATAAGTAATTTGTATTAACTGTATAAAATATAGGTTATGTAGTCAATAAAAATACTGCAAATAACAACAACACGCATTTTTTTTTATTTTTAATAATATTCTATTTAAGAAATTGAATAATGCAACTCTTTCTATTTAGCATAATATCTGTTTTGCATATTACTATTTTTTTAATGGGGAATGTGGGGTACATATTTAGCGCTTATTTGCGACTCTCGTATGTCAAAAATGTATTGGATTCAGTGTTAAACCGTCGATAATTATTACATGTGCGATAATCTCATAACTACCTACGTGTAGATGGTACAGACTATGTAGCAGATTGTACGATAATTTCATTCTGATAAAAAATTTGATATTAAAGATAGCCCAATAACAATTACAGTTTTAGTGTCGTTCCATTATTGCTTATTTTCTATTAGGAACATAGGCCACAGGCGACTAAGGGATGAAAAGCTTAATTACAAACACAAAAACGCATCAGAATGACAGCCAAAAAATTCACGATTTGTATGGTGAGTTTGGATCTTCGATAGCATTTTAATACCTAACGAATTTAAAGTATAAAAATAATATACGATGTTTACGGACAATCTTCGTTGAGAGCGAACACCATATTGTTAAACGAGAAAATATTGCGTATTTTTGTTCCTCTTTGACGGAAGAGATTAAAAGTTGTATATAAAACGTTAGTTTCATTAATATTTGCGTATTTGTTCTCGCAAATATATTCAGTTAAACTTTTAAAAATACTTGTTTTCATGTGTCTCTATCCTTTAACATTATTTTGTTCTTTATAAATTTGAAATTTGGCCCTTAATCAATCGAAGTGAGAGGGCCAGTGAGTTGTGCCATTCGAACATTTAAATTTAATTATTATTATTTTTTTCAATTTGAAAAACACAAGTTTACAAGATTTAAACTATAAATCTTTGCAAATTTATTTTCATTTATAGATTTTAAAGTATAGTTTTCCTGACTGTACGATAATTTATCGTATATGGATCCACATACGATAATTTTACGGCCCTGGTACGATAACTGCCTGGCTTCAGGTTGTCAAAAATGTATTGGATTTAATATACGGAGGTAATACTTATTACTTACTACTTGGTGCTGTCTCGACTGTAAATCCTGTGAGCCCTTAAGTTTTTACAATATTATTTCATTTATTTTGTCTTATGATTTAAACAAAATTTAGACAAACCCTGGGTACATTATACACTGCTTAACAGTTTATGCTGGTTATGAATATAGTTGTATATAATAGAAAGGTCAAAGATCACGTCCGAATACTAGTATTTTTAGTAAATTGACACTTTCATTTATTAGTATAAGGTTCAATTCCCTACGGTTACTATAAAGATCAAAATAATTAAATTCTCTACATTTCGTTGATAAGACTGTTTGGATAATTATTATTCTGAGATTTGTTATCTGGTACAGTAAGCCAGTAGTCGCGTTTTGTAGTGTTAATTTATTTTAATATAATTTGTCGCACAATGTTGTTTTTCAATGGCAATAGGATGATTGGCATCAAAACGTGTTCATTGAACAAGGTTTGTATTGAGTTATTTCTTCATGATGATATGGTAAAAAAGACAAGAAACGGTACAATAAGAAATCGTTTTTCATTAGTCGAGTTGAAACCATCGTAGGTATCGTTTGTGACTTACAGGTAATAATATTTAGGAATTAAAATATTGCTATTCAGTATTCATGATCACTTATTGTTTTACAGGTACCTACCTGTTTTATTACAAATGACATTAACTTATTATTAACTATAAAAATTTTATGTGTTTGTTACCTGCTGTCTACTACCGTTTGTGTATTTTCGTTCATTAATTAGTTTTATTTATGAAAAAATATTTTTCTTTTAGATTTTAGCCATGGCGAGTTATTCCACGAAATTAACATTAAACGAGGTTGTGATCGCATCAGCCGTTAGGACTCCAATGGGATCTTTTAGAGGGAGTCTTGCTAGTCTTTCCGCCTCCGAATTGGGGGCAGTTGCAGTTAAAGCAGCGGTTGAAAGAGCCGGTATTCCCAAAGAAGAAATTAAAGAGGTTAGTCTACTCGCTTTCTCGGTACGTAACGTGTTTCCCGTTAGGTATGTGACCTGATATTTCGTTTTTGGAATACATAATATGCCATGTTTGCCCACTTATGTCACCAGTTGATAAGATAATAAAACTTTTGAGATGAAATGACGAAATTGTTAGCAATTTTAATAAAAGTATTTTTAAAGAAAAATCATTATTTTTGCAGTTCAGATGACTATAAAATTGATTAATGGCTTGGCCTGGGTTTAATTCTTTGAGAAATTCATTACTTAATCACATTCCTAAATAATCTTGGATAATCTTAAAAATTGGACTTCAAGATATTTTCAATATAAGTAAAGGAGTAATTCAATAATTTTAATTACAGGTCTATATAGGCAATGTTTGTTCTGCATCTTTGGGCCAAGCTCCAGCAAGACAAGCAGTCATATTTGCTGGACTACCTAAGAGTACAATCTGTACTACAGTTAATAAAGTTTGTGCTTCTGGAATGAAATCTGTGATGCTAGCTGCGCAAGGTCTACAAACTGGTGCCCAAGATGTAATTTTAGCAGGTGGGATGGAATCAATGTCAAATGTTCCTTTCTATTTAAAAAGAGGTGAAACTACATATGGGGGTATGCAACTAGTAGATGGTATAGTATTTGATGGACTTACTGATGTGTACAACAAATTCCATATGGGTAACTGTGCAGAAAATACTGCAAAGAAATTGGAAATCACAAAAGAACAACAGGATGAATATGCTATTAATAGTTACAAAAGGAGTGCAGCGGCTTATGAAAGTAAAGCCTTTGCTGATGAATTAGTTCCCGTTTCTGTTCCTCAGAAAAGAGGTGCTCCACCAGTCATATTCTCTGAAGATGAAGAATACAAGAGAGTGAACTTTGACAAATTTACTAAGCTTGCTACAGTATTCCAAAAAGAGAATGGTACAGTAACAGCTGGGAATGCTTCTACTTTGAATGACGGCGCAGCTGCATTAGTATTAATGACTGCGGATGCAGCCAAAAGGCTGAATATAAAACCAATTGCAAAAGTTGTTGGTTTTGCTGATGGCGAATGTGATCCAATTGATTTCCCTATTGCTCCAGCTATTGCTATCCCTAAACTATTAGAAAAAACAGGTGTAAATAAAGATGATGTTGCCCTTTGGGAAATAAACGAGGCATTTAGTACTGTTGCTGTTGCTAACCAAAAGCTATTGGGATTGGATCCGTCTAAGATTAATGTCCATGGTGGGGCAGTTAGTTTAGGACACCCAATTGGAATGTCTGGTGCTAGAATTGTTGTGCATTTATGTCATGCCCTCAAGAAAGGAGAAAAGGGTGTAGCATCTATTTGTAATGGTGGTGGTGGTGCATCATCTATCATGATCGAGAAATTGTAAGTGAATAAAACAAGTTGCTAATATATTGGTTTTGGAATTGTATATATTTTGGTATGAGTTTATGTGCAAGTTTGCTAAGCACTTGGGTTTTTTATTTATCAAGAAAGGTTTAAAATTTGAGAATATATAAACACAAATTTATTTATAACCAAACAATTTATATTTTTTTCCTATTGTCAAGTGGTTGTGTAACTGAGTTTTTGTATTAATTAATATATCTTAATGACCCTCTAAGTGCCTTTGTAATTTGCTAATTAGTTATTGCAGAAATTAATGTAAATTACTCTAATCAGGGTAGTCTAAGTATTAACTAAATAACATTGTTAAGCATGCTGTTCTTTTAATATTATATGAATGTTATGTATCTAAGTTTATAATTAAATCACCGAATTTATTGTGGCATTTTTATTTTATTCAATAATTTTCAGACCTGAAGCTGTTGATGGATTGCCTGTTCTAACATTCTACACTAAAGATCCATGTCCTCTTTGTGACATTGTTATGGATGAGTTAGAGTCATTTATGCATAGAATAAAAATTGAGAAAATATATATAACAGAAAAAGAAAATGTGAGGTGGCTGCGGCTTTATCGGCATGATATACCAGTTTTGTTTTTGAATGGAACATTTTTATGTATGCACAGATTGAATCGGGACCTGTTAGAGAGAAGGCTACAAAGGATTGAGAATGAAAAATAATGTCCAATGACTTCGACTATGCTACTAATTACCTTGAAGTATTTCAATAGCAATATCACACATATTGTATGCAGAATTTGATATTTTGTATTAGTTACTGTTTATGGATTTCCAACATCCAATTTTGATAAATCAACCATAAAAAACTGACTGTTACTTTAAAACTTGTGGTGGTCAAACATAAAAAATCTAAATAGCCAAAGCCTAGTCTATATCACGTATGAAACGTACGTTCGTCGTATTTTATAAGACGACTTTTCCAGAAAACCTCAGTAAGATAAAATTTAAGTAAAAAGTGATGTAAAACTTGTACACAGTAAATAAAAATATCCAATAAGGAAATTGCAAAAGATGTGCATAAAATGAATTGTTATATTGTATTGTTTGTTGTTCAAACATTGTGAAATTAATCTTTTATAGTAATATTTATTTAAACATAAACTGATAATTACTTTTATTGTTTTCACTCATTTATTCTTAAGGTATTTAAACAATAGTTGATATTTTTTATAATTATTATTTATATATATACATTATTTAAACAAAGTGCACGCAGGAAATGCAAAATTGTTGCGTTATGTAGAATTTTATCCTACATAACGCAACATCGAACCTAGAAAAAGGAAAGGAAAACCTAGACCTTCCATAACCCAAGACTGTGAACTGTGATCATCGCAGTCTGAAAAACAACCAAATGAAGGATGCATTTCTTTAGAATTCATTAAATTCATTTAGTATTTAAAAAAACGGAAATCAAAATATATACGCAACTGGCCGACATTGTACAGAGTAGTTCCTTCTAGTCCTATAAATAGACCGCACCTAATTTAGCTGTGTTGACTGTTGTATGATAGTGTAAAAGTGAGGGTACGTATGAACTTGAGGGTGTGTATGTGGGGTGTGCTCAAGATGCAGGTGATTTTGCGCTAGGTATGCATATTCTTAATAGGCCGATTTACATTATCTTAGTGTTTAGGAGAGTATTTTAGTACAAGTTGAAAGGAAGTTCTTTAGTTTGGAGTGAAGTTTACATTTCTTCCAGTAGAGTATCATTAAGGCCACAATGAAGGCAACGACGTGGAAATACGCTCTATTCTACGCAAAATACTAACAGTATTTTGGAACAAATAGAAACGAGATTTTATTTGAAATAAATAAATTAAATAAAAATAATAAATAAAATAGCTTCTTTTAAGGCAGTGTACGAATGCCTAGCCTGTTGTTTTTATAAATTTTTTTAATTCCACAAACATTCGTGAACAACAATTCAGAAAAATTTGATAGTTGTATCTTCCGACCATTTAATAAAATCTTTAAAAATCAAAAACACACACGGTTTAGGACTTGTGCACTCTCTAAATTTTATAAATTATTTTTTACACCAGGGAAATCTTTGGGCGGAGGGTATACTTGAAACAAAAATAAAAAGCGATTCTATTTTGATTCACTTGAAATCAGTAGAACCGTATAAAAAGTAGCGTTTAATTTCAACTAAAGTACTATCTAAAGCACTCTGCTAAACGTAAGATAATGTAAATCGGCCCTAATACTCCTTTAAGCATATTTCGCGACAGCTTTTTTCAGCTGTCGTGGAGTCAAGGATTAAATATTGGCCGTTGTATGTCCGGGTCCGGGTAATATGAATGAATGATAAGCACGATCTGTGTCTTTGGATAAACAACATTGTAAAAATATTTTATAATAATATCTTGACTCGGAAAAATTTTTTTTGTAAGATTAAAGAGACAAAAGGATCAACAATAATAGCTTTCCTTCTTTTGAACTTTGCTTAAGTTGCTTTATCTGTCATTGTCAAAACTAAAAGTTTATGTCAATTGTCAATCATCATCTGCAATACTTGAAACTTGAAAGCCGCAACTCGCAAGTGCGAAAATATTAGAAATTATTTGGTACATTTGTTTAATGTATATTATATTTTACAGAATAAAATTTAACAAGTTTTATTTTCGCATAGTCGGTTATTCATCTTTTATGGTGTAAATGGCATAATATCGTCTGTAAATATTTGATAATGCATTCATAGAATATTCCTACAGTTTCATAACATTTGTATTTTCTAAATTGTAAACATAATGGATAATTCGGTTATTCAGACTTTAGAAGCAGCTGCTCAAATGCTTATGGTAAATATTAAGAAAAATGTAAGTATAGTGATAATAAACAACCATTTTGTGTTTACATGAATAAACTTTTCAGGCACCACCTAATTTGGTTACATCTGTGCAAAGACATCAAGCTGAAAGTGTATTTCTGGAATTTAGAAATTCTAAAAATCCATATCAATTGTGCCGTGAGATTCTAGAAAAGTCTTCATCTGATTATGTTTTGTTTGAAGCAGCTGGTTTATTAAAAACTGCTCTCATCAGAGAATGGAATTTACTGACTGATAATGATATCTCATCTCTCCGAGAATATTTAGTCAATTACCTTCTTAGAAAAGAAACACCATCTTTTCTGAAAGATAAATTGCTTCAGGTATATAATATTAATACTGTCATACCATAAGCCTCAAAAAGACATTTATATTGTTACATTCAATTATTTTCACATAAATTAATTGATTGATAATAAGATAATTATTATAATATTTATTAAATAGCTGTATTAAAATCAAAGTTCTTTCTTAATAAAACTTTTATACTGGCTGGTCTAGATTAGAATTAAAAAAATATATACATCTAAAACATTTCATTAAAAAGCATGTTACATTAAAGTTATCTAGAGCTACAGTTAAAATGAGTGTCATAAATATTAAATGCTAAAATAATGTATGAAAAATGTTTGTTTGTTCATATAAAAAATCTCATATGAACTTAATACATTGTCATGCTCAGATTACTGCTAAGCAGTAGCTAGGCGCTGTAGGCTACATTATTATTGGTATTGTTGTAAAAAATAATTAACTTAACATTGTATCAGAAAATAAAATAAAGCTAAGCTTGTCACACTTATAATTTTAATGTGCTGTATAAAGTAATGGGACACTACTAAAATTTATTATAATGCTTAATAATTTTTATTATGACTTTTAGACAATAGCAGTGATAATAAAGAGAGGAAGTATAAATGATTCTGGAAGAGACAGAAAGGCTTTGTTAGATGAATTAGAGAAAATTATTTTAGGCTCCCCTATTGGTCAACAGAAGTTAGCCTGTGCTATGATTCAGACTATAATGCAAGAATACGCCATCACAGTAAAATCTGCCGATGTTGGTATAACATGGGAAGTTCACTATTGGCTTAAGAAATCCTTTGAGGCTACAGATTTAAAGCGGATATTTAGATTTACTGTTAGTGTATTGGAACAAATTGTCCGTTCTGGAGTACGTCCTGAAGGTGATCAGGCATTATTGACAAAACAACTTCTAACTATAGTTGAAACGATCCTGTGTTGGTTTCATGTTTCACCACTGCTCTCTAAAAGACTGATAGGTGATTTTGAATCCCTATACCAAAGTGATGGTGCACCAGCCTTACGTTTGAATCTTCGTTGGAAGGATACTATATTGAAACCAGAATTGATAGCTCTGTTCTTTGAGATCCATGTGCATGTACGGATGGATCCAGAGTTAGCTAATCCATCACTAATCTGTCTTGTGCAATTGGCTCGTTTAAGTGGCATCATATTATCTGGGAATAATCTGAAAGAGCAATATTATGACAACTATGTGAATAATTTTATGAGGATGCTATCATTGATACAACCATTTGATAGAGAAATGCTTGGGATATCTGATATTTATTGCAGATTGGTTCAGTTTTTTACTCCGCCTATGATAGCAGCATCTCCACCGGCATTTCTGCAATATTTAACAACATACACTTGCCATTGTATAAGAGGTTCTATTATTGAGGAAGGGGTAAGTCAAGCTTTATTCTGCAATATTAAATTATTGGGACTTATTATTAGCATAGTCAAAGTAGAAGATTTCTTGGGTTTTTGTACAAAAAACGTATCTAATAATGTAAATAATTCTCGACTCCACTTTGTCTGTTCACAATATTTTTTTATAAAAATCTGTCCAGCCGTTTGGGAGTTTAATAACGAACACGTGCACAGAAGATTTATGTATACCAGCTGTTAAATGCAAACAAAAAATTCATTCAAATCGGTCGAGCCGTTTAAGAGGAGTTTAGTGACACACACGTACACGATTTTCTGTCTATGTGCGCATCTAACACTCGCGCGTACGGTGAAGGCTAACATTGTAAGGAAGCGGTATGTTTCAAATCAAAAATATCGACGATATATTGTGTTAGAAGAATGAGCTACTATGATTTATGAAATAAAAACGATTAAAGAAACGGATGCCAAGGGTATATAGGGTGGTAGCTCCCCTGGATTATTTATTTATATGAAAAAACTAACTGCCGCCGCGAACTTCGTTTATTCTTAATGTGGTTTTACTTAGCCTACCTTTTTAGTACATAACAACATGGCAGATCTTGCTATGCTAACCCAGAGAATGTTCTGTTTTCCGGAATGAAAACTTTTTAGGTTTTTCTGTGAATTTATCTCTATATAACCTCGGAGTTCAAGTCATAAGTTTTAATTAACAAATAAAAAATAAGGGTTGATCGTAGAGTGGTGAAAATTAGGGGTTGTATGTATTTTTGTATGCTGTATCAAAAATAAAAACAATTTTTTAAAAAGGGGAAACCCCTTATCACCTAGGGGTTTGAAAGATAGACAGTAGCCGATTATCAGACATACTGAATATGCATAAAAATTTCATAAGAATTGGTCGAGCCGTTTCGGAGGAGTATGGGAACGAACATTGTGACACGAGAATTTTATATATTAGATTGGGACAAAACATTTCTAATTTTTTTTTTAGATTAATGATGACACAGTTTGGAGAGAGGCATTAAATAAATTCCTGCACACATGGAGTTCTCTTACTCACGATACAGATGGGTTTTCGAATGAGGCCTTTATGGGGCCTTGTGTAGAGATTTTCAATACGTATTTACAGTGCCGATTAGCTCCGCCTGATGGAACTAGGTAAGTTTGTTACATACATAATAATTTCATCGTAAATAATTGTGTAGACTGAACCCTGAGCTCGTGACTTCAAATCCCGGATCAACTAATAAATTTTCTATTTTTGAGCAAAAAATAGTTATTTAATCCGTTAAGAAATATCGCGAGGTAACCATGCCTTAGACCAATATGTACATGGTGGATCGGACACGGAAGGTTAAAATAGCCCAATCATAATCGGTTCAGTAGTTTTTGACATATCCACGCATTTGCATATAATATCGGTGCCTAGGGGAATAATAAATAAATACCTTTTCAGTTGACAGCTATTTGCATTCGGATTTTTTTATTACTTTGATGACTCGTGGAACTTTGTATATCCTACATATATTTGTATCACAAATGTAATACAAATAAAAATAAGAGATCGTTCCTCACAGTACAGACTATAGATATTCAACACAAATTTTTTACACAATTAATAATTTTTGACAATTTATTTCTAAAAAGACAAAATATTTCCCAGATAGGAACAGCTTTGATTGGAAAATTCAATCGTCGTTTTTAGTATTTTTCTTAACTTTTTTATATTTCGCATCAAACTTCCACAAATATTACAATAATAATTACCCAATAATAATGAGACAAACCAACAGCAATTCATTGTTATATATACGGTAGTTTTTCGTCTCATAGTTGATATTGTACTTTATAAAATGTATTTTATTTTTTAACACTTCGTTGCATTAACATAATAAAAATTGAACATAATTAAATGAAAAGGAGTGCAACTGGCGGCCCTCCATGCTATTTTATTAATAATTAATTATTTTTTAAAGGCAAATACGTAGAGTATGTAGACCATAAGTTTTGACAACAATTATTAATAACTCAACTGTTCTTATTATTATAATAATTAATATAAAAGTTGCATGCCTATTTTTATATGTCTAATTGTGCACTTTATTTGCGAATAAACGATTTATTATTATTATACTTAAAGAGGTACAGAAAGCAGTGACGGCTGTAACGAAGATATAAATGATGATATACATGAAGACGAGAGACAATTACATAGTAACGTCCTCATGACGATTGGGGCGATAGCTAGGAAGGCGCCTGCGCATTGTTGCCATGTTTTGTTTACACTGTTAACTGAAAGAAGTAAGAGGTTAGTGTGAGAATTGCGATTTATTTTAAGTCTATTGGTATAATTTGGTAGAAACAGATAGACGGTACTAAAATAATCATTTTTATTTCGGATGTCAAAGATATATTATATTACATGTCATTTAAGAAACATAGGTAAAGTGACAAAATAAGGAGTTAATAATAGAGCAATTATACTTTGTAATAAATTATTTTTTTAATATCCATAAAGATAAATCTCTCGTCAGTTTCAATTTAAGAAAAAAACAACAAATTACATTAATTTTTTAACATCCATGAAGACCTGTTTTAGTTTAGATCAAAGCTATGTTAGCTACGAAGACCGGTATTAATTTGAGAAAAAAAATTAACAAATTACAGTAACTCTTTTCTTCTAAATCGAATCAAATCAAAATTAATATATTCATATTGGTGTTACACTTATTAAAGTATTTAAAACAATGACGGTCAAATTTACTACCAGTCCCCAAATCAGGGGTGTAGAGCGAGAATAACTGGCAAGAAACTTCGCGACTATTTTAATCGCCAAGTTTTTGTGTACAATGAAATTGTAAGGTATCATTAGCACTAAGGTCATTTGACAGAGGATCAGGTTGAGGTTTAGATAATCATGTGTATCATAAAATTTATCGCACCTTTTCAGACTTGAATCTCAGTTGCAATTAATGCACATGGGCAAATTGTCTGTGGGTGGAGGGGAGCAACTTATCACCCTGTTTGAAGATCTGCATTGGATATTAATGATTACAGGTACACATATAAACAGGAATTTTAATAGTAACGGGAAATTTCTTAGGAACTATCAAATAGTACTAAACTACTAAAACACCCATTTAGGTTTTTTAATATCGCACTCACTTTAAGTCCTAGTAAATTGTTCAAATTGAAGTTTTCATAAAATAAATATAAAAATATAATCTTTCTAACACGTGAATCTAAATCCTTGGAATCAAAACCTAATTTTACTGATTAGTTTGTTTGCCTAATACAACGGTCAAAATTATACAAATTTAAGACTTCGATATCAACTTCCAGTATTTATCAATTGACTAGAAAATGATTTTGAAATTATACAAAAGTTTAAAGCCAGTAGTTTTAAAATTTATTTATTGATTGTTTAAATGAGAATAAATTATCCAGAAAATATTCTGGACACGATTTTTTTAATCAATATTGATTTGATTTAAGTATTAAATTGTGCTATTTAATTTGGTTTAATATTTTGTAATGTTTTACGTTGCAATTAAAGCAAACAAAAACTTCTTTATTGAATAAATAAAAAATAAAACAGTGGCGCTACAACCTCTTTAGGTCTTGGCCTCAGATTTCTAATCTGTTTCATGATCATTTTTAAATCTAATAGGCAAGTAGGTGATCAGCCTCCAGTGTCTGAGACACGCCGTCGACTTTTTGGGTTTAAGACATGTCGGTTTCCTCACGATGTTTTCCTTCACCGTTCGAGCAAATGTTAAATGCGTACATAGAAAGAAATTACATTGGTGCACAGCCGGGGATCGAACCTATGACCTCAGTATGGGAGTCGCACGCTAAAGCCACTAGGCCAACATTGCTCTGCTTATTGAACGCAACTTATAACACAACAGTTAGTGACCACACAAAGCCTGCCTTTTCAGACATCCAAAAAAGGGTTCGAAGTTTTGTTAGGTTTGTTAGACCCTGAATGCTCAAAAGTTGATAGAGGTTTAAAAATTGAATATTTTAGGTCACTTCATAGCAGTGGATTGTGTGGAAGGCGAAACAGTAATGATACCACCAGAGATAGTGCAATACAGTATGTCTGAGAATGCGAATGTCGATGCCTCACTTCGCTACTTGGTTGGCGAAAGCTCCAGTACGGATAACGTTGATCCTATACTTAAGTATGTCTTATTTTTATTTTTTTATTGATTTATTTATTAACACTTGGTTGCCTTAGCGCTTTCGAGCGTTCTCTTCCTGGCACCACCAAAAAAAATATATTAAATTAGACAAGGTAGGCAAGAATTGCAAAAATACATATTAGATACATATAGTAGTAAAGAAAAAAAAAACTAAACGAATACATGAAAAATAAAAAGTGCACATGAATCATGATAATTTAATTTAAGATCAGTCTCACGTCAGTTAGTAGTTAATACGAAAGTTAGGGATACGATGTGGTCATGTAATGTTTGTACAGAAGAAATTTAAAAGAAGGTAGAAAAGGAGCTTAAAGCGAATAGGGACGGGAAGTGAATTCCATAGCCTAACTGGAAATTTATATTATTTATTCACAAAAATACATACACTATCTTACAGTACTAACGATGTCAAAAAAAATCACTATACACATATGTTATTATTATTAAGCTGACACCCATTATAATCTTATACAGGGTGTCCCAAAGTCGACGTCAAGTCGAAATTTTCTCATAGGTAATGCCACACCAGTTATCAGAAAAATTAAAAAAATTAAGTCATGTATTTTTTGAAGTTATGGAAATTTTCCTTTTATTCCAGAAAATGTACACCATGTGACAGTTTTTTCATTCCTGTTGTTACAAATATTACTTTTTGCCAATTTTTTTCTCTTACGTCATCTCGAATAGTGCTTTATGTAAGCTATGATCCTAAACTCTGTGCTGATCACTCCAACTTGTAGGAAAATGTCATTTTATACCGTACCAAGTTTTCAAAATTAATTTATCGTACTAGTTCAACTGATCGTCCTGAAAAAATGTACTACTCCAGTTTGGCAAGCAGCTTTAAAAGTTCGTGCATTTAATAAGGATTCTAACGTGTATAATACTTACTTCATTATTTCTTGATCGGCCATAAAAATTTTTTTGTTAAACAAAGTCTGTTTTTTAAACATTTCTCTGGAATTACAAAAACGATTCTAGTGTACCCAAAGCGTTCCTAATAACCACAGCGTGGTTTAAATAAGATGGCGTAAAGTGTGAGCGAGACAGATAGTGTCGCTACTTATTGCTATTGACACACGCATGACGCACTACAGGTCAGTACGCAACGCTCCTTCGTTTACTACGCATCTTTTCGTATTCGTGGTGTTATTTTGTGTTTAACTACTTTGGTTCGTTTACGGACTTGTTTGTTTGTGATTTGGATTTTACATTTGTGATCTACGACGACCTTTACTTTTCCCTGACTTAGTGTTATTGTGTATTTGTACCATACCATGGCTACGTACACTACACAGGAATATGCTAACATGCACCTCATTTATGGGGAATGTTTATGTAATGCCAGTGAAGCCGCTAGACGGTATTGCAAGAGATACCCTAATGCAGATCGCTATCCGGATCACAGAGTTTTTACCAATGTGCACCGTCTACTGTTCTTGAGGGCCGACTGCCAAACCAAGTTCACGGTGAAGGTAGAATTTCACTACCCTACGAGGCAGTTGTCCTTCAAGCAGTTGATGAGGACCCAAGTTGTTCGGTACGAGGAATTGAGGCCAGCACAGGTGTGCCCAAAAGTACAGTCACCGAATACTACAAAAATGAGTTCCATCCATTTCATGTAAGCGAGTACAATCCTTATTACCTCGAGATTATGAACCTCGGGTTGCTTTTTGCCAAACAATAATTCAAAAACACCGAGAAGACCCACAATTCTTAGAAAAAATTTATGGTCGGATGAATCAACTTTTAAAAAGACGGCTACATGAACCTACACAATCTGCACGAGTGGCACGTCGAAAATCCACGATTGATGAGACCAGACAGGTCACAGTACCGTTTCAAAGTTAAATGTGACTGGAATTTTGAACGGAAAAGTCATAGGCCTTTTGAGTTACCAGAAGTTTTAAATGCTGAAATTTATTTAGATTTCTTACAAAATCATTTTCCCAATTTGCTAGAGGACGTGCCGTTACTATTTTACGAGATATGTGGTTCCAGCAAGATGTTGTCCAGCGCATTACAGCCGCATAGTTCGAAACCACCTTAACGAGGAGTATCCAGACAGATGGATAGGTGGGGTGGTACAATCTCGTGGCCCGCCCGCTCACCGATTTAAATCCTCTTGATTTTTTTACTGGGGAGCAGTAAAGGAAAAAGTCTATTCCAAGTCATCAATAGAAGAGCTTAGACAGAGAATAGCGGAAGCAGTAGAATTTGTGAATATGGACGATTTTCCCGCTTCATTTCACGATCTTTTGGAGATGTTGAGCCTGTATTGCAGCTGAAGGACGGCAATTTGAACATTTTATAAAAAGTAATAAATGACCACAAGGAACGTTTTGGTGCGCTAGAATCATTTGTTGTAATTTCAAAGAGATTGTTAAAAGAGACTTTGTTTAACAAAAAAATTCTTATGGCCGATCTAAGAAATAATGGACTCAATGTTATACCACTGTAGAATCCTAATTAAATGCGCTAACTTTTAAAGCCAAACTGAGTAATACATTTTTTTTTCAGGACGATCAGTTGAAGTAGTGTGAAAATTAATGTTGAAAACTTGGTACGGTATAAAATGACATTTTCCTAAAAGTTGGAGTGATCAGACAGAGTTTAGGATATAGGTTACATAAAACACTATTCGGGATGACGTAAGAGAAAAAATTGGCAAAAGTAAATATTTGTAACAAAGGAATGAAAAACTGTCACATGGTGTGCATTTTCTGGAATAACAAAAAATATCCATAACTTCAAAAATACATGACTTATTTTTTTTTTTAATTTTTCTGATAATGGTGTGCATTACCTATGAGAAAATTTCGACTTGACGTCGACTTTTGGGACACCCTGTATATAAAATTCTCGTGTCACAATTTTTGTTCCCATACTCATATATAAATTTTTATGCATATTCAGTAAGTCTGAGAATCGGTTACTATCTATCTTTCAAACCCCGAAGTGACATGGGGTGTCCACCCCATAAAAAAATTATGGTACAGTATACAAAAATATATACAACCCCTAATTTTCACCCCTCTTGATCAACCGTAGATTATTATAATTGATTGTTATTTTTATGGAACTAAAAAATGTTTCCTAGAAATAATATACATAGCAAAAAAAACGTTTGCCGGGTTAACTAGCAATATAAATATTTGTTTAGATTACATAACCTAACTTAATCTAATACATCGGATGTGACGGTTTTGGTGATCAGCGTGTTATGTGGCACATAGGCCTCTTCCAGCTACTTCCATTCCTTTCTAATGTTAGCTCTTCTTGTCCTAGTTGTGCCTCCTAATCTCTTTATATTTTGATGACTATGGGTGTAATAAAATCATTTTAATTTATATAAGAACATCACCTTCAATGTCTGACCCCAAATCCCCCATCTGTCTGTCATTTGGCGCAAATATCCTTAACATTTCCTATAGGTTCACGATACTGTTTTTCAGAATAATGGGTGAAATACTCCGTATAAGTATGTACGAATACGCGGCCCTAGAAGCTGGGCTAGGGTCTGTCTTCAGCCCTGAATTGTCTGCCACAATTTCATGGTTGCTCAAGATATGGGCCAATTCATACTTGATGCAACAGTCTTCGCAATATTCTGAGGTAAGAGATGTTAAGAAGAGAAAATAGAAAGAAAGCATATAACGGAAGCAATTACTAAGTAAGAGAGTAGATATAGTTAAATTAGTTAACGTAATTAATTATCAAATTCAAATATATCGGACTTAATATCGAATATATCTTAAACAATCGTTTGATACTGTTAGCCATTTACTTTTTAAAATCAGTGTGTCAAAATGAATGAAACACTATCTCTGCCTCTGCCTGCCACAAGGATCGGTTCTGGGACCTCGTTTTTCAACAATGTTAATAGTATCTATAACTTATACGGTCAGATTACACAGTTTGAAGATGATACCTACCTATTCTATTCTGGACCTTCAATACAAAAAATTGCTTCCCAGGCTCAAAAAGCGCAACTTTGCGAATGGTCCCACTATAACCTTTTGTCTACTAATACCACGAATACTTCTGAAATTATCTTCAAAGCTAAAAATAAATCAATCCAACCTTTCCCCCCTCTCATTTTACGTGACGACTCATTGGTCTAGTGGTTAGTACCCCTGACTTCGAAACCATGGGTCCCGTGTTCGATCCCCGGCTGAGACGAACATCGATGTGATGAGCATTTTATGTTGTGCTAAGGTCTTGGGTGTTTAAATATGTATTTATATGTCTATCTATGTATAATATGTATGTATATCCGTTTGCCTAGTACCCATAACACAAGCTTCACCAGCTTAGCATGGGACTAGGTCAATTGGTGTGAATTGTCTTTAAAAAAAAAAAAAAAAGCAATAGCGTACGACAGCGGCATGATCTCCTTTTTGAGATTTCTTTAAATCGGCAGTCTTCCTGATTTTAAATTAGGGGCCGTTCAAGTATTACGTAAGAACTTTAGGGGGAGGGGGGTCTTTGATTTTCTGATTAGGTAATTACGTCAACAGTCATTATTTACTTTTTTACACATATTACCCACACATTGTCTATACTTGAAAATGCATTTTCGAGGATTCGTACAAAATATTGAGGAAACACAAGAGGAAGGGGGGGGGGGGATAATTTGCAGTAAATCTGCTTGCTTACGTAATACTTGAACGGCCCCTTATTGAGTTTAATTTAATTAAGGGTCAAATTAGCCGTAAGTAATCGAAATACGAAAAATTATTACTTAAAGTCTATTTTAGTGACAAAAGCTTAAAACATTGTTACAGCATTGTTTTGTTTTTTAATAATTTCCAGGTGCTAGAATGCGCTTTTGGGACGGGTTCCCAAGGTTCTGTGTGGTCAATAAGTCGAATAACGCGACGCGCAGCGGCCGTACTACGACATCTCTCATCACAGCCTGTTGCTGCAACACATGCTACACAATTACTGGCCACTCTTGCGCACAATCATCGCAAGTGAGTAAAAACTATTTTTTATTCACTTAAATTAAAATCACAAATGCGTTACAATAGAATTTTGTACACTAATAATCTAATAAAATAAAAACGAAATTGTTGCTGAATGTATAAAATACCAATAGCGCTGTAACGGAATAATTGTAATCTAGTTACCCACATGTGCAGTGCAGGCAGTCTTGGCCTAGTTGCGTTGGATCAATTTTGTAACTTCCATATTTCTGTCATGAATAACGTTTTTTTATTTTTATTGAATACCTGTGACAACCGAATGATTTTCAGAGAAAGTCCTTTAGCAAGTTGCGAGGAGTTCCTATCGTTAGTGGCGTGGGAGGCCGCGGGGAACAATCTTCCCGGTCACGTCAGACGGGAGCTACATAGAGCCTTCGCCATTGCTGCTACATATTCTGAAGGTATTTACTTATTTTATGTATAACTTTTTTGATAACATACACAGAAATAATTCAGTAACAGTATTTTCCGTCAAAACGTCTAGCGTGACATAAGCTGTCAGTACTGTCTGAGCTGCCTTTATGAAGTTTGACATTTGACAGTAAGATGAAATACGCGCTAAAGTTCAAATCGTATTTTATTTAAAAACAAATTGTCTCATGTGACATAACTGTATTTTTTTCGTATTCTTTAAAAAAATATTAAAATAAATAAAAAAATAATTTTAGGTGAAGCTCGTTCCCGCCTTTTGACAAGTACCGTGGCGCTGACTGAGAAATTACAAAATATACTAAATATGGACTCTGATACTGAACCAGTTCGGAATATGCTCGCTGATACCCTTGATTGCTTTATTGGAGTCACTGAGGGAGTCCACGAAGTGAGTATTAACTGTCATAGTCTCATCTGACAGATGTCACATCTGCCATTGTTATTTTTTAAAATTGATGTCTCAATATTTTGAGCACAGTTTACCTCCAGAAATGCGTAGATAGCATCAATAACTGTCATTGTCACATCTGACATTGTTATGTTTTTAAATTGGCATATCTCTATATGTTAAAATACTTTACTCCTAGAAATGTAGTAGATAGCCGTATATGAAATACTGAACCGATTTTGATGAAATTTGAACTGTACCCTTAGAATTTAAAAAAATCATGATATCTTTTTGAGAAATTTTTGGGCAAACGTACATATGTGTTAAAATGTCTAAATAGAAAGTAATATCCAATGCCAACAATTTCACATACACACAAGTTTGTTTAACAATTTTTCTTTTCATAGGTAGGATCTGTGGATGAGCAGTTTATGATGCTGCTCGGAGCGTTAGAAAAGGTCCCTGCGATAGTGTTCAAGTACCACAACTACCCGGGCGTAGTGTTGCCAGCTATTAATCTCCTCGCTAGGAGCGCAAAGAGAATGCTGCACTCCGTACAAAAACAGAATGTTAACAAGTAAGTTAAGTTTGACGGCTCATTGGTCTAGTGGTTAGTACCCCTGACTGCGAATCCATGGGTCCCGGGTTCGATCCCCGGCCGAGACAAACATCGATGTGATGAGCATTTGGTGTTGTGCTTAGGTCTTGGGTGTTTAAATATGTATTTATATGTATATCTATCTATAATATGTATTTATATCCGTTGCCTAGTACCTATAACACAAGCTTCACCAGCTTAGCATGGGACTAGGTCAATTGGTGTGAATTGTCCAATCATAAAAAAAGCCTTTATACCAGTTTTTCCCAACCTTTTATGTGCCATGCCCCACCTAAGCCATTCTCAAATTCAGTAACATACATAAAAATTGTCCGGGAACATACAACTACTGTTTAAGCCTTGACTTGTTTAGCTCATCGCGGAATATGCTTCAAAAGAGTATTAAGAATATGCATAGCGCAAAATGACCTGCATCTTGAGCACACCCCACATAAACGAAAATTAATCAATAAAGCTTTTTATAAATTTGAGGAATACTTAAATGATCCTAATCCTTGGGATTGATTTGCTCCAGTTTAAACAATTTGTATGACAATACTTGGCCATTAAAAAGAGTGGCGGAAAGTTTCTTGCCAGTTCTTCTTACCCGCTCAACGCGCTTGACTTGCGAACTGGTAGTAAATGTAAATTTACAATTAATTTAACTTGACAATTCATAAGTGTACTTGTTTACCTACATGAATAAAGATATTTTGAGTTTTGAGTTTTTGAGTTTTTATCACACCTTCACGTAATAACCCTCACTTTTACATCATCACACATCACAGCCAAATTAGGTATTACTTAATTAAATGAGTATTTTTTATTGTTTTTTCCGTTTTGTTAATGTTTGAACCTTTTTTAAATGTTGTATATTCCATCTTTGGGTTTATTTTTAGTGTCATTGTTTGTTTTTATATATATGATATTAGCTGTAGGATTACGAAATAAATAATACATAAGTTTTAATATTAAAAATGTTAATTATTCACTTAAGAGAAATGTCAAGGAAATTGGTAACGAAACGTAGTAACTAAATTTTCTAATTTTAGCTCCTCTTAACAATCAAATTGCCCCCTGTGGGCCGTGGGAATAGACTGCTTTATACTGATTATTCTATAAATTTAATAATCATATTAATAAAGGTTCTTTTCTTTCGTATTCAAAGGAAAACATTGTTAGGAAACCGGCAAATGTAAAAATAAAAATAAGTCTTTTAACTTTATAATTTGGAATCATTATTTTCTGGTTCCAGGTTCTTAGAAGTATGCAACACGACATTTGAAGTATATATGAGATGGAATTCTGGCAAAATCACCAGCATCCCTCAAGACGCGGAAGAAGAGGCCTATGAGGTAAGAATATGCAGCAGACTTATTGAAGGTAGCCTTGGATAACATTCCTTTATAAATAATCTTAATTATTTGCAGGAAATTTGTTCAATGTGAAAGGCTTTTTTAAACATTTCACCTTGATTATTAGTAAAATTCTATACCTATCAAAAGTATGAAGCCCATAGAATATACAATTGCATATTCTATGGGCTTCATACTTCTTTCTATGGGCTACAAAAAAATGTAACCAATTTAATTATGATTCTAAAAAGTAAAGGTAATCCGCGCATTCCCTGATAAAATATATGCTATTTATAATGTCACAACTTAATTGTATTTAATGACAATTCTAGGACATATGCGCAATAATGGAAGTTGTTGGGGCAATAGCGCGTAGTGGTGAAGGAAATGTAGGTCCAACTTGCGCAAGGGGTTTACGGTTATTGTTACCTATGGTCACGCCGCCACTCTTGTCCTTACCAACGCTGGCCTTGCACGCGTACCGGATGATACGCGATTTGGAGAACCACGATCAGGTATGTCATATCCGGTTTTCCGGGTGTGTTTTATCGTAAACGAATTAGAAATTTTATATTTTTAAAGAAATAATAATTAAATATTGCAAAAGAATGATTTGTTTATCTTCATTTTATAGAAATATTTTCTGTGATTTTCGATTAATTTCCATCAGTGTCGACGAATAATATTAAAAATATTTTTTTTTACTAAATATTGATAATCTTATGTGTGATATGTGATCTTGATCTATGTAAATAAGATTTTTAAAAGATTAAATTTCGAGTTTACTAGTTTACATTTCGAATGTTTTATATTTGTGGTCAATTTCCACAAGTATCTCGGCTCATAACTTGTTCAGAATTTACGTGGAAGAAAATTAGTTGCATTTTAATAGGAAACCTCGATGTGTGACCATTTTTTTTCTTGGCTATATTTTATAATTAAAAAATTGTAAATCGTTAAATAAAAACCTGTGGATTATAAATCTGTGATCATAGATCAAACAATGATAAGTACATTCATTCATATATCGAGTGTTTCATATTTTAATAGTGCCTTCAAGATTTCTTAATAATATTTAATCGCTTGTCCTGTAAAGTAATTATTTTGCATTTATCATATTCTGACCTATGGCCACAGAAATAATACGGAATCTCTGTTCCAGCTCACCAATCTCCCGGTGGAAGATTTCGCGATGGTAGTGGCCGCTCTAAGGGTAGGTCTGACCGCAGTGTCGTGCGACGTGTCGACACTCTGCTGCGACACCATAACTGGTATCGCTAACAAAGTCCGAACACTTGGCTCCGACAACCCCTACGCAATGTCTCTTCTTTCGTTGGCGGAGCTTCTGCTAATGTTGATAATAAAGATGGAAATTCCACCAGATTCCATTCCAGCGGCCGGGGCAGCCATTTATGCCTTGACCTGTGTCAAACCGGCTCTGCTAGAAGGTTTAGCTCGGCAGTTAATCCATGCCTTCGCGGCCAATGACCCCGCAAATGTTCCGCGGTTAGAAGAGGCTTTTACGGTTTTGACGAATGGAGTTCTCTTTGACGGTTTGAGAACCCATAAAATTCGGTTTCAGGATAATTTTGACAAGTTCCTAACGAGTGTACGCGGGTTTCTTATTGTGAAATAGTTTGTCAATTTGATATAAAGTATATATTTCAATTTGAAATATGGTTTTGACAACGATTGACAATTACAAGTGGAAATAAGTCAACAATTTTGTCTCGCTTATACATTTTGGATAGTATTTAGTCTTAGGTGAAACCTTAAGCTTTTGCAGTATTTATTGTACTTATAAAAGCGACGTATATAAGCGGTTTAATTAAATCAGTCTTTACAATTAATTTAAACAACCTTAAGGCTTTGTCAAAATACAATTTGTAAAAGAGAAGTTAAATATATTGAGACTGATTTACTTTATTTGGGCAAGAAGATAAAAAAGGTCGGTCTTTGCGCATACATAAAATATTACTTTTAACTTTATAGTTGATTGACAGCTGACATGTAATGGTGACGTTTAGTCCTTCCTAAGGGCTGTGTTTTAGTATAGTCTACAGATTATGAATTGTGAGTTTCACGTCGTAATGTTAGATTAAGACTTCAGCTAATATTACTTGAGAATTTCTCCCGTAGTGGGCCTTTTTAAATATGCAAACATTACTACTTTTTATCTTAAAAAAGGTTTTATTCGAGACGGTTAAGTTGGCAAGGAGTAAGAAATTTCGTACTAACAGGTATAGTTTTTTTGGCCTAAACAGGGTTTCCGAGGAAATCTGTGTTTAATTAATCAACGAATTAAGGAAAGTGGGTATAAAGGTTGTGAGTAGTGGGATATACAAATCTAGAATGGCTTAGGGCGAATAGGTACGGCTAGATAGCAAAAATCTTTAGTAGTCAATTCTAGTACTTAATTATTACCTTTTCTACGTTTAGAGTATTTAATGTATTATGGATAATTTATATTAAAGCTATCTCACTTATATTAGGTATGACTCGTCGAAAAAAAAGATCAGATAATTTCTAAATTACGATTTAGGGTTAGAAATGGTGTCCTATTATAACAAAATCGCAATATTGCTTTTTTTTTACTTCGATCACATGAATCGAACATAATTTTTACGTCTGTCTATGATTAAGGATGTCAGTTAAAAAAATTAGAAATTAATTACAAAATAATTAAGTTCCTTTTAAATAAATTGATTTTTATAAAGCATATCGGTTCTAGATTTAGTATTGTGTTAACTAGAAAAATAATTTTATTAGATGTCTAGCTATTAATTATTTGAATTTTAAATAGATAATTGCAAAAGCATTTTGCGGGATATTTTTTACTTTTTTATTAAGTATAGAATTGTTTTTTTCTTAATATTGATAGAATACGAGTAACAATACTATATGTATATATAGTTAAAACTATTGCCATAAAAAAAACAATACCATAGAGAGTTTACAAAAACTTTTGTAGATAAATCAATGTTGCCATAGAATAAACCTTAAAAAATATCTGTGTGTGACTTTTCATTTTGAAGTTTCAAAAAAAATATATAAAGCATTGTTATTCGCAAGTTATTGAAATTTGAATTACTGATGTAATAAAAGTTAGCCACATTGTACCTATGTTCTAGAAGTAGAGTTTATTCATGTTTCTAAAATAGATAAGATTTTATTGTGCTCTGAGAATGCAAAGTTAATTCGATAATTAACTATTTTCTAGATACAATGTGATAGTTCGGGAATGGAAACGGATATGTCATTACGAAAATTTTTATTAAATTACCATATGGTAATACCCCATAAAGTGTATTTGCCTTAATGAATTCCTATTAAGAAGTTTTTATATGAAATACAATTTTTAGTTTAAGCCTATTATTTTATATCGTTTATTTCTTTATAAGTTTAAGCTCACGTTAAATACGTTATTATTTTATAGAATTATATATATTGAATTATGTACAAAAGAGTATATTATTATGATATATTCGCTTTTATTTGTAACAGCTAAATGTGTTATAAAGCTATTAACAAATGACATTTATGAAAGATGTAACTTTAGAAATATGAAATTAAAATTTGTAGTATTTGAAAATACAAGAATCTTAACAAAAAATTGTTTTCTTAATCTTCATTAACTAGACTTCAATTCGAAATTCTTTTTTAGACACAACGTGATTTTAACTCATAAAGAGAATGTACCTACCCAATACATTATCTGTTGTAAAAGATCGCTTCAATTTATCCATAGATCTCATTCTAATCAGTGACGCCAATTTGGGGGTTTCCGGTTTTCCCACCAAATTTTGAGAGAAATAAGATGTTAAGGGGTTTTTAGTAGATACATTTTTTAAGGGGTACTTTAATCAAGAAATTTATTTCTTTTCCTTAAAAAAAATATATCTATACAATTTATATTAAGCCTCAAACTCAACCAATAAACAAAACCAAATAAACTCCCATCATGACTGTAACTGGAATATCAAAAAGCTAAAAAGTCGAAATAACAGCTATTACTATTTGAATGTATTTATAATGGATATTTGAATTACCTCACAAATCTAGTGTGCAACAAAAAGGTTGTGATTGTGTGGTGTTGGCGTTTTAAATCGATATATAGGGGTATTTGAAGTTGGTCCTAGGCGTTGGCATTACTGCTTAGGGGGAAACATTCTATACAGATTGGCATCACTGATTCCAATGTAGCTGTTACAGTCAGTGTCACTCTATTGCATCTGTGTCATAATTTTATGACGGCTGTCAGAAACTATTTATATTTTCTAAGCTTTTGTTATGGTTGAGATATCTTAGTAATTAATTTGCGCTTTATTTTTTTCTTCAAGCAAAGCATACAAAATGAGTGTTTCAGTGCAAAGTCCGTCTGCGGATTCGTCTGGAAATTCGACACAGTTGGAAAGATTTGAAGATATGGCTGTTTTAAACGTGAAAAAATATGTTAAAGATTTACTACGCTCTCGCATTTTCTTAGGCCGCTATCTTGAAAGAAGACTTGTAGATCAACGAATTGGTTATCGGGATGTGGTTCTTATAAGTGCCGCTGAAGCAGAAATCAAAAGAGATATGATTGAAGCTCTTCAAAAACTTCGTTCTGTGTATCCATTGTTACATTGGATTGGTATAACGGATTCAAACGCTATAAGTGTTAATGTATCACCTAGCCTTTGTTTGTGGACAGAAATTGATAATCAACCATTCGGCCCATTCTGGTTTCAAGTAAAAAGTATCAAGTTCAGAGTTGATGAAATATTAATAACATTAAATTGCATAAGGCCTATAACAGACTCATATTTAGAATTGGAACCAATACTAACAGGAGCTACTAAAAAGCCTAAGAATAATGTAAGCCAAGTTAAAGAAGTTAAGGCAAATTTAAATGAAAGTTTTAGTGAAATTAAAGAAACATTAAAAAGTGCATTAACAATAAGAAACGCAAAAGAGTTTGTCACATTTGTTTTTGCATTTGTTATTGCTATATTCACAGGCAGTACAGCATTTGTTAATTTCCTCGGTAATTTTATTTTAGCTTTATTGAGGGAAATATCTATATTAATTAAAAACTCTACTCCTATGCTGTTAGGTTTTCTAGAGTTTCTTAGTAAAATTGTTGGTGGGTTTTATATTTTATTAGCTATGCTTTTTAAATCAAACACTCCTCATCCTCAGAATAAAAGAAGTTTGACTTACTACAATAGAATGGATAATAGTAGAGAATTTGACTAAATAATACTGACTAGATCTCACAAATATTACATTTATACAGTATCTGTAACATATTCCCTTGAGCATTTAACAGCTTTTTATTGTTTTTTATCTCTGTATAATGATATTTTAGAGGAAAAAGGAGCTGTATAACTCCTATAAATTGGATAGATGGATAAAAAGGATGTTTGTATTATAAATTATTTTTATTGAATGTTTTATAATATAGCAAATGCTACAAGCAGATATTGCTGGTTTTTATTTTAATAAACTTATTTATTTCAATGTGTTATTTTTCTATTGGCACCACTATGATTCCAGATCTCATATCTGAAAGTAAAATAAAGATATAAAAATGCTATGTTATATTTCCACCATGGCTAAAGATTGTGAAATGTATACCTTAATAAATTTGATTGTTTGATAAAACTTTCTTTCTCTTCAACCAAAGTACCATAGTAATTTCTAATAATTTTAAATTTCCCATATAATTTTAGTTATTCTTATAAATTAATAAGATATCAACCACACATGCTTTGGTAGTAAAGTCAAATAATGTTTGCTGTCATATTTATAAATAATTTTGATCATTTAAATAATAATAAAATGCATGTCTTAACCAATGGTATTCTGACTTAGAACATAATTATATTTTGTAAAATTGAAAAAAATATTAGGTTAGTACCCTATTAATTATAATTTGAATGCACAAGGATGCTCTTAATGAAGCTTGAAGTTCTTGTGTTTAATGCGCACATAATATACTTAGTGTTAGGTGGGTCTCGACTGTCAAACTTATTATTTGTAAGTAACAAAGACAAAATTATATTTATAATTTAAGAGCGAGTGAGTTTATGATACAAGGGTTGGCTTTATAGTTCATAGTTCTGAACTTTGATGTCGCCGTGTTCAAATTTTAGCGGTATGGTTTTATATATATATAATAGGGGGGCAAAAGAGCTTGCGGGACGACCAAAAAGGGCAGTCTACGCAGCCCATAGACACCCATTTTTAGTGCCAATAATTTTATGTAAGAGTGCAATTACGTAGTGCATCCTGTACGGTAAAACATCGTGAGGAAACAAGCACGTCTCTAAGACATACTTGGTTAAAATACAAACAATCAAAAGAATAAATGGACTATAGTGGTTTATAGTAAAAAATATGTACCTTTACTGAATTTTCTTGATCGATTGAAGTTAGAAGGTTCCCAATCTGTAACTGGATTTAAATTCTTTAAAATGTGAAGTCAACGAGCTACTTACGCGTCATCAATTCACTTGGAAAACTTATACTAAACTTTCTACGGAAATTACAAAAAGAAAACTTTGAAGCTACGGGATTCAAATAAAATTATTTTTAAACTAAATAAATCAGCATTTCTATTTTTACCACTGCTCCTTTTTTAAATTGAGTTAAAATAATATATTATATCAAGGCTTTCAGACTAGTCAAATTTATAAATAATTTTGGTCATCTAAATTATAATTTAATGCATGTCTTAATCAATACAGGTGGTATACTGACTCAGAGCATATATTACGTACTTATTTTATTTTATAAAATTATAAAAATAATAGGTTAGAAAGCCTGTTACAGTATGAATAAACTACAATGTTAACAGTATAACAACAACTGGAGACTAAACGTTAAGTTTGAAGTTCGTGTGTCTAATTTTTTTGGCTGTACGGTGGCCGCACCGTTGGATAATTCTATGTATGAGTGCAATTACGATCAAATCAAAGGAACAGATACAGGAATACAATGAATCGTCTATCTCTATAGTAGTTTACAGTAAAATATGTACCTTTACTGAATTTTCTTGATCGATTAAAGTTATTTGCAGGTTCCCAATCTGTAACTGGATTTGAATTATTTGAAATGTGAAGTCTACGCGTCATTATCAAATCACTTGGAAAACTTACACTAATAAAACATTCTACGGAAATTACAAAGTAACGGATTGAAATAAAATTATTGTTAAAGATGAAAAGCTTCTATTGTAACCACAGCTTAAAATTGATGTAAAATAATGAATTATTTAATTTAGACTTTCAGACTTGTTGTAACTAGAAAATCAATTCTGAATTCTTTTTAACTTACTTTTCCGTCTAGACTGATTCAATAGTTTCACAGGGGACACGCCCAGTCCTTTTATACTTTTTCCGTTTTTTTTGGAGTTCCTTTTCGGAGGCATTTGAATAGCTTCGTTTTTCGTTTCAATTGGCTGTATATAACATATATATAAACTACAAACTTTGATCTACTTTTGATTGCGATCTATCCTTGTTAGGTCTCATATATCCCTATATCCACACTCATTTAAAACCTACTCAAAAAAGGACGTCGTTTTCTTTAGGTTGCAATATAAAAAAAACACATCACGAAAGAATAAATCTTGAAGCATTTTACGAAATTTCATTATACTGTTGAAAAATCAAAGCACTTTAAACAACCTTGGAAATGATCATGCTATCATATATGATCTAATCTATATTAAAGTTTTAGTTAAGCGTGCGACTCAACTCGTGAGGTCCTGCATTCTAATCACGGCAAAAAGAAGTTTCTTTCTAAATGCTAATCGGTATGTGTCAAGCACAGAAGGCTGGTCACCTACGTGTCTATATAAAGATTATCAAGTAGAAATATAGACAATTGTTTACTCGTAATGAACTACCTTAGTTTTGACATCACTGATGGCGTCCAAGTTAGATTTCTTATCATTTTCATCCTCAGCGTTTTTGATATGTTTAGCCATAAGGTTTGTTAACATATTCATAATCAATATATTCATTTCGCTATTATCATATTCCATTAATAAATCTTTAAAGAGCAGGATCAATGCTGGCAAATTCAATACCAACTCATCTTTACCAAAATCTATTTTACTGAAATTTCTTAGTAAGTCTAAATGCATAAAAATCTCATTTAGCGTCATGTGGTCACGGGATTCAACCAAATCTTTTATCGTTCTACTGCCAATACCTAAAAAAATATCTTTATAACGCGGCTGCATGTTTGTGAACATATCTAAGTCAAAGATGCAACTTGATTGCGCAACAAATTATCGAAATATACGTATTTTAAATAAAAATATCATATTCATTGAACTCAGTAATCCACTTTCACTTTCGCTTGCCCTGGCGACCAGTCTTTAACTACTATTAGACTTTTTGTTTTCTCATTTTTGACTTCCTTGGGTGTACTGAAATTTTGTTCAGAATTTTTACAAAACATTTTCTTTAAAAAAAAGGAGGCTGTCTTTATTCGTGCCGTCATTATGTGCGGTTACTGTGTCATCCGTAATTATGTTTAAACATCATATCACGATTTGGCTCTTCCGTATTAAATTAGAAAAATTACAGTAATGTAAATTGAGTTATCTTTTAACTTTATACACTAAATACATAACAACAATGTTTAAATCGTCAAATACTTTTGTATATGTCATGTACTTAGTATCCTAGTAGTAGTAGCATTGGTACCTCCTTTTTTTAAATTAACAAAATTTGCTTATAATAATAATAATAATAATAATATTTTTTATTAATCAGACAAATACTTCCATTGATTGATTAGTGAGTTAGTAACAAAGTTTCTAGATCTATTTAGAGAATTAGTAAAAATAAGGGAAAAAGTAGTTAAATAAAAACTATTCAGGTACAAAGCCCTGCGGAGAAGGAGTAGTGTCGTAAATAGGGGGCACTCCATTCTTTCGGCTATCATCCGTAAGATGTTGCTGGAGCTGCCCCGCACCCGGCAGTAAAAAATAAAATAGATTAGCTTTTACGATTTTGTTCCCCAGGGCAAGCGATATCATATAATAGCATTTACGTCTTAGGAACTGCAGAGCTCTGTATAACCAAGAGCAAATGATTGGCATTTCTTAACAAACAACAATAAATATGTCACCGACGAAACCTAAATTTGGTGTAGTTCTTTGAACCGTACTAATCTAAGAAACCTATTTACATGGTACTCTTAGAATCCAGAATATTAATCCCCTAATTTACGGAGTAAGCATGCTATCAAGTTGCCTCTTAATTGCATCGACCTATAATTACCTAATCAGTGAAAGTTGGTAATATCTTTCTCCTATATTCAACTTCTGCCCAAATTACATTTCCATATCTATAAGGGCTTATACATTGCGTGTTTTGTGCTCTGTTAACAAGTGTTTTACCTTCATTGGCCGGTTTGCAGATGTAAGAAACATTTGGATTCTTCACAAAAATCGGCCTTAATAAATTCAGTACTTCGTGGAGTGTCTCGATAATTTCAACGTCTAACTGAGACGATCTTTTTCGTAAAACCTTTTTTATATCGTTTGTTATCTTTGAACTAAAGTTCAAGTACCGTCTGCCATCTTCGAACTCGGATAGTTTATGTAATAACGTCGCTGTTAATGCCTTAAAAGAGAGTGGTGATGAAGTTTGTTATTGACCGAGTGTACTAAAATTTAAATCTCAACAAAAGGATTTCCGGTTTATATTTGCAGAAGGCACGTCGAATGTTTAGAAGACTTATAATTTATACTTCGAAAATGAATAATAATAACAAGCTATAATTGTTTACAAACCTGACTGTTTGAATCACCGAAGTACTCATTTTTACAAGGCCAAGATATGCAAACAATAACAATGGAATGTTCGTCGAAAATGCCGCAAATGTCTGCATTAGCACATCCGTTGATTATTTCAATCTTCTCTGGGACCTTTGAGTCTAATAGACCCTGTCATACATTATAAAATTACTATATTACAAAAATTCTTCATTTGTTTCTTATGTATTTTAATTTAGATTCTTTTTATTTTGTAATTTACTACCTAGATGACGTTCTATTGGCCGAAACAATTAGACTAATAAGAGTTGATAAGCACACAATGATCATTAAAATAGATGATGGAATGTGTCTGATGACCTCTGGCCCTTCTCTCATTCAGGATCTAAGATGAATTGTATAAATTTATGGTCCTTAAGAAGCACACACACACACAAATGATTGGGATCAAGAAGTGTATGATTTGTTGTTGTAAGTGAAAAATCGTAGCTGTAATCTCGTATGTATATGAAGATTAGTATCTGCAAATGCACACAAAATTACACGTTAATAAATTTTTGTTTAAAAATTAAGTAAACGTGGACGTGAACAGGATAAGATGCCAAAATTACAACGAAAGCAAACTTTCGTGCCGAAAGTTATTTATATATTAAGCCCTTACCTCATTAAGAAACATAAGAGCATTCTTCGTATATTCACCACCCATGTACAAAAACTTCTTCAAAATTCGCATATTTTTCACAATCTCGCCAAAACTATTTGTCGTATATTTTGAGTTCTCATTGAAATGAATCACCAGGTCATTGTAGTTTTTATTATTCATACAATTACATTTTCTCGTTAGCCTCTTGTATACGGAGCAGTCATCGTCTTCATACTTAAAAATAATTAGGGAATATCTTATAAATTTTTTTGAACACAATATTTATAGCGTCGCTAGACTTATCCCCTTAGTGGGAATAACTATAGCTTCTTAAATGTTGGAGATACAGTGTAAACTCTTTATAACGAATTTCAAAGGATCGAGCATTTTCTTTCGTTATAGAGAGTTTTTGTTATAGGGACGTTTATAGAAAAAAAACCAAATGTAACCAATTACAATAATTTCAAATTTTATTTCTATCTCTGTCTTGACAGTTTCAAAGTTTGTTTACGACTGATATCTGATAATACACGATATAGTCCGGTCAATTTAGACATTCGAAGTTACATAAAGTCCCAACAAGCTGAATTTCTGTGAAATTGTTCAAAACATAATTATGTCTAGAAGTTCCCCATCATTCCCATGTAAGGAAATTTTTTTATTCAAGGTCAAAGGTAAAAAAATGAGTTTTTCGCAATTTTCAGCAAAACGGTAAGTCTTATCATAAAAGTACCTCAGACAAAAATTGTAGATCATACAATTATCTATAATGTATCAATACTTTTTTCTTACGAGCCACCGTTTCTGAGATATAACGATTCAAAAAGTTATAAAAGTTGTTATCGTCATAATATGCACACGTAAAAAAACAATTACACTAAAGTATGTTATTGATGTCTAAATATGAAAATATTTCTTCGTTATAGAGTGTTTACACTGTATTAATAAGTAGAAAAAACTGAGCACAAAAAGAAAAGAAAACATTTCCGAGATCCTTAACCATTTATTAAACGTATCGATTACGTACGTCTATATTGATATTTTTCATAATCCTAGTCTGTAGTTCAAGTCGGACCAAGGCTTCATTGGGAACTATATCTGATACATTTAATTGAGAAGCTGAAATCTGCAAATAGGACAGCTTGTTAGTGCAGTAATAATCCAGTAGACGGCGTTCTAAATTTATTAGGTAATTCAATTATTCAATGTAATTCGTTCTAAAGTTTAAAAGTAAATATCTTAGGAATTTAACTTGAAAAATGTTTTACATAATATGTTCATGCCTTTATTGTGTTCATCGGTATTAAACAATGGAACATTTTAAACACACGTACCTACGCATACGTACTACATATTATATAGGTCAATATTGTAATTCGTTTCACATGAAGTTAGATTTAAAATTGAGTGACATATAATTATACAGAGCATAATGTGGAACTGAGTATAAAAACTTACTCCTAACAAAGACTTAGGTTGAACGCCATCAATGTTGGTATCTTCACAAATCCGAAGTTTTTTACGAGTTTTCGCATTTATTTGTTCCAATATATAAAGTAATTTCTTCGTACTGTCTTTTAATTTGTGAATTGTGTCCTAAAATTTACAAGTCTTTGGGAGCGTTCAAGTATTACGTAACGTATTTTTTGGGGTCCTTTTGTGAAACGTTACGATGCGGGGCGGAGATTAAATTACGCGTTATTGTTAGTCTTTTTCGACTTACACCACATAATAGTAACTAAAAAGTCACTAGGTCACGAAACGTTTTACTATACTTGGGTACTAAAAAACGTTTCGGCGAGTTACATGGGGGCCCCTCAATATCTCCAAAAATTGCGTTACGTAATACTTGAACGCTCCCTTTCTAAAACACACTCTTATGATTGCAATGCTTTGTTCCCGAGGAAAGTAATAAAAATAATCTTGTATGAACCTTTGACGGTCATAACTTTTTCATGAGTTTTATTTATGTTTAGCTTTTTAATAATAATATCCTAACATTAGTCTGTAACTTTATACTAATATAATGATGAATTATTTTACCTGAACAAATAAAATAAATAAATAACAACCCTATCCTATGTATTTTCCTATCCCACCTGATATCTTTTGTAAGCTTAGATAACCCGCTTTATTGATAGACTGCGATAGCTCTTTGGGAAGTAATGCAAATGAATGGTTGTAGTGCGGGACTTTCTAAACATTCTTTCGATTTCTATTGCATACCAAAGAACTATATTTCTTCCAGTAAGTCCCTTTCTCCACTGCTGCTCCGGTCCGCTCGGATACCGGAATGAGTCATGAGAAAAATATCGGAAGGCCGGATGGCGCTTCTCCACTATATCCGATCCGACAATAATCGATACTTGTATATTTATCATGCAACACTTATATTAACTAAAACTCACATACTTTATTTTATTAATAAAACGTTCTAAATTCTGAATATTTTATTGCCCTGGCAAGTTTATTTCTTTTTTTTATATTGTCTATCTTAAAATATTATAATCTACTTAATAAATAATTCACCAATACTATGGTATAAAAATATAAATAAATAGCAATATAATTGGGTTTGGTCAGTTTTCCATTTCCAGATTCTTTCAAATTAAAGAAACTATAAATAAACCTGTGAATAATAATGTATAACCTCTTGGATACTTGGACCGATAAAACAGGTTGTACACAAGTTATGGATAATAACACGTAGTATCAAAGTAAGTCTGTTGTGAGTTTCTAAATGGATAGGTAATTAACGTTTGCAGAAGTGGTAAGTCTCTTGAACATAGCTACAATAGAAACAGTTTAACTGTGTAACACACATATCGAAAATTATATTAGTGGGGGTTTTTTTGCAGATTTGCATAAATTAAGAATCAAAGAAATTACCAGTTTAACATGACAGAAGTCTTCTTTATGCGAAACTCTCGGAACACTGGTGCAATCGTAAAATTTTTCCTGATTCATTCCCTTTCCCATTACATTACGGTCGAGCGTCGAGCTGGTTAATTTATTTATATTCTTTAAATACGAACTCTGCCCCTTCTTTTCCAAATGGAAAGAGAAATTTGAGGAATCATCATTTTCACTATCGTCATTTTTCATGTGTATATTAAATTAATCTAAATATATTGACAAATTAAAAATATATAAACGGCATGTTTAAATTTTGTATGTAAAGATTTTAATTTTGATATGAAATTGAGATGTGGCGGAGTTATGACGGTGTGTCAAGGAAGCTATATTGAAATCTAGATTTTTGTTAAAATCATAGAGAAACTGACATATTATCTCTAGAAGCATAAATTACTTTGCCAGTGTTTTAAATAAGAAAAAAACTTTAAAATAACCGAACAAACGAAAATACATTTAGCTCTGTATTTTTTAAACTCTAAAAAAATACTATTACGTAAAATCTATTTTGAATGTAGGTATTAAGAATATATATATTATGGATCACGAACAATGTAATTTAGTAAGCTGGTGAACGAAGCTGGCAGCAGATTCGATGCAGATGTTCTTTCAGGAAACGGTCGGCGGGTGCGCAGTTAGCGGGAAGGTCGGTCGGTCCTTTTACCAGCGTGTAGTTTAGGCCTTTGTTTAAAGTTATTATTTGTCTTGTTACTCTGATTTTTAATTCCGTAGAATTCTGACCGAGTCTAACATTTTTGCATGTCGTGATACATACCGTTTTTGCTAGTTAATGTTTCCATTTTAATAAGTAGGCTGCCCCACATCTAAAAGTGGTTAGTACAACGGTTAATTGTAATTACGTTTGTTTTCAGTCACAAACAGTAGAAACCATAGTAAAGGTGCCCCACATTTTTTCTTTATGGCTCTAAACGGTTTACTTAGTCGTGGCCTAGTAGGAGTGGTGCCAGTTAACGGATAGAATAAAGTAATTAAAGTTCTTTTTCATACAAGGAGATATTGAAATATTTGTATTTTTGTACAAAGACTAAATCAATGGGATAGATTAGTAGACTGTACTCAGCTTGAGTAAATAAAGTAATTAAATTTAATTTGGAGATATTAAAATAAAATATTTTTGTAGCATTTTTTTATTGCCCTAAAATAAGTCAAATTTGTCCCTTTTTCGTTGGAGAACTTTTTTAGTAGCACTTATGAAATGTCAGAATTCTACGGAATTAAAAATCAGAGTATATAAGTAGATAGATTTACGCAGCCGTGACGGACGGACGTTAGTCATAAGCTTGCTTCGCTTTGTAATTTTGTTTGACCATCACTAACGTTCGACGGAACATTTACAACTTCGAGTTTCATTTCGAGTAAAGCGTCGGTGGTTCAGATCGAGGAATCGTACGCGTATCCATCTATGGCCTTCTTTACGTACGATTGACATGTATTTTGGGCATTTTAGGGCGCATAAGTCCAATAAAACAAATATTCTAAAAATAATTTTATCTTTTAAAATACAAAAATATCACGATTATAAACGGACGGATATGTACTAAAACAGAATATCGCTGCAATCAAAGGAAATGCAAACGGAAGACGAAGACTATTTTTTCTCTATCTCTCTCTCGCTCTATATACCTTTACTAACAGGTCAATGCAAATAGATAGATAGCCTAGATCATCCAGCATAAGACAGCAAATAGGCGATCTCGGTGAGATCCTGTGGGACGGAGTCATGATAACAAACGTATAACTCTCGAGGCTCCGGCTCGCTGATAACCCGACTGAAACAAATTATTTATTTATTTCGTAATCCTACAGCTAACATAAATTATATATAACAAAAAATAATTATACTAAATAAATAATATGTAATATGTATATACAAAAACATATATGGAAGAAAAAATCAATGAAAATGATTAGCATTTAGCTAATACATAACTCGGCTGTCTATTAGTATTCAGTTAGTAAAATTAAGTAAATATTGAGGTATGGTGAGATGATGCGTTTTATGTTTTAATTTATTAAACGTAATCTTGACGCAGGACTATTTTGAAAATAAAACACGCCCCAGTTTCAAATTTCCTTTTGAATTTGTTCATTGAAATTACTGTTTTTCGAAACCGGATCCGGACCGGAAGATATTTCAGAATGTTTGTATTAATATCTTAAATTGTTATAAATCAAAAATGTATATTTCTTGGCCATCTCGCTAATACTTGATTATCTAATACTTTAAAATCAAAATCAATGTTGCCCGAAAATCTTCTAGTCTATCTAATAGGTAAGTACTTTTTTTTAAAACAGTTTTAAAATACTATTATGTTCAAGTCTATAATCTAGTAATTTGACGATTATTTAAATGATCCTAATCTTTGGGATTCCTTTGGGAATCTTTGGGATTTGGGGATTTGAACCCCATTTAATGGCTATTACGGCTAAAACTTGGCGATTAAAAAGAGTGGCGGAGAGTTTCTTGCCAGTTCTTGCCCGCTCTACGCCCTTGACTTACGAACTGGTAGTCAATGTAAATTTAGAATCAATTTTACCTCTTTTCTGTCGACGTTAATTAGTGTAATGGTTACCTATATTAAGACAGTTATTTTGAGTGTGAGAGTCTAAATGTAATTTTGTCAGTTAACTTACCCAATTACCCAAAAGGAGTAAGGTTCCTGGTATTTCTTAACTCCACATTCATTCAACACTTCGTGTGGTACATCGAATAACAGGCCATGCTCTTTGACCCCGACCAACATCTTGTTCACTGAAGGTGTGTGGTTCTTTTTAAAGCTGAAAATGTCATCTTTCATTAAGAGACTTCAGGAGCAAATTTTTTTTTTTTAATTTGAAGGACTTTTATAAAAAACTCAATGTTGTTTTTATTATGATTTAAGGTAAAGTAACGCAGCGAATTAAGCCGTCACACGGACCCCCTTCACAACTACCAGAACCAGAACTAGAATCATATGTCACTGAAGATAAATTGCGAGATATCTTACAACAGGAATTATCTTCAGTCCTCACTGTGACAATTAAGCGATTGGTGACATCGGAACTTAATAATCTCACTGAAAAGGTTGCTGGATTCCAGGACACAATCTGCTTCCTGAGCCGACAATATGAGGATATAAAGTCTTCTCTTGAGGAGAAGGACATCGCAATAGTGAATTTAAAAAAAGATAATGACAGGTTAAAGTCTAATGTGGCTGACTTAACGAATCGGCTAACTTCTGTTGAACTACATGCCCGGGAGAATAATATACTGATTAATGGGATCCCTGAGAATAGGTCAGAAAATTTATTTGAAACTGTCCTTCGTATAGCCAAGACTGTGGACTGTCCCCTCACTCAAGTTGATATTCAGCACGTAACAAGGGTTGCTAAAATAACTAATAGCAGTGATAGGCCTCGGTCCGTGGTGGCTAAGTTATGTAGCCCGCGTACACGTGACTTTGTTCTGGCTGCTGTGAGCAAATTTAATAGGAAGAATCCACAAGATAAATTGAACTCTCATCATCTTGGTATTGGAGGAACTAAGAAACCTATTTTTGTATCTGAACATCTAACATCAGTTAACAATGCTCTTTACGCGGCCACACGCTTGAAAGCAAAAGAGAAGCAGTATAAATTTGTATGGGTTCGCAACGGACGAGTTTTTACAAGAAAGAACGAAAACTGCCAAGCCTTGCTTATTAAGAATAACGAAACCTTAAATCTTTTAACATAGTATAGCATAGTATATTAGATTGTAAGCTTTTTGTATCTTTAGCCTAGTAACACACTGATTTTTTACAATGCTTGAAATTTATTATCAAAACGTACAAGGGTTGAGAACTAAAACGGCAAGCTTTCTCAAATATTTGTCAACTTCTAATTATGGGATCATCGCTCTTACTGAAACTTGGCTGAAATCTGGTATTTCAAACATGGAATTATTTGACAATAGATACACTGTTTATCGTAGAGATCGTTCAAGTTCTACCAATACCAAATCGGATGGTGGAGGTGTCATATTGGGAGTCTCCAAAGAAATTTCTTCTTTCAGAGTTGAGGCATGGGAATCGGATGTGGAGGACTTATGGGTCACCTTACATATAAATATTAATAAAATAATAAAGAAACTTTCGATATGTGTAGTATACCTACCTCCTCCTGTAAAGATTGGGACTTTGACACATTTTTTAGACAGCGTTGACAGAGCTTTAAACTTAAGCGATGACGTCATTATTCTAGGTGATTTCAATCTAGGGTTCATTGATTGGAGATCGTTAAATAATGAAGTTTTTATGACACCTTGTAATTATAACAATACACTTGGCTTTGCCTTGATTGATTTTATGTCTATGAATAGCCTAAAGCAATTTAATAGTATAGGTAATAGCGATGATCGTTTCTTAGATTTAGTATTAAGTAATATGTCTAGTATTAATGTATCAGCCCCCTCCGACTCGTTAAGTAAAATATACGCGAATCATCCTAGTTTATTGTTAAGTTTTGAATATTCTAAAATATCCTTTTTGCGAACGAGAGGTAACACTAAACTAAATTTTTATAAAGCTGACTATGTGTCTATAATAGGGGATCTGAAAACCATTGATTGGAATGATAGCCTACGCGCCCATGATGATGTTAATGATATGGTATCTAAGTTCTACAAAATTCTTAACACCACTATAAGCAAATTTGTACCTAATACGACCATCACGAAATCTAAGTATCCGGTGTGGTTCAGTTCTTCCTTAATAAAATTACTTGCTGAAAAAGAAAAAACACGTAAGAGGTATCGAATATACAAGAATCCTCGAGACGAAATAGAGTATCACATTATTAGAAAACGTTGTCACAAACTTTATGATGATTGCTACACTAAATATAAGCGAAATATTGAGGCAAGTATTCCTAATAATCCTAAATGTTTTTGGAGTTTTATTAAAAATAGGAAAGGTGGTCACTCATCGCTTCCCTCTTGCATGAAAATGGACAATGTTACAGCCCAGTCATCACCTGATATTGCTAATCTTTTTTCATATCAATTTTCATCTGTATATACTTGTGATGAATCACTTGTTGGCAGTTCCACTCCAGACGACATTGGCAATGTTGACGGCCTAATGTCCCTTAGCTTTAGAGAGGATGAAATATCTAAGAAAATAAAAGGTCTTGATACTAACAAAGGAGCTGGGCCAGACTCGATTCCTCCTATCTTTGTAAAACGATGTAGATTTGTGTTATCTTTGCCCCTAACTATTATTTATAATAGATCTCTTAAAGATGGTGTTTTTCCTGAAGTATGGAAAAGGTCTCGTGTTGTACCTGTGTATAAAAAGGGAGATATCACCGACGTAAAAAATTACCGTCCTGTTTGTATTTTATCTTGTTTTTCCAAGCTCTTTGAGTCTGTCCTGTATCCCGTAATCTCCAAATGTTTAGACGGCTGTATCGTTGATGAGCAACATGGTTTCAGAAAAGGCCGTTCAATTCAAACGAACCTCATGTCTTTTGTTACTGAAACATGTCAGGAATTAGATCGTGGGCGCCAGATTGATGCCATATATACTGACTTTAGCAATGCCTTTGACAAAGTCAGTCACGCGTTACTGATTCAGAAGCTTCGTGGTTATGGAATGGGAGAGAATTTGCTAAACTGGTTTAGGTCCTATCTTCGTAACAGGCCTCAGTCAGTAGTTGTTGGAGGCGCTGAATCTACTCCCTATATTGCGCGATCTGGTGTACCGCAAGGATCTCATTTGGGACCGTTGCTATTCTTACTATTTGTAAACGACGTTAAGAATCATATAAAGCACTGTAAATCGTCTCTCTTCGCTGATGATTTAAAAATTTATAAAGTTATTAACACTGTCTATGATGCTGCTCTAGTGCAAAGTGACCTTAATGGTATACAACATTGGTGCTTTTTAAATGGTATGATCCTCAATATAAATAAGTGCTTTCATATTAAATACACAAGAAAAAAAAACACTTGTTACTGTGTATAAGCTTGACGGCGCGCCATTGAAGGAGGTTCAGGAGATTCGTGACTTGGGTGTTATTATTGACAAAAAAATTAACGTTTACATCGCAGGTCAATAAAGTAGTCACCACATCCGCACGAATGCTTGGATTTCTTAAACGGAATGCGGATTGTTTTGGTTGTACGACTAAAACAATTTTGTACAACGCTCTGGTGCGCAGTCATGTTGAGTTTGGTAGTATTATATGGAATCCACTATATGCGATCCATTCGCAACGCGTTGAAAGCATACAAAGATCTTTTACGCGACACCTAGCTTTCATAAGCAGAGGATTTTCACATAGACAACCGTACCATCAGCGACTTAAAAAATTTAATATGTTATCTCTTAACAATCGGAGAGCTCTAGCCGGTGTTACATTCTTGTATAAATTGCTCAACAACCATTTACAGAACAGTGACCTTTTACAGGAAATCAAATTTGTCGTCCCTTACTCATTCCCTAGGTTTAAAATTAACAATATATTCCAAATTCCATCTGCCAAAACCAACCTAGGAGTTCAGGCACCTCTCGTTCGAATTCTTCGCGATTTCAACAAACTGAACACAGCGTATCCAGAGCTGGATATATTCGGTAGTGGGCTGATCGGTTTTAGAGAAAGCATTGTGGGGTGCCTTTCTAGAACCTAATTTCTTTTTTTTCTGATGATTTTTCTTTTTTTTTTGCACATAGTTGTTGAAAATTTTATTTTATTTTATGTTTATGTTAAAAAATTGATTTTATTTTAATGTGTGCTTGCATTGTCGTGTGTGTTTTAGTTGTGTTTTTTTTTTAATTTCTATTTGATTTTTTTACTGAGAAACTTATGCTTGCATTAACTGTCACACATTTTAGATGTGGGATTTTGTGAAATAGTTGGTGGACTTATGACTGTGTGTGATGTTGTGGGCTTTATAACTAAATAAATAAATAAATAAAATAAGGTAATAGATTAACTGTTCATCACTTTACTTGTCTTTTAAGTTTTTTGTAGATTTTAATTTTTTTGTTATAATTACGGTTAGATAAAACTATAATTATTTCAACCACTCATTGGAGTTTCGACACACACAGTGAACTTTCAATAAGTTGAAGAAAAAAATCCTGTCCCTTTAAAAATACTCTAAATTGAATAAAATCAATGTTAATTGATCCCAACGGTAATTGGAAGCTGTGAAGGAATATAATCTTGTTTGTCAATATGCAGTTTTTTGAAGTCCGGGCTTCCCTACTCTATAATTTGAAGTGTATGATGTACAGACCTGTCAATTGTTTTTTTTAATTCTTTGGAAAATCATAGACTGAAGTCGCTCTCAAAAAAAATACGGACTTCTTTTTGAAATAAAAACTTGTGAATAATTTACTTGAACTCTTGGTTATTTGAAATTTATTTCTGGTCCCTTAAGTTTCAAATTATCGACTGTATTTACCAAATAATAAGTTTTAAAATAAAAAGTTACCTGATGCCATGCTGTAACAGTTCGTGTATCCTCTTACAGGCCGTACGAAACGTGTTTAGAATATATGAATAGAGGGCGCCACTCTCGACAGAACTGACTGGAGCCAACAGAATCCCGCGCTCAGATTCTATATTAATATAATGAAATAATACATTTTCTTCGCCCGCCGTTACTCTGAAAAATATCGCACCAAAGCTATATTAAAATTGTATTTTTGAAGTTATACTTCTTTAGGCGCGTTATGAAAAATTTATGAGAGTGAAATTTTACGATGCGCGCGCACCTGTGACACAAAATTAGGAGTGTGATTATAGCGTGCGCGAGCGAGATAGGAATAAGACAATCTACAAGTAAAAAGAAATAGAATATGCGTGAAGTTCGTATGCCAAGAATTTTGAATGACCATAATGACATTTGTCATTTACCTTTTAAACAAATAAAGGAGTTTTAATTATTTTTTCAAAGAAATTTAGCAATGCTTTTGAATTATATATAATCAGAAGTGATTTAAATTGAATATTTAAACCAATACTAATTAATATTTGTGAAAAAACTGTGCTCATCAACCTTCCTAAGTGCTTCATTACAATTGAGGTTAACTATCAGTTTGTATTATTATTATCGAGTAATGTTTTGATTAAAAAAATTACCACATTGTTTAATCAAAACATGTAATTTTTCTCTAGCAAATATAAGGACAAGAGACAAAAAACAATTGATGAATCAGTGTAAGTGCACTAAATTGAATACAAAAAAAGAGTTGTCATCTTATCGCTGTGAAACATCAAAAACTGGAGGTGGAACAAAGCCAAACTATTTTTAATAATGCCAAAGAAGTATAACTTCTTACGCGCGTACATAAGTACACGCACCCTTTTTTTTAAACTGATAAAATATAAATAATTTTAAATAAAACATTTTGTTGAAATAAATATACCTATGTACAGTAACTTTATCCAATTCGCTGAGCAAGGACTTTCTTATATCCGAGACGTCAATGTTGCTTGATCTGCTGCCGTCCTGAAATATTACCAATTACTAAGATATTTTTAATCATAGTTTCGTTATTTGGTATTACCATGGTGACGAGAAATAATTAATAAAACCCGAAGACAACTTAATAAGGACTTCGACGTGATGTGTATCCAATTCGAATTTTAAATTGACAAATACTTTTTCTAGTTTTGCATACTGGTAACACTACCATACTATTGTCAACTTACATTTAAAACTAAGGGTGAGATCTATAGTGCGCACTTAGACTTTGCTCTGACTTAACTATCGAGCTAAGACACAGTCGGTATTTATAGAGCAAACTGCGAATCTCTCCCTAGTGTTGGCTTAGCTTAATCTCAAGTCCACGAAATCGACGACTTACCAAAAACTTTGACTATAAGCCTAACAAAAATGATGGCCCAAAATTTGCTTTACCATCATATCTTTTACTGGACTTTTTATTTTTGTCGGTTTTTAATGAACGGTGTTGCCATTTTGTATCGGAGTTCCATAGACTTTGGGAAAAATAGAATTTGAATTCAAAGAAATTATAAATGATCTTGATAAATACCTATGAAATGCATGAATTAAAATAATTACACATTATTATGGTATTTATTATTGTTTATTTATATTATTTATGTCATTGTTCAAACCCCATTTTTGAGAAATCTTAAAAATAACTGGTGTGATTTTGTATGTCACCTGGCAGCCCTGGCATATTATAGTGACAACGAAATCAAACTATAACCTAACCGATGTCTCTCGCTTCACATCTGTTATTTTCGTTTCCCTGAATCTTCTACCATTTATTACCTGACTACTCTAAAAAATTTGAGATAGGAACATATGAAATTAAAAAATCTGTTGGAAATAGAATTTCTTCAACAAAAATATAAATTAGTATTAGAAATATGTATTACACTTAAAAAAGAATCAGAAAATAAATGATTAAAATGAAACAAGTTTTGTTTTGATATTCTTTATTACCAAACAAATTACCTAGTTAAATTGTGCAATCACAGATTGCGGGAATGCTAGACCTGTAGGAGATCTTTCATTTTTTCTGTGTTACTCAACTTCTGCTGTCAGCAAGATCACCATCATCATAAGCATCCCCTCTCTGTATACCTATATTATGCAATACAGCACAAGCTATAATTATATATAACTAGTATTTGTAAATTTTGACTGTAGTCCTAGCTGTAAACATGGAAATTTCCTTTTTCACACTCCGAAAAACCTTTAAAAAATATGCCTAGTTCTTATTTGAGAATAATTATAAATATTGGCAGCTCTTGTCATTGGATTTAAAAGTGTTGTTAACATGAAGTTAAGTGCTGGATAACCGCTGTCACCTACTAAAACAGGCATTTTCTAAATATCCTGCTGTCGTGTGAACTGCCAGGCCACCTAGTCACTATAGCAAATATTTCCATATCAGGCCCTATTATTGCTTGCACATTTACAGAAAAATACCCTTTTTTATTTCTGTATGCTTCAGAGTGAGTGATACTTTGGGTCTATTAATTTTTATATGGGTGCAGTCAATAGCTTCGATTATACTGTTTAGGCCATGGTGAGTATTAGATCTTCCTAATTCTTCAAACTTCGTTATGGCTGTGTTCATATTTCTTAGAAAATTTACAAATCTAGGAAGTAATTTACTCAACTCTGCAGAAACTTTATTTATAATTAAACAGACTGTAGATTGGCTTATGCTGTTCAGATCACCACACACCATCTGTAATGTCAATAAATTATTATTAGTCACATATATGTTATGTTTCTGAAAGTCAGAAGACAAAAGTCTTCAACATATGTATTTAAAATCATTTGAGAAGAGGTATAATATATCAAATTGAAAAACCATACATATTTATGAACACAATATTACCTGAAAATATCCAGTTGCATTTTTATGCCTTAATGCAATAAGTATTTGCAATTGCGGTAGGTTTGGCGATCCTCTGTTGTTATAAGGTTGCAAGTTTGTAATGATCAGCGTCAGGATCACATTTAATACCGTGTGTTTCAAAATACGGTTCCTTCTTTTGAATTCATTCTCACCGTACAGGATGGAAGGATTTTGGTTTTATTAGTTCCGAACATATACTTTAGGCATTCGTGGATTCATATCGGCTGCAGTTCCTACCCTTTCAATGTTTTCTATTGAAGATAGAACTCTCTCTCTCCATCATGTCACTTTCGATATTGATATTTCCAAGCGGTCCATGTAACAAAGCCAAATCACAAAACGTCACAGTGCTTCGGGAATGCGTAGGAGTTAAGTAGGTATACGATCCAGATTGGTCCAGGTCCAAGTCACAAAGCCAGTCGTTTTTTTGAAGAAAGTTAAATTTAATATTTATAAGCTCATACAAACAGAAACAGAAAAGAGAAAAAGTGGTTTAAAATTTTCAATTGTTGATACAAGTGCTCTGTTGCTGTTGTCAAAACATTGCGATCCGTTCTACGTAATAAAATTATTGTCATCTTTAAATAATTAATACATTTTCTAAAGGTTACTCGTAAATTTCTAGTTATTGCAATAATAAAATAAATGAATACATAAATAACAATAAATTGAAGATATATGTGTACCGTTTTAGATGTTTAAATATTTGTTATTGTTTACTTTTTTAAAGGATAATAAACAAAGTATTGCATGAAATGAAACATCAATTTGTATTTTGACATTTTCTGTCTTAGCTTGGGCTTAGCTTAATCTCACCGTTAAAATGTCTATAAATACGAAATCATAGTTTAACCTTAGTGTACACTAAGCAAAGTTTTTCGTAAGGTAAGTCTGAGCAAAGTCCAAGTGCGCACTATAGATCTCACCCTAAGTGACGTTTAGAGCAGGCCATCTGTCATTTGTCACTATGACCCCTTATAGATTTATTTGTTTGTTTGTAGCGGATGAAAACGAATAATCCCCATATATAATACCAATGCAAAGCTACATTAATATTAAATAGAGTCTGGCTAATGAAAGAAGATAATTGAATTATTTGAAAACTTTCGGATGGCAACACAGAATGTCACTGAATTTCTTAAGGTGGGAACTGACCAAAGTTACGAGGTGTAATGAAGCATTCGCATCGAGCGTGTTACGCATCGAGCATGTTACGCTGTGTATTAAAATCTGCGTAACATGCTCTTCAAAACTCTGTGCTCCGCTTTCGCCGCAAGTGTTCACGAGATGGCCGACAGCGAGGACGTGTTGATATCTTTCATTCTATTTAATTATTGTTTCATCCAAATTAAGAAGAAGAAAAAATGTTACTGGACATCAAACTTATTTAAAAACACAGGCGTATGAGGTGGTTTGTTGTTGATAGCAATATTAAAAAACCAAATGATTACTGGACAGTATAAAAACTTTGTAAGCATGTCTCGATTCTGAAGAACTTTTGAATATAATTGGACCAAAAGTACTTAAATAAATTGTGCGTGTACTAGGTGTACACACGTAAGAAGTGAAACTTCTTTATGATCTTATTTTTCTAAAAATGATCTACTATATGTAACTTTACAGAAATTCGTTAAATTAGATAAAGTTTAACAGAAGGCTTTTATTATCATAGACATGAATACAAATATTTCATTTTACCTTTTTACTACGAAGATTATTATAGAATTTCATTAATTGTAATAGAATTATTACTATCATTGAAAAACGTGACGATTTGCTACAAAATTTCTCCCATACGTCGATAAAGAAGTTTCATTCCAACGCCGATAAAGAAGTTTGACTTCAAAAAGCAACATGGCGCGTAACCGAAAAATGTGACGCGTAACGAAAAAATGTTACACTAAATTTTTTTCCAACCTCGCTAAACGCGACGCGTACTGACTGAACCGCGTAACAGTCAAATGATTCGCCAAAAAACTGACAGCCGGGTGGAGCACTCAAAGCGAGCAACGAGCGGCTCGTCGCTCGCTGGTTTCCCCGTAACACGACGTACTGACTGCACGAATGCTCACTGTGTAACGTGTTACATTACACCTCGTAGCTTTGGTCAGTTCCCACCTTTAGGTTAGTCGTAGTTATGATTTATTGTCTGGATACTTCATGCAATTACTCATTTTTTTTCTATTATATATTTGTTCCGAATAGTTAACAGGCCTAAACTTTGTTGGAGTTTACTCCTTAAGAAACGATTTGAGTTATAAGGCCCGGTACGGAAAGTTTATGAGGGGTAAAATCAAGTGTAACACGAAAAGTTGAGGCGTTATGTAGAAAGAGACAAATGGATTGAACGTGTAAAAGAATGAGATGGAATACATTACACAGACTTTTCTATTTTGAATTCACGTTTTGACAGCCACGTTACAACATTGTCAGTGTTGACAGGTGTAAAAAATAAAAGTAGATTGTCTAGCGTGCCATAGAGTTTTGTCAATAGTAATGGTCAGTGAAATTAAAACTAAAAAGATTGTTCATTCTTATTCTTCTCTTACTATAAAGGTAACTTTGGTCACAGAAAGAAAATCCTATTTGGGCATAGATGATGTAGGTACGTTTTATTACTACTACAAACATTTATATTATAAAAACATATATTCTTACCACCTTTAGTATGAAAATATGGTCGACAGCCACAGAACATTATCGCCATTTTATCGTTCGTAAGGAGTAAACTCTAATCGTGCGTCGTAGCTGACACACACACACTTTTTTTTATTTATTTTTTGGAATCTGATTTTGATTATTCAGAATAAAGTTGTGTTTTAAAATAAATATAGCTTTAGTTTTCTATGCAATGCTAGTCATTTTAAGTATAAATAGTAAAATACTAATTACGTATAGTATTTAATTTCATAGAAATACAGTTTCATTGTAAAAATAATAAAATCAAGTATCAAGTAAGTTTAATCCACAAAATATATCAAACTTTTAGGGATACCATACTATTTTTATTTGAATTTGCCGCGCTTTTTCGTTATCTTCTTTCATCAGCCAGACTCTTGCCAGTAAAATTACGATACGGTGAACGGCGCGCGCATCAATGAAAATTGTTACACAAAAAAAAAAAAAACACGCTCTATGGTATTGGAATTGAACTCTTCGTACTGAATAGTCCATTTATTGGGAAAGGCTATAACACTGAATTAACGCGTGAACACAGTACACAACACATCACAGGCTAGAACAAGTATCGAAAATAAAAAATATCTCTCAGTTTGATTAAGAACTTTTGGATAAGGTTTTAGTTATTTAGAAACAAATGCGTAATATTGACACATGAATTAATCAAATGTAAACTGCCTTCTGTCAATGTCAATCTGTCAGACAAATAATTTAGGGCAACTGTCACGGATCAAAAAAGGAAGTTATAGTATTGTCTTTGATTGACATAACCTTTACACATTAAAAAAACTTTTTAACCGGATTAAAGTTATGTATTATTATAAATTTACAATTATTTAACATAATTTTAAATTTATCCGACGTTTTGCGTGCTTTACAGCGTGCGTGGTCACGGTGACTGAAGATAAGGTGTTGATGACAAAAAGTATCACAGTGTAGGGAAAGTTGCATATCTGTATTTATTTCCCGGGTTGGTATCGACTAAAAGATGAGGGTTTTGGCAAAGTCAGGTGTCCTCTATTATGTCCGGATTAAAGTTATGTTTTGTTATATTTATAATAATACATAACTTTAATCCGGTTAAAAAGTTTTTTCTTAAAAAAAGAAGTTTCTTATTTATTAAACTGCTCACGTGATTAACATTCGAACAAAACTAGTCGTGACTCGTGTGCATCAGTTATTACCTGTTTGTCCCAATCGGAATCTGAGCCTGAAGATTCTCTCCGACTTTTTTGTTCTCTATCAGCGCGTCTCCCCATTATCCGATCGTCGCTGATTTCGCTGGAATATTATAAATTATTTCAAAGGTTTCATTTTGTTAAAAATTTAAAGTTCCTAACATTCCATTCCCGGTGAAACAATAATTGTCGCAAACCTAAGCCTTTGGCATAGCAAACGAGCTGAAGCCAGATGTTACTTAACAATTTACAAAGTCACCGATTAACACTTACTCTGCTTGATAGATCGCGAGTGTGTTGCCGGCCTTTTAGGAATCGGTACGATCTTTACTTGTCAGACCGTAAGGAAGCACTCAGTTTGCAACGGTAAACAGTGGTGGAGGTTATTTAGTTTAAATATCTTGTGATAGAAAACTTATGTGTAATAACATAGACGCAAGAATAAAAATATGCTCGAGAATAATTGTCATGTCAAAAGTGTAAAATTTTTAAAAATGGAATGGAATTGCCGGAATAATGAAAGAATTAACAGAAATATAGCTTCAGTCAGGTCGTCTCATTTCAACACAGTGTTAATGCAATTTAACAGAAAAAGACGAACGAGCCTTACAAGAAGGATCACACTGTTTTAAAACACATTCAATAGACCAGACAGTCCAGAGTCATTATAAATATTTATCTGTCTTTACTTCTCTATTGTTTCATCTCTTTCTGCCAAATTGTGTTTACGCTGTAATGAAAAGAGATGAGTAGATAAGTTTTTAAATAGGAGATATAGTCTATTTATAATTATATAATTCTCACCTAGTACTCTTAAGACTTCCAGAATCTTCGGAATAGCTGACATCAACACTAGAATGCCGGTATTTGTTCGAATACCATTGTGAATACAGATTATGATGGCTTGTACTGTGGGCACTTTGTATGTCGACTGTGTTTATATGTTCTGAGGAATTGTGCCTTCGTTTTATATCGAGTTGTGATTTTGAAAGCTTTAATGTCGCTGATCGGATGATATCCGATTTTAATGCTGAAATATAATTCTTAAAATGTGTAAATTTTATCAATAAAAATGTCCATATTAAATAAATTAGTTATAGGAGGGCGGGTCCATTTTAAGGAAAAATAAATCCAGGAAAACCAGACAGCATAGATACATATAACAATTTATGTTTTTACACCGTAATCGAACCCGCTTTATATAGGGTTTTATAAAACTTACAAATATCCTTCTTTCTTCCCTGTTTCGTTAATTTTTCTGGCGATAACTGTAACTGCGGTTGAGTGTTGGATTTAAACCAGGCAGACAAATATCTATCAAGTCCGACATCAAATAATAGTTCCACACAGCTCTCGCATTCTTCTACGTAGAAAGGGGACGGTGGGGTAACGCCTATTGCCTGAAAATGCATTACTATATTCAGTTAAAGGGGAAGATGTAGTTACGCCTATTGCCTGAAAATGCATTACTACATACAGTAAAGGGGGAAGGTGGGGTAACGCCTATTGCCTGAAAATGCATTACTATATTCAGTTAAAGGGGAAGGTGGGGTTACGCCTATTGCCTGAAAATGCATTACTACATACAGTAAAGGGGGAAGGTGGGGTTACGCCTATTCCCTGAAAATGCATTACTACCTACAGTAAAAGGGGAAGGTGGGGTTACGCCTATTACCTGAAAATACATTACTACATACAGTAAAGGGGTAAGGTGTGGTTACGCCTATTCCCTGAAAATGCATTTCTACATACATTAACGGGGCAAGGCCTCCTTAAGTATTTCCGAACCAATTTGACTTAGGTTTGTCAAGAACAGCGAACAGCGCACTTGCCTTCTGGCAATGTGAGTGTCCATGGGCGGTATCACTTAACATCAGATAACCTACTACCCGTTTGCAGTTACTATAGGACTGTTTTCTTACACATAGTCTAAGTTTTTCCGACTACAAGTGATTAGAAAATGTCTTGTCTGACTCACGTCTTCAGTGCAACCGCCAGCCTCCATCAGTGTTGCCAGGATAAAGTTCCCCTTGCCAACAATTAGGAGAAACCATCTGCCATCCGGTATCCTGAAATTATGTTTACTTTTTTATTTTAAAATTAAATTACAAGTCATTATTTTAGACTATATTTTTTATTCGATTTGAGTGAATTATCTAAGTTAAAAGCTTGTTCTCGCTGCCAGAACAGACGTACGGACGACGTACCCGGCCTCCCAGCTCTATAAAACAGGATGAATTGGCCGATGTGAAAGGCCCTTGCTGTGCCAAGGTCCATTCCACATCATTCGTGGCCGTACAGGACCGTAATATTAACGGCTGATCGCGTGGCTGGATGCGGACAAGGCCACGCTGTTACCGTGTCCTACCCCGGGCGATTGCTGGTGGCGCCGTGGGGTTTTAGTGGGTATGCACAACAGCGAGTCCCACATAACCCTTCCCCACCAGGCCAACCATGCCGCGGGAGGGTATGCGTAACGCATTTCCCCACGAAAAAAAAAAAAAAAAAGACGTACGGACGAAAAACATTATGAGGAAACCAATATACCTTGTGTGTCAGGCACAAAAGACTGATCATCTACCGACGTAATTAAGAAAAAACAATCACGAAACAGATTCTAAAATCTGAGGCCCTGACTAAAGGGTTGTAGCGAAAATGGTTGCTTTTTGTTGTTGTTTGGTTTGATTTGAACTCTGCCAATTTGGTTCAAGGAAGCGTATGCTTCATGATTATTAAGAAAGTATTTGTTTTCCAGAATATCGTTGAATTACATACCTATACTCGTGACAATATTTATTTTGATTTCTATGTTCATTAATATACACCTCTCGCCATAGAACAAGCTTTTCAATATCTTTCTGAACACTCAATTGTAGAATGCCATTTAATTTGAGATAAGATGTGATTTCTATTAAATCGTTGTCTTGTAAATGTGAACATAGTAAATGCCCAGAATAGAAAAGACAAGCGCCAATGACAGTGTACATTCTTTGAAAGTTCTCTACGTCATCTGTCTGAAAAAAATAAAGATTTTAGCTACTATATTATGTATAAAAGTAATCCCTGTTTATGGAATGTCCCAGGCTCGCACTCATTTTTGCTTCAGAACAATTAAGTTATATAATATATATCGTCAAACAAGATCAAAAAAAAAATTTCGAATTAAGTGGACTTGGAACTCAAACTTTAGTTCTACTAATTTTTTTTCGTGATTTTTGACGTGACAACGTCTGATAAATTGATCAACATCGGCTGCACGCACGAAAAAGCATGACTATCATGACATAACATTGTCCAGTTACGCTCATTGTACGCTTGCGCCGCATCTATCTCTGTTCCACTAGATTGGCCTATGCGGCCGAGGATGGGCCCGCGCGGCGGGCGCCACGGGGCGCCCCCCCCCCCCCCGGCCCCCCCATCAAGAAGAAAAAAGAGGAAGAAAAAAAGAAGGGGAGGAAAGCACGCCCGCGGGGGGGGGGCCCCCCCGGGGGGGGGGGGGGGGGGGGGGGGGGGGGGGGGGGGGGGGGGGGGGGGGGGGGGGCCCCCCCCCCCCCCTCCTAATTCTTTGTATCCATAAAAAATAGTGATACTTCAATAAAAATTATTCAATTTTATTAATAAAAGTATGCAATAATTTCATCAGTTTTGTTATGACGTTGTCACGTTAAACTATAGTCCGTAAACCGACTTTACAGACAACCATTTTTTTACTACTGTAAATATATAAAATAAATTATAAATATTTATTTTATCTCTGGTAAATAAGATTTAAGTTAAGTCAGTATCATCAGATTTTAATAATTAACCACTGAACAAAATGATTATCAAACCAACTTAAAACGCTTCAGCCTTTATTTAATGTATCTCTAGTATTAATTTATTATTTTATCTAAACTAATATTATAGTAAATCTCTAGATTTATTGAACAGATCGCGAAAATTCTTTTACCAATATAAAGCCAGGTTATTTTTGAGTGTGTATTAGATAATTATAATCAGGATATTATATTAATTAAAAAAATATTTATGCAGTCGGAGAAAAAATGGTCGAACGGAAACTTTTTTTATGTACGCTGACGGACGCATTATAATATAAAAATTCAGCGTCAGCATAATGTCTAAACCGTGTCTATCTGTCTGTATGTTCGCGATAAATTAAGAAACTACTGCACGTAATTTATTACAGTTTTAACTAATATCTAGAATGATTTAAATATGTAATTTTTCAAGTAATTAATAATAAACTAAGTAATTTGCCAAGCCTGGGCAGGTCGCTAGCTAATAACAAGATAAAATTCCTACCCATTCTCTATAATCAGCAGCCTCTAATTCAGTAATAGCATCATCAACCTGAATTTTCACTTCCAACGGTAAGGAGACTGCATGAGCACCAATTACTTCTTGAAAATTCCCACTTCTCTTATTACCAAACAACAAAGTCGCAAAAATACGACAAAATAACCCATCCAACTTGTCCACATTTTTTTGTTTGGTAAAACATGTTTTTAAAGACCCATATAAAAACTCCAGCATTCTTACTATATCTTGTATAATTCGTTTAACACAAAACACATCTATTGCGGAGTTTGGCATTGCTATCAACATTAAGTCTCCATTGTGTGACTTGTATGCAACATTAACAAGTGTAGAATTATGTAAAAGTGTTGATACCAGTGGTTCACTTGTTCCGAGTGATTTTGGGGCTAAATGGTTTAGCGTTATATAGGCACCTCTTGTGTTGTAAAGAAAATTGTTATTAAGCGGTCTCGGATAACAATATAGCACCCCTTTGTCATCATTATTCTGGAATTCCACATCATTACAACAAATGTACAGTATGGAACACAGTGATTCTTTAAGTATATGAGTAACAGAGTTTTCTGGTGCACTTTTCAGTAACTTTTCAATATCAATATTAAGCCCTTCCGAGACAACTTGGAACATTAGTCGTGGATTCTCCACATCTTCAATGACCCTCTGAAGAAGATTATTAATGTTATATGTATTAACATCAATTCCATTTAGTTTTGTTAGATAATAACCTAGTTTTACTGTTGGTGTATATATCGGCTTAGCCTCTGGTAGAAAGTCAGCGACAACTAATGTTTTGCCATCTTTATGTGTCTCCAGACTTATTCCAAATAATTTTTCAATCTGACAGTTTTTATCGCTTGTAAAAATCATACTTTTACTGACCTGAAACAGGTTAATAAATATATATATATATATATGTATTATAATTGTTTATTCAATGAAAAATACAACTATTCGTTAAAAAATATACTCACTTGTATTACAACTATTTTATTATTTTCTTCAGAGTCTTTCTTTTTGGCAGCATTAATACCTTTATTTCTTGCTTTTTTTGATTTTAAAGCTTTGAAAATTCTACCTGAAAAATTTTATATGTATTTAGATTACACTATTTCTATAATTATATAAGTGAAATACACACTATTTAAGTGTTTTATTATTTCTATAAATTTAATACATTACCAGTGTAAAATCACCAATCATTTAGTACTTTGGACCAATATTAGTTACGTAAATGATGATGCCAAACTTCTAGAAAAACATAATCAATTTGTTTACCTTTGGTAGATCTTCTAGTTGAAGATCTTTTAAAGTCAGTTCTTAATTTGAAAGTGTCACAATTATCAAGTAAGGCGGTATGATTGTCATCTGATACTTCAACTCCTGGTTTAATTTTGATGTAAGTTAATTCTCCATCTTCTGCCACATCTGAATCCCATTCTGGTACCGAACTGTACAGAAAAAATTGAACTACATAAGTAATAGATAATATGAATAAAGTAATAAAAAAAACTATTTAGTGATTTAAATTGATTTGTCATTTATCCTTATGTATTAAAAACAAATATCATTATATAAAAACAAATATCATTATCAGAGTCACAGGGACAATCCATACCTTTCAGAATCACTACATTTAGAGTCTTCAGAAGATTCAGTCCAATCATTATCAGAGTCACAGGGACTTTCATATGGTAACCTATTTTTATAATTGTTCATAATTTTTGCTTGTATAAATTTTAATAATATAAATGGATTTTATTACGCCCCAAGTAAATTATTACCCCGATGATTGCGTTTTCTTAGTTTGTTCGTATACTTTAGTGCAGCTGCAAAGTTTTGTAGAAAATAAGGTAAATGCTAAGATTCATTTAAGTATCATTCCTCGGTCATCTTCTTGTTAAAATATTCATACAGTTTTTTCATTTTCAGTCATAGTTTTCGAATTACGATTTACGATACTATTTAACTAGTATGATCTAGTTACGGTGATTATTTCATTTTTAGTTTTTACAAATGGCGATGTTGCCACTTGCCAAACTAGTACATATAGTCTTTTCATAAAAAGTCCCCGGATATTTTTACTAAATTGAAGGTCGGCAATGTTGTCATTCGTCGATGTTATCAAGTTCGTTTGGAGATTTTTGTGAATTTTAACTATCTTAGGCATTTTAAATATTGATTACAATGCCAAAAGTTGTAAAAAGTTCGGCTCGAGAATTGATATTAAAGGTGAAAGAGTTCTGTGAAGCGGAACATAAGAATCAAGGTTTTTAATACCACTAAACAATTTCGGAAGAGAGTTGCCGCCATAAAGGTACTTTTTAGAGTTGCCATTTAATAATTTTTTGCTGTATTGATGGGAGTTTTATGATAATATAAATTCTTTTTTACGACAAAATTGAACAAATACATAACGTGATGAAACTAGGTAATGAAATTAAAACATATATTACATAAGCATTATAAACTTAAAGTTACTATTATTTTTAATTGTTCATAATTTAATTGCAGGTGTGTCAGAGAAAACTGTATCAAGAATTACAAACGAAGGTGTAACAGCGGCGTGTACTTCAAAAAAATTGTAACCGGGGAAGAGTCGCCCGCATCGAAAAAGTTGACTTAACGGGTTGATTTGTGCGCTATCGGAAAAAATTTACATTTTGTAATAAAAATTACCAAATTGGTAAATTACGGGCAGTTGAGAGGACATCAATTATCAGGAAGCATCACAACATTGACAGGATATAAATAGAATTGGTTTCAAGTAAAGCATTAATAGACGAAAACTACTTATGAACCCAACATACCGCATGGCGTGCAAGATATTTAATAAAATACGAATAAATGACTGTGGAAAAACACCTTAAAATGGGTGACGGAAAAACTAATACCTAATCTACTGAAAGGTGCTTGTGGTAAGATAACCTCCTTACCATTGCACTCAATTAAAAAAGCCCCTTCTATTCAATATAAAAAGGAGTATAAGAGTGGCTCGCAAAAGGGTATATATTTTGAAGACACTGAACAAAAGTTGTTGTATACTAATCAAACAAAATAAAGGTCCACCGATATTTGAGTGGATGAATTATTAAAGCTCACGGACACGAAGTATTAAGTTGCTTACCATTGTACCTCACCGATTGAGAATATCTGGAGCTTGTAAAAAGAAAGGTGGCGGAAAGAACGTGGCACAAGATCCAAAAAAATATTAAAATTAACTAAAAGGCCTTTGAATCTATTAGGTAAGATTGAAGATTCATAGTCAACATTTAGAGAGAATATTAAAAATGACGGCCTTATGGATGTAGTGATGGACCGAATAATTATATCAACTTTATGATACTGAAACAGAATCTGATTCTGTTTCAATACACTCTTCGGACAGTGATGTCCCTATGGCCGTTGATCACAATTATGCAATAAATCTCTGAATAAACTATTGTATTGCTTTTCTTTACCTATTTTCTTATCTTTTCCCTGTAATAGGTAAACACCGAATATAAGTAAATAAAAATATACTTTTACATAACAATATATTGTTTCATATAGAAAAAATATTATTTGATAAATTACATCTGTAAATGTAAATAAAATAGGTAAATTTTTTACTCATAAATGGCAACATTACGTCATGCGATTGAGGCCGGTTGGGGGACTTCTTTCGTGAAAAGGACTATACTTCCGAACTCCGAACTCCGAAGTCAGGCGAATTAATAATAATTTTTCGTGCTTGCACATAGCGGCAACGTCGCTATAACATCATTTTCCCGTAGTATGACCAGTTATGAAATAATTTTCCAAGTTTGTGGTTGATATATATTATTAATGCTTTTCTTTAATATTTAATCTCCATATAATTATGTTACTTTATAATAATCAATTTTAACTATTAAAGGACAAAATATTTGTGGGTAAAAATATAACATCTATAAATTATATAATATAACACATAATATGTATATATTATAATACAATATATTATATTTTTATATGTTACGGAGTACGGACACATAATACTCAAATTTGAGAATTACATTAAATAGCGTTCATAACTAGAATAAAATAATGTTTTTTTTGTCTGGTACAAATTAAATTATTACAATTAATATATACCTTTTAAAATTTACATTACATGTTTTATGGTATGATGGTCACCCGAATAAAGATTTCATTTAGTTTCATTGCTGTCAATAATGGAACACCATTGTTGCGGCTTTAGAAGGATTATAACTGCAATAAAAATTAAACTGTGATAATTATATTACACATGTTCATGATAAAGTGAAGTGAAAAACTCTTATAAACAATTTAGTGGTTAATTAAAATAATGATAACTAAAATGCAGCCACAAACAAATGTTGCTGTGCCGCAAGCTGTCACGACGCAGTCCCAACAGATTGTCGGTGTTCCCGCAAATGCCGTAATCTTAAAAATGTCGGATATTCAGCAAATTTCGACAGTTGGTAAGCAATATATATTTGATCATTGATTGAATACTGGAACTAATACTGAAAGCTTGGACAAAGTTTCATGCTATTAATAACTATTGGGCATCATTTTAATGGCGTGTTGCGTGACAGTCGTTGTAACAGCGCTTCATTGCTGAATTTGCATACACTGACTATAAGGCTGATCCATCAAGTGTGACTAAATACTGGAATTTAGTTAAACCTTAGTTACATGTACATCAAGATTGCACACATTAAAGTAGAAAAACCAGGGTTCTATGGAATAAAATAGTAACCTATTATTTTTTTCAAAATTAGCCACAAAACTTAGGGCATTGATATTTAAGGTTGGATTATAGAACATTGACTAAGATAATTCAATTTATATTCATAGGTGTTCATCTATTTAAATATGATTTGTGGCAAAGTTCACTATTTTATATTTAGTAGAGGAAATTTAAAGATGAGGGGAAGCTTACTCAAATTGGGCCATTACCATGGAGAAATTGCCATCTAAGCTCTTAACATGTATAGAATATTATTGAAATGTATTATTTTAGTTTAAATCTTTGCTTATAATTGAGATTTGGAGTAGTGGGTTACATGCTAATAGTTAATTTTAGTTTATTCAATTGAATTTGTTATACATTAGGGTTATTGGAGCTTGCACATAGAGAATACCAGGCTGGTGACTATGACAGTGCAGAATTGCATTGTATGCAGATGTGGAGGCAGGACTCGACCAATACTGGGGTCTTGTTACTTCTGTCATCCATACACTTTCAATGCAGAAGGTTGGACAAGTCTGCACACTTTTCCACACTGGCAATCAAACAAAATCCATTACTAGCTGAAGCATACAGGTAAACAGTTGATTTTCACATTTGATTTGACTTACATAATATATAAATGTAGAAGTCCAAAGTTCTAGTACTTAAAATCTAGTAAAGAATTGAAATTTTTGAAATATAAGATGACATAAAGTCTGTTATTTAATTTCGTTAAAAACTGCTTGTTAAACTTCACTTCACGTGTTTCACTGGTTAAAATAGAAAAAAAGACTACTACATAATATCTTCCAAATACACACCTACACATTATATTATTAAAATTCTTGACAAAGATGTGCCATGCCATACCCAAATTACTATAATACTTTAGACAAAAGATCTGAATATCATGAAGTTATGTTTATTAATATTAGATTTATTGTAGGAAGTGTTTTTATTATGATCTTGTTTGAATAGACAATTGCTTCTTTGTTACGTCCCACTCTTAAGTATGGTAGATAAATTTAATTTTGTATTAGTTGGTAATTTGACAAATAATGCGTAATTGAGTAAACATGAGTCTTGTGAGTCCTGTTTTTTTTTTTAATAAAAACATTTATTCTGATAACTAATTAATTGATAATTAATTTTTCGGGATTTTTTCACTTATGTCTAGCAAATAATATATCAATTGCACTGTATAAATTGCATTTGTAATGTTTTTAAATATATATATAAACTAATAATTTTCTATGTATGTAATAATATGGCCCTTATAAATCTGATAGTTTTATGAATTTTCTATGTATATAATATACATTGTAGGGACCAATGTCATAAAAAAAACCAAAATATTTACATTGTACTGTATGTTTAGAGCAATGGAGGTAAATAATTTTTTATTACAGCAATCTGGGAAATGTGTACAAAGAAAGAGGTCAGTTGCAAGAAGCGCTGGAGAACTATCGCCATGCTGTAAGGCTAAAGCCAGACTTTATTGATGGGTACATCAACCTGGCAGCTGCTTTGGTGGCAGCTGGTGACATGGAACAAGCTGTGCAAGCATATGTGACTGCTCTGCAGTATAATGCTGTAAGTAATTATTATATTTAAACTATTTGTCAAGTGTGTGTTTAAAATCATATATGCATACTATAGTCCTCAAATGCATTAGATGATATTCATAAATGAATAAGTCTAATTGCACCTTTTCAACTAAAGTATCTGTCTCATTTAAGAACAGGGTTACCGCAATTAGACAGAAAAGGAGAAATGTGTTTACGTAAATGAGTGCAAAAAAACTGATTTTATTTATATGATTGAGGATAGTCTTCAAGACTGTATGATCACTTCAAACGTATATAGACATATAACTACATGAGACTCATAGACTAGGGATCAACCTGTTTTTCATGGGTATATATTTTTATTAGGACTATGATTGACGCCTCATTGGTCTAGTGGTTAGTACCCCTGACTGCAAATCCTTGGGTCACGGGTTCGATCCCCGGCTGAGACAAACATCAATGTGATGAGCATTTGATGTTGTGCTTAGGTCTTGGGTATTTAAATATGTATTTATATGTGTTAGGTCTATCTATGTATAATATGTATGTATATCTGTTGCCTAGTACCCATAACACGAGCTTCACCAGCTTAGCATGGGACTAGGTCAATTGGTGTGAATTGTCCAATCATAAAAAATAAAAAATGATATTAAACATTTTCTATATGTGCTTGTCTTTAACAACTCTTTTGTTCCTGTTCTTATGTAACCCATACAGATATTTAAGACTTAATAACAATTGTTATTTCTGTAGGTTTGTTTATAATTTAAAATGAAAAATTATTGTGTAATTTTATTATACAGGCAAACATACCTATATCTAGTTTATAATAACAATATACTGTAATATATCAGAACCTTGACCAAGACTGATAGATAAGCACATAATATTATTATTGCGGAATTGTTCAGTGATTACTCATGACTTTTATAATGTAATTAAAACTTTATTTATATGTATACTTCTTTAAAAGAGGCTTCGATATTTATACTTGTAAGATATTAATAAAGACATTACAAAAAATTCGTACAACTCTCTTTTGCTTTTAAATGTATAAAAAAAAATAGTAACGGTTCTTACTAGTAAATACTACATTCTAAGCTAAGAAAGTGATTGTCACATGATCTGCAAACTAGAGTAAAAAGTTGATAAAAATATGTGCAGTTATTAAAAGTTGGTAAAAATATTAAGGAAATCTAGTGTTTCTAGGATGTTCAGTCTGGCCATCAATTAATTGCTGCCTGCCTTATTTAGCCACGTTATCGGCGAAGGTTTATTCTGAATCTCCTTTTTAAATGCCATGGAAAGTTGGAATACGTTTGTATAATCTGGAACGCTATTATATTTTACGTTAGAATACTCGTTTTACGCAGTAACGTGAAGGAGAAATGGCGAATTAAGTAAAGTTTACTTATTGTAATTATTTGCAATATAATTGTATTTTCTCTATGTTCGATAATATAACATATTATTACTATATACCATGCACTCGTATAGGTAACGAGTATATGGTTAAACGCTTATCATTTTAAATATAGGTATAGTTTAAATATATTAATTTTCGCAGGTTCTACACTATTCGAAATTAGAGGCTGTATACTAATTTGTATATTTTATATGGAAGAACATGTCATTTTGTAAAAATCAATTAAACTTTTGATTCAAAATATACTCGTATGTAATACTCGAGACTCCCTAAAGACACAGAATTTTTTTATCATCTTATCAGATAATTCCTTACAAGATATGAGAGTGTTACGTCTATCTCTTGTTTCCTTTTATAATGAATATGCATACCCAAACGTTTACAATATTCAATGCAAACAAGATTTGTTTAAATAAACATTATGATTAATAAACGTCTTAATTATTGATTAAAGATAAATTAGATTACACAGCTTTCTGCCGTCATTAAAGCCTAAATAAAGGATGATAGACGAATCAGTGCAATAATAAGATTCATATGAGATTTACCGCTAAGAATGACGCGTATATCAAATCCAAACGTTTCTGACGTTACGGGAGTCGTTACGATACGATCTTACTAACGCCCGAACCCAATAATCAAACCACAATCTCAGATTGAAAACAATCTGAGATCAGACCGTGACAGTCGATCGATCTCCTATCTGCATCCCAATAACCAAACCCTACGAAGACAATCCATTTTTGGCGACGGATAAAATGCTTTTTGTTGTTCCATTTTACCGAGTTTTCACTCATATTTGATAATCAATGTGAACCAAGTAAAGTGAATAAAACCGTACAAATAGCATTAAAATATACATGTGTATGTTTAGACATAACAAACAGTTTTTTTAATTATATTTAAAAAACTGGTGTAAGTTAAAATCTGTTAAAATAATTAACTGTTGAAATCGAGCTTTCGTCAACTGTCATTTTCATACAAAGGTCTATCCACAGACACCGATACGAACTCCCATTGATAGCTTGTATCGACAGATGGCTATTACAATCCGTCGATTGGTTATTGGCACACTTTAACAACATTTGGATTAAGATTACTATCTCAGATGGTGGATAATGGATTGAGATAGGTTATTGGGTTCGGGAGTGAGAAGATAAGTTTAACAATCTAAATTAAACTCGTTACAGAGTTCTTTCGTAACAGGGTGTTGGGTGAGATTCAAACGAAATTAAGTAACGAAGTTTCATGACGAAAATACATTACGTTTGTGACGTGACGACCTTTAGTGTCTAAAGTAATCAAGACGTCTTTAGGAGTATTTGTAGATTGTGAAAAATATATCTTACATATATACATATATCTTAAATATACCTCATCGTATGTAAACTTGTATTCAATTTAGTTTGAATACAATTTATAAACCAGATGTTTATAATATTTCTCAATTAGTAATTATGTGTTTATATTATCTATTAGTATTCAAGGTTAGACAAGTCGTTCTAAAAAAGTAATTTCGTTCGATTATTATCAATGGACTAAATAAGTCTAAATGATATTCTTAATTTAACAGATGATGGAAACTGATTAAATCAAGAAAAGTCTTTGCGAAGCGAGTTTAATTCATACAGTACCTATTCAAAGATTCGTTAAACTCAAAATATCTTTATTCATATAGGTAAACAAGTACACTTATAATCGTCAAAAAAAAAAAAAATTAATTGTAAATTTACATTTACTACCATTTCGCAAGTCAAGGGCATTGGGCAAGAAGAACCGGCAAGAAACTTTCCGCCACTCTTTTTAATCGCTAAGTTTTGAGTCATACATATTGTTTACAATCATTTATGTATTCGTCAAATTTATAAAAAGCTTTATTGATTAATTTACGTTTAACGAGGGCTTTGAATATTTAGTGATAATTCTCTAATTTCGCTTGGGAGTTTATTGTAAAAACTAATACAATTTTCATAAGGAGTGGTTTATCTTCTGGAACCTGGTTGGTTGGTCGTTCACTCAAATTAGTTCTATTTCGCGTATTATACTGGTGAAAATCACCAATTGTTTTAAAATCGTTTATAATTTTTTGTACATACAACAAGGCTTCGTCTTTTGATTATAAAAGGACTGTCAATGAGTCTTAATGATATTCTTAACAGGTGATAGGGACTGATTAAATCAATTATCTCTAATTTATCTTTGTCAGTCTAATAAATGTATGTACTCAATACATCGCTACAGTTTTATGTATGACGGAGTACGTTGAGGGCAGAAAACAATGTCACCTTGAAGTTGTTTAAATAGTACGGTTTTATGCGGGCAGTGGAAATGTTTCGTATATTTAAATACACAAAGCTCTGTGCCGGTATTGTCATGACAAACACGTTTGATGTACTAAATATTTATAATAATGTTTTACTACTTCAAAAATTTATTACTCGCATCGAGTACTTTACAAAGTCATTTGAACACTGGTCCGTCGCTTGCTGAATAAAACAAAGATGTCGATTGAAATTTGTCAAGTCATTTAGTTTCATATACCTTAGTAATCTTTTATTATTGTAGACTGAAAGTGCAGTGGTTTATTTAAGGGTATCGCGTTAGTAATTCTACCTAAATATATAGTTTAAAATATCAAATCTTATCTTTTACACTCAAAACTTTTGACATACCACCTATATATAGTTTTTTGTTAATTACGCAACGAACTCACAGAATAATACAATTAGCTAGAACAATAATTTCACTGTAAAAATCATAAATATAAAAAGCATAATCATAAAAATGAGATTAGTTGTAAATTGTTTAACTAAGATAAATGTTACGAAGCGACCAAGGTCAGAACATTAATTTCCGTGTTCCATAATCACTCACAACTGGGCGTGTTGCCATTCGCAATATAATATAATTTTAATCTGCTTGATCATGCTTTGTTTCAATAAAAAATAAATATGAATTTAAGACAATATAATAAACAAATCAAGTTACGACTATTTAAAAACTAATTTGAAATAATATGCATTATTGCATTTTATTTATAATTATACGATTTTAAAAATGTATTAATTTAAAAAACCCATGTTTATATTTAGTTATTCACAAATTAAAAATAAACATAGAAACAAATACTATCTATTTAATTATTATGTTTACAGACAGTAAATGCAATAATGTAATATTGTTCCAGGATCTTTACTGCGTTAGAAGCGATTTGGGCAATTTGCTCAAGGCTCTCGGACGTCTCGACGAGGCAAAGGTAAATAGTATTTTGCTTTGCTTTCTGGTTTACTCTGAAGTTAACAGGATTCTCTTGTCTTTTGCCTTTGTGTCGTTTTAAATTAGAGTACTCTCTGTTCCATCAGCGAACCTTGCAATTGCGTAAAACGTATTACGTTATTCTCTGCATGAGCGTAGCTTACGTAATGGTTTCAACGTCTGTTTCGAGCTTTATTGATTTTTTAATAGTTCAACTGTTTAAACCATTATTGTGGCAGCGGAAGGGAACGGGGGCTGATATTTGAGACACCCGCCCGCTCCTTTCATTATTTTCAAACTGTTGCAATAATATCAACTGACGATAAATGTCGTTGATATATTGCGACGGCATCTGCGTAAATTTTACACCAATCTTACATACAATGTTTGAATTAATATTCTTTAAGCTATAAAATATTATAAACATTGTATGGCAGATGATAGGATAACGGAGATTGCTTTAATGATAACAGTAAATGTAGATGAATGATATTGGTAAAATCCTGTTTTCTTCACTTTAGTTATACTTTGAATTGTGCTTGTAGTGATTTCTTAATACAAATGAGGATCAAGTAGCGATTTTTTCACTAGTGGTATGACGTAGTGTGTTATGTTTATTTCTGCAATATTATTTGGTCATCCACATGTTGCCCGAAGACTCTGCTCAATGACAGTGTGAGCTGGCAAAAGATCCTCAAGTATACATTAATTATACATGATAGACGTGAATCGGCTGAACTAGTTTGACTCAAAATCGACTAATTCTGTTATATTTTCACAAGGTGTTGTCTGGTAAGACAGTAGGTGTGACTGCCGCTGTATCTAGCTGGGTTATGGTTGGTACTCCGCAATCACGCTGCGATGACAACATTCTGTGTAACGCAGGTAAAGTGTACAAGGTTTGCCAGAAATGATATGACAGGTTTCGGAGAACGCGTGATATTTGATTGTTCATTGTCGTGACCATCTTCCATCGGATAGGAAGTGGAAGCGTCTTCACTTATCTTTTTCTCTGTTTGGTCGTAGTTTGGGAGTTATTGTAGTTATCGTCGTTTGCATTTCCTACTGATGTGTCCTCGCAGTCAGCGTAGCTTCGATAGTAGGGTGCACTTTGCGTAATGGTATTGTCGTGGTTGATATTCGGTGATCATCGCAATTTAAAGTTAAATGTCACCCAATTTCAACTACAGCTCTGGTGTAGTTGAACATTTTGGCGTATAATACATCTCAATATTCATCATGGTAAAATTCCGTTTGACGATCCTATACTAATATATTACTTTTGTGTGTTTAGGCATGTTACTTGAAAGCCATTGAAACAAGGCCAGACTTTGCAGTAGCATGGAGTAACTTAGGTTGCGTTTTTAACGCACAAAGTGAAATCTGGTTGGCAATTCACCATTTCGAAAAGGCAGTGGCGTTGGACCCCAACTTTTTAGACGCATATATAAATCTTGGAAATGTGCTCAAAGAAGCTAGAATTTTTGACAGGTGAACTTTTATTTTATGTAAAGCCCACGCACGCAATTCTGCACGCAAAGGCATTTTTTATCTCACGTTTTTTTGTTAAACAGGGCTGTAGCTGCATACTTACGAGCACTTAACCTATCTCCCAACAATGCCGTTGTTCACGGAAATTTAGCGTGCGTCTATTACGAGCAAGGACTTATCGACTTAGCCGTCGACACATACAGAAGAGCGATTGAACTTCAACCTAATTTCCCTGACGCATATTGTAACTTAGCGAATGCGCTTAAAGAAAAGGGTCAAGTGGCCGATGCGGAAGAATGCTACAACACAGCTCTCAGATTATGTCCATCACACGCAGATTCTCTCAACAACTTGGCGAACATCAAGCGAGAACAAGGATATATAGAAGAAGCCACGCGCCTATACTTAAAGGCGTTAGAAGTGTTCCCAGAATTCGCTGCCGCCCACAGCAATTTGGCCTCAGTTTTACAACAGCAGGGAAAACTAAACGAGGCACTCATGCATTACAAGGAGGCTATTCGTATTCAGCCGACATTCGCTGATGCGTACAGTAACATGGGAAACACCCTGAAGGAGATGCAGGATGTCGCCGGAGCGTTGCAATGCTACACGCGAGCGATTCAAATAAATCCCGCCTTTGCCGACGCGCACAGTAACCTTGCCAGCATTCACAAGGACTCTGGGAACATTCCCGAGGCCATCCAGTCTTACCGGACGGCGTTGAAACTTAAACCGGACTTCCCTGACGCCTATTGCAACTTGGCGCATTGCCTGCAAATTGTTTGCGATTGGACCGACTATGAGGCTAGGATGAAGAAATTAGTCAGCATTGTCGCTGAACAATTAGAAAAGAATAGATTGCCTTCAGTTCATCCGCATCACTCGATGTTGTATCCCCTGTCGCATGATTTCAGGAAGGCGATCGCCGCCCGTCACGCGAACTTATGCCTGGAAAAGGTTCAAGTTCTACACAAGCCGCTATTCAAATTCCCCCGCGAGTTACAAGGCCGTCTGCGTATCGGATACGTGAGCAGCGATTTTGGCAATCATCCAACGTCTCACCTCATGCAGTCGGTACCGGGGTTGCATGACCGGTCCAAAGTTGAGATATTTTGTTACGCTCTCAGTCCGGATGACGGCACTACCTTCCGGTCCAAGATCGCACACGAGGCTGAACATTTTATAGATTTATCGCAGCTGCCATGTAACGGAAAGGCTGCCGATAAAATATACGGAGACGGCATTCATATCCTCGTGAATATGAATGGATACACAAAGGGAGCTAGGAATGAAATATTCGCATTGAGGCCGGCGCCGGTACAAGTGATGTGGTTGGGATACCCCGGCACCAGTGGGGCTAGTTATATGGACTACTTGGTGACGGATGCTGTGACGTCACCTCTGGAATTGGCCAGTCAATACAGCGAGAAGTTGGCTTATATGCCGCACACATACTTTGTGGGAGACCATAAGCAGATGTTCCCACATTTGCAGGAGAGATTAATTCTAAGTGACAAGGTGAAATCGAATAACTTAGGAATTTTGGCGGATAACGTTGCTGTGATCAATGCGACCGATTTGTCGCCTCTCGTCGAGCACACAGATATAAAAGAGATTAAGGAAATAGTGCGAGCAGCGCGTCCCCTCGAGATATCAATGAAAGTAGCAGAGCTGCCCACCACTACGCCGATTGAAACTATGATTGCTTCCGGACAAATACAGGTACTTGAATTTCTTATTTGGGAGCGTTCAAGTATTACGTCACGCAATTTTTGGAAATTTAGGGGGAACCCGTGTAACGCGCCGTAACGTTTTTCTGTACTTATAGACCAGTCAGTCAAGACAATTAATTCATAATAATTCCAAAAGTTTTCAAATTTTGATGTAAGGTCGGGAGTGGTATTAAAACAAACTATAAAATTTTGCAACCTGCTCTGCGGTCCGGAACATTGTTAAAAATAAGTTTTGGTCGTGAAAAAAATTCCAAAAGTTCTGCAAACTTGGGGAAGTTTTCGATATAATATTTCATATCACGTATAAAATTTGCAACCAACCTAAGTGTACGGAACATTTTTTGTTATGAAAAATTAATGTTTTTCTTTATTAAACTGAAGGAAAACGTTCCAAAAGTTCTGCAAATTTGACAGATATATCGAAAATAAAATAAATAACAAAAAATGTTCCGTACACTTAGGTTGGTTGCAAATTTTATACGTGATATGAAATATTATATCGAATACTTCCCCAAGTTTGCAGAACTTTTGGAATTTTTTTCACGACCATACAGCAAAAATTAATTTAATTGCAATTTTACCAATGTTCCGGACTGCGGACAAGGTTGCAAAATGAGATTTATTGTCGTCCCAATGTACCATTCACTTGACCGAAGTTTGAAAACTTTTGGAATTATTATCAAATTTTCGATTTCGAATGTCTATAATGACTGGCCTATTAAGTACAGTACTGTAGTAAAACGTTTCGTGACGACCTAGTGACTCTTTATACCTAAAAGTTACCATTTTCGGCTGGAAAGTCGAAAATAATATTAACAATATCGCGTAATTCAATCCCCGCCCCGCAACATAACGTTGTACAAAAAGACCCCCCTCAATAATTCGTTACGTAATACTTGAACGCTCCCTTTTTACTAATTACTTTAATTTTAATGTTTGAGTATAAATTATATAGGTGAAGCCCGACGCAATTCGATTAATTAATTAATTCTTCTTTAATAAAACAACAGATTTGAAAACAATACTATATCGTGAACCGATGCGAAACGTAGCGTAAATTTCCATTGTAGGAAATAAGTTAGTTACAATGGAATCTTACACAGTAACCGGAAAACGATAACAATCTATGATATTACGTCTGTTGATTGACAATGTAAACAAAAAATATTTTATTATTAGAGTTTTTTAGCTAAAGACACATTGATAAACTATTTTTTATTACTAATCGTCACAATAATAATAAAAAAACATTTATTTTTAAAATGTTATTGGTATGACGTAAGTTGAATCATTGCGGGTGCGCAATTCGGTGTGTTTATGAAACAATAACACAGGAATGTGAGTCACACAACGTTGCAAAACATAATGTATTGACAATTATAGGATTCAAACTGAACTCAATTTATTTTATTACTTTTATTAGATATTAGCTGACCCCGCAAACGTTGTCTTGCCATGTATATTATTTCTAGGAAACAATAAATATAACGATCTACTATAATAAAAAAATAGGGATTGATCGTAGAGGGTTGAAAATTTAGGGTTGTATGTATTTTTTAATGCTATATCATAAAAAAAAATCAAAAAGTAAAAAAAAATTAGGAGTTATAATAACCCTTAACATTTAGGGGGATGAAAAATGTTGTCCGATTCTCAGACATACCCAATATGCACACAAAATTTTTATGAGAATCGGTCAAGGTACAACTACAAACACGCGACAAGAGAATTTTATATATGTTAGATTAATTTATAAAAATCGTAAATGTGGCCATTTGAAATTAAAATAAAATATTTAATTGTATAGAAAACACTTAATTCAGAATGTGTTTTAAATGTGGGACGTAAATTAAAATACTATGTATGTATGTATGTTTCTCGTAATACCCCAATGATGATGACGAGTCCATAGCGCATACATTTTTTCCTGAAATCGAGGACCTTGTACAATATTGCTATCTCTTTGTAGACGACAGTCAACGGAGTGATCCTCCAAAATGGCCTGGCGACAACCCAGACGAACAACAAAGCGGCGACTGGCGAAGAAGTACCCCAATCCATAGTGATCACCACCAGACAGCAGTATGGCTTACCAGATGACGCTGTGGTGTACTGCAATTTCAACCAGCTGTACAAAATAGACCCACTGACGTTACACATGTGGGTGTATATTCTGAAGCATGTTCCAAACAGTGTGCTGTGGTTGTTAAGATTTCCAGCTGTCGGTGAACCTAATTTGCAGTCCACAGCTCAGCAGCTGGGTAAGTTTTATCAATACAATTGTTTTATTAGTTTTAATTCTAGATTTGGACTTAAATGAAAATTAATATTAAAAATATCATATGCAAAGGTCATTAATTTTGTTTGGTTATTGCAAAAGATTTTTAGGGTATAGCCTAATTTGTTATTTGGTTCACAATATATGTTTGGTTATAGGGCTGCCCCCGGGTCGGATAATATTCTCGAATGTAGCGGCCAAAGAAGAGCATGTACGAAGAGGACAGTTGGCTGACGTGTGTCTAGACACACCTTTATGTAACGGACACACAACCAGTATGGACATTTTATGGACAGGAACGCCTGTTGTTACATTACCAGGAGAAACTTTGGCTTCTCGGTAAGGAACGTTTTAGTAATTTTTTATCACATATTCAAAGTGCTAATCACTATGAACAAGGGCTAAACTAAGTTTTTAAATTCCGAGATATTAAAAGTGATTCGAATTTGGAATGTGGATATTATTAGTTAATTTTTTTAATCACTAAGGAGATTGATTACGAAAATGTGACTGGCTGCCAAAAAAAGTAAACTTAAAAAAAGTATGTGAACAGTAAAAACGCGAAGCGCATTCATTATTTTGTTATTGTTTGTTCGGATTTAAGATAATACTTAGAAATTATGTCTGCCTCAGTTAATGATAAAAAAGGGTGCGTGTACTTATGTACGCGCGTAAGAAGTTATACTTCTTTGGCATTATTAAAAATAGTTTTTGATTGCATGCAAATAATTAATTACAATTAAATAATCAAAGACTGGAAAAGGAGACATTATAGTCAATAAAGTTCAGTTTACATTTGAAAAATTAAATAAATAAATATTTATTATTATTCTCTTACATTAAGTGTAACATAAATTCTATTATTATTCGAATGTTGTTTTTAAATTATGTCCAATGCCGTAGCATCTTCCGTGGGCACCTTCATTTTGTTAATTTTGTGTCACGGTGTGCGCGCATCGTAAAATTTCACTCACCTTCTTCATAACGCGCCTAAAGAAGTATAACTTCAAAAATAACGAAACAACTTCAGAGAATATGGTTGTTGCTATATCGAACGTTAAAAATATAATTTTACTTCATTGATAGTGACATACTTTGGATCCCTCCGTGACTCGCCTTAAAATAGCTGTTTGTGGCCTTGGCAAATCTAGTATTAATGGTCACCATAATTCAATAGTTAGAGTACCTAGTTATGCCTTCACATATATAGAGAAAGATATTTGCTACTACTACTACTTATTTTTTGAGAAATATGGTGTAGTAAATGTTAATTTAGTAACGAAGTGATATTTAATTTTATAAATGAATTTGAATCGACGCTTCAATGGCATATCTCTCTGAGTACGACTCCTATGTTCGAAACACAGTCAATGTAATTTTTCTGCTAAATAATATTTATTTTATATTTCTCTTAATTCCAATGTTCATGTACGTACTGTAAATTAACTAAGAAATAGAACTAGACGCTTAATGAATACTGTTGTTTGCAGAGTGGCAGCGTCGCAATTAAATACGCTCGGTTGTCCTGAATTAATAGCGAGAACGCGCCAGGAGTACCAAGACATTGCCGTACGACTCGGAACTGACAAGGAATAGTGAGTAATTTAAATAATATTTAATTGTTGTCATCATTTACAGGCTCAAAACTAGTTCATTACATTTTCATTTTATATCTATTTAATGCGAATACTCCCGTTTGCTTGTCCGATTAATGAATTACGAATTTAGAAGCAGTGAATAATATTTTTCCCTTGGACCCCTGTCTAAATTCAAAAATCATTTAATCATATAGGTAACCACACCTCACAATGTACACTTATGATCGTCAAAAAAAAATTAACTGTATATGAAATGCTTCTAGCTTTACATTTAGTGCCAGTTCTCAAATCAAGGGCGTAGAACGGAGTAGAAGAACTGGGAATAAACTCTCCGCCACTCTTTAATCGCCATGTTTTTTTTACACAACATTTGTAAGGAGCTGCAACCATTACACTATGTTACACATGACATCTTAAGTAATTAATGTGAACTTATAAGTTAACTAATAAAATGAATGTTTACTCCTACCAGGAACGACTATGTGCATGTCTATTTACCACAGAATAGACAAAGCATAGAAAGGTTATACTAGTGTGTTAGGGGGCGTTCAAGTATTACGCAACGCAATTTTTTGGAGATTATTAACCCCCCGCCATGTCAATGCGCCGTATAGTTTTTCTGTAATGTTTAATGTTTAAAGAACTTTATTTCTCATTACAAAAATTATTTTTTTTATTTACATGAGAAATTTAATATTAAGTATATATACGAACGAGATACACGTCGCCATCAGCTAGCCCAATTCTAGTCTAATGGGCCCATTCTGATGTGTGTCTTTAATGCCCTTTTGAACTGATCAATCACGCTAATGTTACGAAGCTTAGACGGCAACCGATTAAACAATTGCACACCCTCATACCTAATAGATCTCTTTAAATAATTTGTGCGCGGCTTTGGCAAGATAAGCAAACTCGCTCGACGAGTATTGCGTGTAGTGGTGTATTTGATTTTATTAAATGATAAGTTACTATGTAGAGAGTTATTTAAAATTTTTTTAATAAGGATACAGGTGCTATAAACATATAGTTGTTTAATCGTCATAATTTTAGTTTCTTGGTAGATTTTATTAGTACCTAGGTGTTAAAAAAATTGTATCTGAATAGTGCTTTTATTAATTTATTTTGAGGGAGAGAAATTTGTTTTGAGTGTACCCCATATTTCAATTAGGTGTATGAAATGTGGCTGACTAAACAATTATAGATCAAATGACGTAAGATTGCGGAATGCATTAGATATTGACCAAAATCTGCCTATAAGTGATTTTATGGAATATGTGTGATATATGAAAGTTCCATTTTAAATTTGTATCCATTCTAAGACCCAGATATTTCTCCCATTTTTTGTTATTGATTTCAACGTCTTGAACTTTAAGCGGTTGAAAGATAGGAATGAGTTATTTGTTGCTTGAATATTACATAAGATGTTTTTGAAATATAATTGTTAGTAGATTTGTTGAAACAAGAAGATAGAACATTTAGGTCTGATTGAGCTTGAGCAACCATAGTCTGGATATTTGAACCAAAGTAAAATAAGAGGTGTATAGGAGAGAGTGATTGGCCAGTGATTCTGTACCCAAGTATAGTAAAACTAGGGAGATGATAGCTTTTTTGCGATACGATACCGATGCCGATACACTTATAGGAATATCGTCGATACCGATACCAAGCTTATTGAATTAAAATTAAATTAAGGTAAAATATATAAAGTTAAGTTAAAGTTATAATTTTTATCAAAAAATAGTCACAAACTTTGAATTATTTTAAAGGTTTTGTTACTAAAATTAAGAATTAAGAGTAATAATTAAAATAAAATAAATAACTGTTAATAATTAAAATTAACAATGATAACATTGTAGTAATTCTGTATTATCAATTTGGTATCGAAAAATACTACTCGGATAGCAGTTAAAAGCCAACTAAATGATCTTCAAATCTACGTTCAATAAAGTCTAATGATCTCCGCAAGCCTAATATCTAAACTATGGTGGCTAAGATAGTTGATGAGTAAAAATTTTGGTCTACTAATCAATCCAACAAGATTTTTCGTACTAACTTCTAACAGTCTCAGGACTGATCGTAAATTATCGTGATTATGTGACTTTTTATTTTTCATGTAGATTTTTTATTTAATGAAAGAGCTCATTAATTATGTCAATTTTTATATTGTAATGCAACAAATTGTTAATAAATAAATAGTGTTTAGCGAAATGAAATACAAATATACAAAATAATAAGCTTTGTCCCCAAGCGAATGATAGAGACAACAAACTGAAAAAAAGAGGGATTTCTGGCAACAATAGTCGTGGCTCGTTTGAACAAACTAGATCATACAAATGGGTTTACATATTTTTTAAAGGTGAAATTTGAAAAGTATCGGTGAATTGGAATGAAAATATCGCCGATGCCGATATATCGGCAAACCCAAAGTATCGCCGATATATCGGTATGGAGGAGGTGCCCTAAGTAAAACGTTTCGTGACCACCTAGTGACTCTTTATACCTAAAAGTTACCATTATGTGGTGTAAAGAACTGGAAAGTCGAAAATAATATTCACAATAACGCTTAATTAAATTCCCGCCCCGCATCGTAACGTTTTACAAAAGGACCCCCCAAAATCGTTACGTAATACTTGAACGCTCCCTTAGTACCAAAATTCTATGTAGAAAAAGTCTAGGATTATATTTTAAATATTTCATAATAAATGAAAGAATTGTTGTTTTTGTTTGCTTGTAACGTAAAAAGTGAAAATATTACGTTAATCTGGAGTAATTATTATATTTATCTATCTTTTTTTCAGTCTAAAAGCAATCCGGGCAAAAGTATGGACAGCGCGATCGGAGAGCCCTCTTTTCGACTGCAAAGCATACGCAACCGGCCTAGAAATGCTTTACAACAGAATGTGGGCCCGGTATGCGAGAGGAGAACGGCCTGACCACGTCCAGGCTATTGATAAATAGGCCGAACAACACTGCGACAGTGAAGGGACGTCCAAGAAGCGACGATGGTGTTAGTGAAGTGATTAGTGATAGTGACTGTTAAGAATGATACTCTAGTAAAGTGATATATATATTGGAATAAGTGGCTTAAGATATCAAATACTTCTAGAGAAAAGTGTTATGGTAATGGTATGTTGTTCCTGCTATTGTAGTTGGTATGACAAAATACCCATATTCCAGTGAGAATAAAGATTGGGTTGAGTTGGATTGGAAGACACTGACATAGACTCTGTATGTTAAACAGATCTATTTTTCCAACATTATTTTACCTTAAACTGCTAATGGTAGGAATAATATTAAAAGATTCTTTTAGAGGCTAATATGGCTCTACTTTTTCAATTCTTTTAGAGGCTAATATGGCTCTACTTTTTCAATTCTCTTAAAGTATTATGTAGATTATTTTTGAACTCATTAACCCAGTTTTAAAATGTGAAGCACAAAGCTGTTAACAATAATTGTTGGAATTGATTTGACATTGTATATATTGATGACTTTGTAGTGACAATTTTTTTTGCCTCCCGTATAAGGGAACTTAAATTCTAGATTGATTAGTAATTTATTTCTTTTCACCTCCAGTATTTTATATATTATACTGCTGGTAATAACAGTATGACTCAATTTGAGAAATTTTTATATTTCTGCAAAAGATGGTTTAATAATTTCATTGAATACAATAATTGTAGAATTTCCCAATTAAATTGTCTTAGCAATAATTAAATGTGGCCTTCATAGTGTGTGCCATTACATAATGCAATACATTTTAATTTCATTTCTATTTTAGTGTTTCTTAAAATTGGACTCTGTTAGGGTAAGTAAATTATTTTATTAAGTATATTAGAATTTATTTTAGTGTTGAGGAAAGATGTCGCAGTGTTTGGATAAAAATCTACATTTAATAAAACAAATATTCGGCTTTTGACTATAATCCTAGATAGAACTAAGACTAAATTAAATATTTGGGGATACCAGTAACTAGAATCTCACAATGAGATAATGATATTGTTTTAGCTGGCAAGAATTTGGTAATATTATGGTGAGTTCAATACATTTTCTAATCTATATTAAAACGATTTCATAACCTAGTGACTACACAGCTTCTTTCAAACAAACTAAGTAAGACTGAATATATGAAAGATTAATTTGTAGTGTTCTTTAATATGTTAAGAAAATAAAAGTTGTTAATAGAATGAAATGGGCAATAGTTTTCTAGTTTTCATACAATTCATTGTTTGAATTAGTTAAGCATACATTGTTACATGTTGTATAAGAAAGATGTGATATAATTGGTGGACTAAATAGGAAACGGATTCATTTGTGTGCAGCAAGTGTCAACAATGAATTGTTCGACTAAAAATGACTGCAAAATGATTTTAGAATTTATAAGGCAGTAAAATATTTCTAAATTGTTTGTTATTATTTGATTTCAAAAGATGCATTAAAATTACCGCTTAAATTACAAATGTTTAGCTGACATTCTCCACTTCCTGATTGTAAATATAAGACGAAACAGTTCTAGGTATAATAAAGGAGTGATAATGACTGGTCTTTTATTGTATTCCTTTAATTATATGTGGTAATTCATTATAATATGTAGTTATTAAAATAGACCATGAAGATCAATAGTGTCAACCCCAATGGTGTTTAGGTAGCACTGTTTTGTTATTAATTTAAAGTATGTTACCCAAGATAACCCTGCTAAGCCGAAGCAAGAACCAAAGACGTCCCCACATGTGCTTTAACTAAGGCGCGGAAGCATTTGAACATTTAACAGTTTCGGTTTTATCTGTTTAAAGTGTTTTTTTTAAATATTTGCTACTCGTCTGAACAAAATTACGGGAACGTTGTAAAAAGACTTGGGGAATTGATTTATTGTAATTGGGAGAATTGATTGGGCTAAGTTACCTCCTGTTTGTAGGGACGGTGTGACTTTAATTATTAACCGAACAAAGAATTTGGGGGTCTTAATTGATCTTAAAATTTATCCTGGGCTGCTCCCAGTTTATACATATTAAACAGGCCGCAAAATGTACGTGTTCAGTATCCTTCGGCGTCTTAGATTTTTTTTTAATAATTAGCACTAAAACCTCGCTCAATATTAATTTCATTACTAAACTATGCTGATTCTTGCTCTTCTGATCTAAATAAGGAATTGCTTAATAAACTGGATCGTCTCCTTAAATTCTATATCCGTTTCATATTCAGACCAAGAAAGTACGACTACATCTATGCGTTCCAGTAGGTACAGCGACGTGATTCTCACGTTTTCCATCTCTTATATCCATCCTCTTCAATCCTTAGAGCTCTGAAAAGTATATCCTTGAAATCCCATCACATAACTCTTCCTTTCTTGGCGAATGATTTAAGGTCTGTGGTGAGGCTATGAAATTCACTTCCTGTCCCTACCCGCCTAGCTCCTTCTCTATCTTCCTTTGAATCTCTACAAGCATACTTGTCCACACCGTATCCCTCTAACTTTCATACTAGATCTAACTGAAATTATTGTGATTCATGTGACCTTTTTTTCACTAACCACATATGTTTTCATTGCTTTTTTTGTTCCATTCTTTAAAATAATCAAATAAAGGGTAATAATCAATTAAAATAATTAAGTAAATGCAGTAGTATTTCTTGCAACAAAGTGTAAATAAATAATTGTAAAGCATCTAATTAATTGAAATAAAAGGTCATTAAGTATTTATCAATTTACGATGTTTATGGTGTTCACAAAAGTATTAACCTATTGTTTCTCACGCATTTATTGGTGTGTACGTATACTTTGCAAATATATGCCAAGGAAAAATCCGTATTCTAATAAAGGTTTGGTTTGTCTTTATAAATCACATTTTTTTCCATTAAAACCATTTGTGTAGTTTTTTTAGATTAAAATTAATAGAAGAATAATTTAATGAAAAAAGCAAAAGTTACTAAGATAAATTTAAGCAGGATAAAATTTAACATTTTCATGAAAAAACATTGAGTGTAAACAGTATTAAATTCAATGACGGTCTTTATTGCAACATTGTGAACAGAAACCTCAAAATATTTATTTAAAACTTGTATTTTATTAAAATATCCCTAATTGGAAGTGAGACTTGTGTTAACCTGACGCGTTTGAGCCCTGGCTTTGACTTCCGCCCATCTGCGCGTTTTTAACGAAAATGATTGCGAGACTTCACACATTGAAAGTATCGTTATGTCAATTAATTTAACAAATTCACGGATTTCAATCCGCATAATTTTTCTTTAAGCCCCGTATTCATGGTAAACATTTGTTTAGCAACAGTTGCTAAACATTGTTGGTGAGCGGCGAGAATGTTGCTAGCAACTATGTTTAAATCAATACAGGTTGTCCACACGCCAGTCTGCGTTAAAATGTTGCCCGAGGAGGTAGTGTTGTTGTGTTCTCTGTATCAGATGTATAGAATCTCTAATAAAAAAAGAGAAAAAGATGGTGGATTCGAAATTATCTTTTGCAAAGAGAAAATTTGATGAGTGACCTAGAATGACAGATGGATCATTTTGTAACTTTACGAGAATGTCGAAAAGTGATTTCGAACATCTTCTAGAAATGATTGGTCCATCAATAGCCAAAAGGAAACAAATATTCGTCAGCCAGTTTCACCTCAAACGAGGCTGGCTATTACATTACGGTATCTTGCAACTGGAGATTCATACAGTTCTCTTTCATACACATTCAAAGTATCAAAACAATTGATTAGCAAAATTATACCAGATGTATGTCAAGAACTAATTAACTCACTAGCAGGATATGTCAAGGTACAAGAACACTATTTGTGTAATCAAGTATTTTATTAATTAAAAACACAAAAAAAAAACAGTGTATGCTATTGCGTTGATTCATCACTGAGATAGTTAACTAAGTTTAGTATAGCCGAATTTTGTTCGTCTCGTAATGCATCTAGTCTATTTGTTTCGTGTCTCTCAATTTCCCTTATCAGTTTCCTGAACATTATTTGGTGTTGATATGGATGAGAAGATGTTTGAACCATATGTATTATATCGTCCCATTTTTAATTCAAATAATTATAATATGGTACTTTGCCTGTGTCACGGTTGGTCATCTTTAACACTTCTTAATTCAGCAGCAATAATTCACCATATATATCAAATGGATCCTTCTTCTCCCTTTCATCCATCTTTTTTCTAGCACTTTTCAAAACCTCTAATATTTCATTTGATTCATCTGTCTTATTTCTTTTCCTCGAAGATGTAGATGTTGTAGCATCGGCCTTGGTGATTGAGATGGCTCTGACTCCATACCACTTTCAAGTGCATTGTTTTCATCTACCTGTAAATTATTATCTTATTATATATTTATTTATTTTTAGGTTCCAAGTTCGGAACAAGAATGGAAACAAATAAGTCGTGAATTCGAAATACGATGGAATTTTCCACATTGCATTGGGGCCATTGATGGGAAACACGTTATGATTGTGGCGCCAAATAATTCTGGAAGTGAATACTACAATTATAAAAATCAGTTCAGCATGGTACTTATGGCAATTGCAGATGGCAATTACAACTTTATTTACGCAAATTATGGAGCTAAGGGTCGGTCGTCCGACAGTGGAATATTTCAAGAAACACCGTTTTATAATGCATTGTTAGAAAACTCACTTAAACTGCCACGGCCTGAACCAATAACACAAGGCGGAACAGAAATGCCGTATGTAATTGTAGGTGACAGTGCTTTCGGTAACGGAGAACATCATGAAACCATATCCTGGCATTCATGAACGTGGGAACAAAAAGCGTATATTCAATTACAGACTATCAAGAGCTAGGAGGATTATAGAAAATGTTTTTGGCATTTTATGTGTGGTGTTCCTGTATACTAAACCTATTCGTTAAAACCAGCCAATTGTGAACTCGTGGTAATTGTGTGATACATAATTCTTAAGACGTAACTGTTCAGATCCATATATACACCTCCACAAACTTTTGATTTTGAAGACTCTGAAGGTAACCTATTAGAAGGTTCTTGGGAAGGGAACTAAGTTCGTTTCCTATGATTGATTTGCAAAGACGGGGCAGGCCTGCATCACAATCAGCTCTTTGTATTAGAGAACAGTTTGCCGATTACTTTATAACTCAGAGGGAAGAGTTCCATGGCAAAATAATTAGCTAATTGTAATAATTTTACAGACAATAGTATAAAACAATTATATACAAAAACAACTTACTTTTTATTCATAGTATCCGTTTCACCAGAAGTAGTTGCACCACATAACAAAAATTCCAATGGCTCGTAATAAATCCATTTACATTTTTCTATTGCGCCGCTGCCTGTAGTTTTTTTGCCGACACTTTTTTTCTCTCTAGTAAATTGAGTACGCAGTACATGTATTTTAGTTTCTACGTCTTTTTTGGGTATATTTAGGACTTGAGAAATTTCTTCGAATGCATCGTTCTTTTGTTTCTATTTTTATTTTTTATAGAACAATCCCATAATAATGTTTGATTGAAATAATTATTAATTGCATTATTTACATCACATAGCATGTTTATAAACTGTTGCAAACTCGTCCACACACGTCAACAATTGTCGCTAAACTGATGTTTACGCTTGTGGGCGAGAGCTTGTCAACATGATGCTGTCAACTCTGCAACACGCAGTGTTGCCAGCAACATGTTGACAGCAACTCCGCAACACGTTGATTCAACTTTGTTGCTCAACAAATGTTTCCCATGAATACGCGCGTAAACCATATAATAGAGTTTGCGTGAGAGATAGACGTGTTTGCGAAGCTATATGCGTTTATACCTTTTATAAAATGTCTTATAAAGCAATAATAGCTTGACATGAGCTATTAATAAAATAAAAGTGACGTTATGATTTTTCTAGTATTAAAGCGAAAAGTAAGCAAAAAATGTTCTATTTTAAATCACCACAGAACTTCCAATTAAACTACGTAATTGTAATAAAACATTTGGTTTCCTATTAATTGTATTTTGTATTGAATAAAATTTTCGCAAGCGCGCTTTATGAATGCAATTCTTGTCTCTAGATGTCGCTACATTGCGAGAAATGTGTAAATCTAGCTAAAATTATGCTTCAATGGTCATAGTGAAAAAATACGAGCGAGTTCAATGTTCACAAATATTCAAATTCTTTGTAGTATTAACTTACACAAAATAATGAGGTACTAGAAAGTTTAAATGTTTTATTTATTTTACACGAACCTTATGGTTTTCATTTAATCTACGCTGATGTCGTTCTTATAACACAGACAAGTAAATAATACACATTTTATATTATATATAAACACTGATTATACTGTTTATAAACACTGATATATAAAGACTGCTCTTTCCACTAGAGTCGTTTAAAAATGCGATATAATAATATTCTAAAACATCTTCAAGAATTACATTTCTAAACACAAAAAGTATAATTAATATGTACTTTCCTCCAGAGACATGTCACGTAGAGCGAAAACGTTATATACGTAAGTGCTTTTCCTATCACTATAAACTAGCTATGTGCGGGCTTATTCGTATCTATGCAGTGGGTAATAGAAATGCGATGGTGCGATTCATTCCCTAGCAAGAAGCCGGCTGCCGCGCATTGATGGCGTTTCACCGAACACGGCAGTCGCGGTTCCGGCGCCGAGAGGGGATCGCGTCTGGATAACGCTACAATGAGACTCGCGCAATATAATTATTACACGATTAACAATATCGTATTCTCATACAAATAGTGCCGCGTATTATAATATGATCGCTCGCGACAAACGGACCAAAGTTTTATTTATCAAAACAAGTTGACAAGTAAAAATGAAATGGACAAAGTGCGGTTTAAAATGATAATTAGCGTGATATTCTTTTGTTTAGTGATGGGCGCGGCGCTCACGGGGGCGCCTGACGCTGCAGATGCATGTTTTCGAGTGGCCGGTGAGAACGTTGTGAAGTGCAATGTACGGACGCTGTCCTCGGATCGGGAGCTGCCCGGTTCGATGCACTCCGATGGCGCGGAAAAGCTTGCAATCACCTGCGGCGCGGATCTAATCGAAACCACATTCAAGGATCATCAGTTTAGTAAAATGAAAGATTTAGCGGAGATCACTGTAACCAGTTGCAAAATTCTTCGTCTGCCTGGTAACGTGTTCGAAGGACTTCGCGGTTTAAAGACCTTACAGTTACGCACCATGAATAATGATTGGGGTCATAATAAAGAATTGGAGATGTCCTTTGGTGCCTTTAACGGCTTGAGGGAGCTTCACACTCTAGATCTCGGCTTTAATAACATAAGAAAGATACCATCTGATTTGTTTTGTGCTCTGGAAAACATAATTTCTCTAAACCTCACTCGCAATAAGATAAAGTTTGTTGACGAGCTGGGTTTTGGGCACAAATGTGGTTCAACGTTGCAGACTATCGATCTGAGCTACAACGATATCATGTCCTTGCCAGCTGACTCTGAAATATTACATCTGCGACGGCTCACACAACTATACTTGCAGAACAATAAAATAGGCGAGTTGCCCGCCGAAGTTTTCAGTGACCTTCTATCGTTAAAAGTTGTGAACCTCTCCGATAACGCTATAAATTATTTGCCAGAAGGCTTGTTTCAAAATACGAGAGAGATTCGTGAAATTTACTTGAGGAACAATGAACTGGAAATATTGCCCAAAAGAATATTTAACAGGTTGGATCAGTTACTCGTTTTAGATCTTTCGGTGAATAAATTAAAAGGCGACCATATAGAAGATGAAACGTTCAGTGGTTTAATACGATTAATTGTGCTCGACCTGTCCCATAACGCTATCGCCCGCATCGCTCAGAATATGTTTAAAGATCTATTTTTTCTACAAAATCTTAACCTAATCAACAACTCCATAAATTTTATTGATGATAACGCGTTTTCACCACTTTTTAATCTTCATACATTGAATTTAGGGCTCAACAAATTACGAACAATTGAAGATCACATGTTTAATGGATTGTTCATATTGAACAAATTAAATTTGAATAATAATTTATTATCATATGTAAGTGAAAACGCGTTCAAAAATTGTTCCGACTTGAAGGAATTAGATTTAAGTTCGAATAAGTTTACTAATGTACCGGAAGCAATATCACAATTACCATTTTTAAAATCGTTAGACTTGGGTGAAAATTTATTGACGGAAATAACGAACAGTTCGTTTCAAAATTTATCACAGTTAACCGGTTTGCGTTTAATCGAAAATCAAATTGGAAATCTCACAGCGGGTATGTTCTGGGGAATGCCTAGCCTACAAGTGCTTAATATGGCAGGAAATAAAATACAGTCGATAGGAACTGAAACGTTTCAAAGAAACTCGCAGTTGGAAGCCGTGCGACTTAATACTAACTACATTTCAGATATAAATGGAGTATTTGTGTCTTTGAAAAAATTGCTATGGCTCGATTTATCCGAAAATCATTTAGTCTGGTTCGATTACGCTTTCGTCCCGTCGCACTTGAAATGGCTTGATATTCATGCGAACTTTATCGAAATTCTTGGTAATTACTATAAAATTCAAAGCGATCTACGCGTTAAGACATTGGACGCGAGCCATAATCGTATAGTCTCTTTATCAGCCATGTCTTTACCAAATAGCATTGAACTTTTATTTGTAAACAACAATGAAATAACAACAATAGAGGCTGATACGTTTGTTGAAAAAACTAATCTTACACGTGTTGACATGTATGCTAATAAAGTCGAGACATTAGATGCGAACAGCTTGCGTATCGCGCGATCTGATGACCGTACATTACCTCAGTTTTATATAAGCGCTAACCCTTTTCGATGCGACTGTACAATGAAATGGCTTTTACTTATAAATTCCGTTACTTCCCGACAATACCCGTACGTGATGGATTTGAATAATGTCGTATGTAAAGAATCTTATGTCCGCGGTGTCAAAAACCAAGCCGTTACTTCTCTTCATATAAAAGATTTCCTTTGTAAATATGACAGCCATTGTCCCGATGATTGTACTTGTTGTGATTTTACCTTTTGTAATTGTAAATCAGTGTGTCCGCAAGACTGTTCTTGTTATCATGATTCGACAAAGACTACGAATGTGGTTGATTGTTCTGCGAAAAAAGCTAATACAATACCGCGCGATATGCCAGCGACCGCCACTCATATTTACTTTGACGGAAATTCTTATAATGAGCTTAATGAAACTCTCTTTGAATTGATGCGGAGGGCTGTAGTAATTTATTTAAATTCGAGTAATATAATAAGTGTCCAAAATAACACATTTCGTGAACTGGGTGACCTCAAAATACTGCATTTAGACAATAACAAATTAAAACGCCTTGAAGGCCTTGAATTTTCTAAATTAAACAACTTAAGGGAATTATACCTACAGAACAACGCCATTGAGTTCATTTCGAATGTAACATTTACTTTTTTGGGTTCTTTAGAAGTTTTACGGTTGGACGGAAATAGACTCGTAAATTATGGCCTGTGGCATTTGGACAATAACAAAAAGTTACAAACTCTGTTCGTCGGCAATAACTTATGGTCTTGTGATTGTAAATATTTACAAGGATTCCTCACATACATATCGCAGAATGTAGAGAAGGTTGTGGATATCCGTAATCTTTGGTGCATCAGTGACAAATCTCGTTTATCGAAAAAGCCATTGAATTTAAATGTGACGATTTGTAGTGAAATAAGTGATAACTCAGTAATAAGCGCGTTCTTCGTCTCTAACAACATACCATTACTGGCCACGGTTCTCACCGGGTTCATGCTTATTTTATTAATATTAGCTTTAGTGTTCACATTTAGATACGCTTGCAGAATGTGGTTATACTCAAATTGCGGTATTAAGCTCTTTCCCCTAGCGAGCGCTTTTAACGACGCCGATAAGCTTTATGACGCTTATATTTGTTACAGTCCAAAAGACGAAGAATTCGTTATAGAATCCTTAGCGCGGGAGCTTGAGAACGGCTATCCGTCGTATCATCTCTGTCTACATTATAGAGATGTTCCACAATTTGAAGCAACTTACGCCCAGTTCCCTGACTTAGTGGTCGAGGCGACCGAAGCCTCGCGGCGTATAATAGTTGTTCTCACAAAGAACTTTATCTTAACGGAATGGTCTCAGATAGAATTCCGACAAGCATTTCAACGCGCACTCCAAAACAATCCACACAAATTAATAATTGTCTCCGTAGGGCTCGCGCCGCGAGATCCGGAATTAAAATCGTATTTAAAAACGGGTTTAGAGATAACGTGGAAAGAGAAACGTTTTTGGGAGAGGTTACGATACGCAATGCCATCGTGTAAGCGGCGCGGGCATAAGTTGAAAAGACTCAATTACGGAAGGAATTCCAATACGTACACAATGGACGCGTCGGTATTAAACAGCACTTGTCAAACGCTCTGCGGCAAATCGGCGAATTCCGCTGAACGTTCCCCATGCGATCGTCCTTTATCCGAACACATTTATTCCACTATCGATTCCGATTATTCGTCTAATGATTTCCAAGGCCGGCACAATCCGCAAGCTGTGGTATTACAACACACAGTTCAGACGTACCTGGTTTAAAAAGTAGTTGTAACGAAAGATCTCATTATAACGGTATCACCAAGATATCGGTAGACGTTCGTTGAGCATGTCGCTTTACTGTGAAAGTTTTTGAATGAATCATGTCGTCCGATGGTGTATATAGACCTCATAGTGTTAATTGTGTAACTTTTGTACAATAACGATACCAAATTTCGCATTTAAAAGATTCGCTTATTTATTGAATTTTGTTTGAAATGTTGTAAGTATTAATTTAAAAGACTGTAAATTATTGTAGATTATTCGATTATGGCTGATGTTTGTATAGATGATTAATAAAATGTTTATAACTTGAAAGGGTCTTTTATTATTTTACATTTTACACACGATTCAGTCTAATTACTCAGGATAGACATAATATTTTTTGTTAGCAGGTACTTTTCCATCAAAACCCAAGGTTGCTCATTCCGATTGAATAATGTATATTGTACGTATAACGTAACAAGGGACAATACATGTTTTATTTCGAATCCAATCCCTTTTTTACGATTCTAGCTAGATTACAGCTGTTTCGTGGTGTAGTATTGAAAAAATTATGACTATTGAATTTCATCCCGCGAGAATAAAATCTCTAGAATTTCTCGAATATTTGGCTTTTAGACTATGTTTTTTTAGATTACCATCTATCCAGTAACAATATACATAAAATACATTACAACGAAAGGCTTGACATATAATTGTAACTTCCTAAAATGTATAAATAGGTGTTGCGTCTAGAATCTGTACGCATATACAAATGTATTTACTTCAATAAAAACCACTGGTTAACTAAGATAAGAAACTGAAAATCGGAAAACTATAAAGTAATTTTTTTTCAGGGCTTGAGTTTTCTATAAAAAAAAATAAAACGCGTGTTTTTTGTGGTCTCAAAATCTACTCCGTTTCACCTTAGCTAAGCTAAACTTATAAAGAATATGAGAAAAACTGGCTCATATATTTCTTGCTCTAAATCTAGGATTATACTTTTATAATTTACTCTACCAATATAATATACAGTTGCACCTAACACATTGATAGGGTTGCCTGATTGAATAAACGTTCAAAATAGATTAGCTGATATGATTTCTGACGCCCCTGTGCGTAACGAAATTGTCGCGTTAAAATTTTGAGCGTGACAACAGCGCCCCCTGTGCTACTATTAATTTTATTGCTTGTAAAACGAGAAGCTAATTTTGAGTTACGTTTTTATTGTGTTAGCTGTTGAGTGGCGCCGCGGGTGAGGATTACCAAAGTGACGAAACGCGGAGTAACTTATCAGTGGAAAAATGAGAAAGGAACTTTTGGAACTTTTAAAACAAAACTTGTCTCAGAACATTTGAAGTCTCAAAATCGTTCTGCAAGGTCTCCCTATTTAGGTAAGAAGAATAGTGATTGCTGATCGTATATTATTCGAACTATATAGACTTTGCAGCAGTGTTGGTCTAGTGGCTTCAGCGTGCGACTCTCATCCTTAAGGTCGTAGGTTCAATCCCCAGCTGTGTATTAATGGACTTTCTGTCTATGTGCGCATCTTTACAAATTCTTAAGGCTGCGAAGGTTTTGCCGCCCTTGCCTCTACAATTGTAACGTCCAAGATTATTTTTACAATCCAACAATTTCGTTTAAATTCCATGTAAAATAATATTATAGGGTTTGATTTTTGATTATACACAAACTATTCAGTTCGCAGCCAGATGAAACATATATTTGAGGCCCAGACCTAAAAAGCGCCACTTGTTTTTTTTATTTATTTTTATATAAACTTTGTGACTTTTATTGTACCAACATACGTTTTACAAAAGATCGTACTAAATTATATTTCAAACATAACACGACAAAAATATCACATAGAATTCAACTGTGCCTTTATTGCGCGTAATACCTTAAAATTCAGGAAGCTCTGCCAGGGCTTTGATAACACTATTTACTTTAAATCTTATCTAATCCTCGAGATTTTTATACAGTTAACAAACAAACGCGACTCCCGTCCTAATTAAACAAAAAAATACCATAAACTTTACAGCCATTACATACATTTGAGTAATAATAAAGAATGAGAGTCTTATATCAACATTGATTGCTGATGTAAACTTTATGACATAATAAACCTTTTTGCTACGCCATTGTCGTCTTTATGCAAATGAGCTTTTGGAACTATAATGAGAAATCGTGTTATAAATATCACGCCCTAGAGAATCAGGAATGTTTTTATTGCTACTGAAATGTCTACTGTATATGCGTTTATTACGTTAACATGTGTTTAGAAATACGTTTCGTTATTATTAATTATTAAGAAACGAAAAAATGTCGCGTAGAATGAACAATTTATTTTGGTATATGAAAAAGAGATTCTTTGACTATCTCTCTCTTTATCGTGGTCAGCTGTATAGTGGGATCTGGCGCGGATTATTTTACAACTGTATATAGTTTTGAGATCGACGAGTCTGACTTGATCAGTCCATCTCGTTGGCGAACGTCTACGTGATCTTTGCCTTCAGTTTTTCCAATCACGAAGAGTTTCTCTGTTTTTGTCGCCCCTACAGATTGTGTGATCAAACTACGAAATTATGCGTTGTCGGCATATGGTTGATAAACGGACTATATATGTAACTAACATAGAATGGTATAATATTTTTTGAGTGCATGTTTCAAATACAATTAGTTAATGAATAGTTTAATTAAGTATAGGGTCGTGTAATACCTAGGCTTTTTGGACTTATAAGAGACGACTCAATTAGACAAAAGAAGAAAGAGAGACAGCGCTGAAGAGACACCGTGGAGAAGGACCTACGCTACAAATGCCCGATTGGCAAGCGGTAGCGCGTATAACGTAATTTTGACGTTAATAATAATAGCCTATATTAGAAATAGACAAATGATAATAAGGCTCTTTAACTATTTATAAGACATACTTGTGCTAAAGTTTTAGATAAAACTGTTTGAGTGGTGTTGGAGTATTTGTATAAGCCAAATAGTGATGAGGGTGCAACTTTTCTCGAGGAGTTTACAAACACTGAGGCAAGCTTTGTCATAATGAGTTTTAATATTTTATTGTAAACATATAAAGATTCCTTTATCGATTTGACTTGTAAGATGTGTTTGAACTTGGGTTAAATATACGGATTACAAGGAAAGTACAAGTTACCGAATGTAGATTATTTATTTGTGAAAAATAATCACCTATCACTTTCCATCACTGCGTTTACATAGTTTGTCAGAAAGAGACGAAGAGTACTTTAGTTCAGAGTGCTGATTTAGTATTCATGCAGAATTTTGATAAACAAAAGCCTGACATCTTTTTTTATATTATAGTAAGACTAGACCTATATATTATAAATCTTATACATAGTATATTGGATTACAGTTCTAAACGTAAAGGACCAAAACGGCTCTACGGTTGTTAACGCATCTTTAAGGGACTTTCAGTGCAAAAGCGATAAGAGAATAAATGATCGTTCGCGCGTGTCCCAGTCGTGCATTGTATTAAGAATTAACAATGAACAGTGAACATTCACAGTTGTTATGAATACTTACGTCAGATCCCAACTCGTACCCGGCTCTGAGAATTGCGACTTGTAACTTTATTGCAGAAAATAAATATCAATTGTTTTCCCAGAAGGACAAAGTTGAATTACGGAAATGGTACTAATTATTTTTTGTATATGTTCAATATCTCCGTCCGTGGACCGAATGGTATCAAATGATACGACTTATCTTCATACTCTGGATATAAATTAATAAATTAATACATTTAGCCCTTGGCCAGGACCAATGAGGAGAAAAATAAAAAAATTAACACTATGAGCCAAGGCTGTACATTTTGCAGACTCAGGTTTTCTTAGTTTTAAGCATGGCGATTAACTAAATCCTCGGAGTTACATTCCGAGAGTATAGCCATGCGCAGGCACTCTTTCTAGCATTTTATAAGCTTGGCCATCATATAGCATTAATAGTATTTAATTAATTTTTTTGTGGCAAATATAGAGTGAATATAATAGCCTCATTTTGGAGTCGGTACAATTATTTTAAGGAATGTTTGGTTAAAAAAGATAGTCCATCCATTTATAATATTTTTTATTGCAAGACTAAAACGGCCATCAAACATTAGTGTATTTTCTATTTCATAAGGACAGCGTGACCTTCTTTCTCTTCTCATCTATGCCACACTTCCTAACTTAGGTATACATTTAGAATTGTTTAAAAAATATGTTTTTCAATAGTCGTCCTCTCGTTCGAACCTCATGCTTTGCAGTAAACATGCCACAAGTTGACTTTTTTTTTGATATCCGAGGTGGAAATGCATTAGCGCATCCCCTGCCCTTAAAAGTTTCAGGGGTATGTGGGACTCGACCCACGCCAAAATCTTTGCTATTCAGAGACTGGGTGAGCAATACCCACTAAAAACACCTCGAGTAGTTCCTATAAAGCCGCATTACAGACAACGGCGGACAGGGGGTCATGGGGGTCATGGCCCCCTGAGCAGGACTTAGGTGGACCACTAATTGATCATAATGATTTTATATATAAATTTGTCACCATACAGATTATATGTAACTACATACCTTCAATATTTAATTAATATAATATAATAACTTTGTATGATGTTGAAAATTTGAAATTTTGAATTTTCCGGCACTTGCGCGCCCTTGTCGCTATGAAACGTCTAGTAGACCTTACCTCACGATGGAACGACTAAACTTCAACAATCATAACATAGTCTTATTTTAAATTGTACATCAATTGTAACTATAGGAAAATTGATACACTACCCTGTCAGCGAAGCGACAGAGGAAGGTGTTTCTCTACGTTGCGCAGAATTAAATCGTGGCTAAGTTTCAATGGTTGAAGATCACCTAACCGACTGGACTTCTCACGTTCATGAAAACGTACCCGTACTAAATGACGTAATAACGCTCGGGAAAACACGTTAAAGAAAAATTGATTTATTATTAAAATATATATTTTCTTTTTTGTTTGATGGAATCCCTTTGTACCATCTCTTC